TTGAAAGCAGATAGTTGAGTTTGGAAGAATGACGAAAGTGGGGTGAGTTGTTACATAGTGGGGTAACCAGCTCCGTGAGAGAACATTCGGCTAGAGAACTCTTCATCATTATACCACCCACGGAGGGTCTTGTCAATTTCACATCCAAGCTGACTTGAGAAGGCTGTATCCATCTACTCGCACCAGGAAGTACCAGAGCAGAGATTAGAGAAATGACGAATTACAAAACAGAGGAAATGGTCAGCACGAGGTCAATGCCCATTGATGCAGTATTGGGAACCGTGTCATGGTGGACACCTCTCGGATCAAAGGTCATTATGACCTAGCGTTATCTTCTGGTGAATTGCCTCCCTCAGATACTGATCTCACCGTATGTGGGATATCCTATCAAAGCCATCCGAGTGGCCTTTTGAAAAGCTTTCTCACAGATAGAGAGCGCAGGACAGCCGGCCATCTAGTCTATAAAATTCGCGACAGAGTCTATCCCTTGAGCTGGAAGCCGTTCTATGTATCCTGTAGGAGGAGATACTAAGGTGTATATGTCAAAAATCTGTCAACCACGAAGTTTCTGGACTCGAGCTCCGAGTCGGAGAAGGCAGCAATAAGAAATCTTAACGAACAAAGCACATGGCTTCTATCATCAGCATGAGCTCGGAGAAGACAAGAGAGGCTCCACGAGTCCGAGGTGTTGAAGAAGACAACAACGAAGACAGGTGCCGGCTATACAGCTCTCGAAACTGTCTTGCAGACGTTTACTAGAGTCCTTTAATGCTACACCTTCTCTTTCCCGCCGTCACATCTACCAAACACGACCTTGGCATTCTCTCCTAGTATTCACTTGGCAGAGCGCTGGTAATTGGAGGATCGCAAGTCATATCTGTCTATGCTGTCTAGTCAATGCTTGTAGACCCAAGTGGAAGGCAGGTGATCAAGGGCATAGCACTCTGAGCAGAATCCTTAGCAGTAGAACATATATCAGAGTTTCAATTCATCTGTAGCAATGGTCTATAAATAGAAGTATCATCCAGGGTCCTAGTAGTGGATAAGACCCGCACCCTTGACAATTATCTTGCCGATGCTGGCGCTGATGACTGAATAGTGTACAGCTCCTTGAATGATATCCCGTTTTTATAGCCTGTATTCACTATTCTGATCCGATTGGTGCATAAACTGAACTTTTAATATGATGAGTCTGCGGGGTACTTACCCCAGATTATCGGGATCGTTTAACCCGAGGATGTATAAAGATTTGAATATCCTCACAGAAATATGCCTCACGTTTTCTCTAGGGACTCCTCGACAACAATGATGAGAAAAGGACTTCTATTCTTGCTCGTGGTGCCACAGCTTGCTCTAGGACGAATTGACCGGTGGGTTCAGGTTGCATCCAATCTTCCATAGAGGCTCGCTGACGGTAGCAGGCAGCATGTAGTGTCCAAGTACAACGTTGTCCGCACGAGTCTAATCGACAACGAAACGACGCCGCTCCAGGTCGGCAATGGAAACTTCGCCTTTAATGTCGATAACACGGGCATGCAGGTATTTTGCTTACCCGCTTCTTTCCAGACAATGGCTCAAAGTGCTTGCAGTCTTTCCTCCCATTCAACACTCTCTCAAGCTGGGCCTGGCACAATGATTCATTGCCCACAGATGGGTACACTCTCTCACTGTACTCTTTGGAAGAACCAAGGATTGTTGTCTAATTTAGGATAGAGAGAAAATCGAGGACTATCATGGCGTGGCGATGTTGACCCACGGCCGAAACGTCTCCTATGATATTCCGAACCCCCATCTGCCACAAGCATCGCAATGGCTTATTTCCAACCCGAACCGAATCAACTTGGGACGAATTGGGCTTCAGTATAAGGGCGGTTTCCTCACAGCGTCACATATCAGTGAGCCTCGTCAAGAACTGGATCTGTGGAGCGGCATTATCACCTCCACTTTCAGAGTCGCCGGTCAACTGGTGAAAGTGGTGACGCAGGGCGATTTTGAGTCTGACTCAGTTGTTTTTGAGATACAGTCAAATCTCGTCTCTTCTGGGGATCTCACTGTTGGACTAGATTTTCCTTATCCTCCAATTCACTCGACAAAATACAAATATGAAGTGTTTGTCGGCAGCTACGATTTCCCGCAGAACCATACCACGTCGATCGTTGAAGACACAAATGACGGGGCGCATATTTTCCATCAGTTGCGAGAGACAACCTACTTTTTGAATCTGCGATGGCCTGCTTCTTCCATGCAATTGTCTCGCGCGAGCAATGCGACTCACCGATATACTCTTGCGCCTTCATCCTCATCTGCCCTGAAATTCACTGCCAATTTTGCACCAGACAAGCAGGTGCCAGACTCCCCAACTGCTATCCAACACCGAAATCCCATCGACTGGAAGAATTACTGGACTCGTGGAGGGTTTGTCGACCTCACGGCGTCGTCCAACCCAAAAGCGAACGAACTTCAGCGTCGCATCATCATGTCACTATATCATGTACGGGTAAACAGTGCGGCCAGAGGACAGTCACCTCAGGAGAGTGGACTGATGAACAATGGGTGGTATGGTATGTTACTTCCAATGTTACGCAATATGTAATTGTCACTCACAATTATAGGCAAATTCCATATGGAAATGGTAGTCTGGCACAATGCACACTGGGCAACTTGGGGTCGTCAAGAACATTTTGATAATATCTTTCCAGCCTTATACGAGAGCCTCTTGCCATCCTCTCTTGCACGAGCCAAGGCTATGGGATGGGATGGAGCACGGTCTGTTGCGTTGTGCAGCATTTCCTGATTGACTACTCACAGAGCACAGGTGGCCCAAAATGACCGATATTGAGACAGGGATCAGCTCACCTGGCGGTATCAATGGCCTTCTCATGTGGCAGCAGGTCAGTCTTCTCATAGAGCATATTGAATCAATCTAACTGAACAGCCCCATCCTATGTACCTGGCGACATTGGCTTATCAAGCCTCACCGACACGCAAGACCCTTGAACGATGGGATCCCATCTTGACAGCTACTGCAGACTATATGGCATCTTATGCTTGGAAAAATGAAACATCCAGTTACTATGATCTCGGTCCACCGTATGTTACATTTGCATTCGAGGACCTGGACTGATTTGAGACAGAGCATACGGTGTCACCGAAAATACTCCACCCACTCAGAGCCTGAATCTAGCTTACGAGGTATGCCTACAGTCTCAAGAACGTAGCAGTGCTAACTTCCGTCAAGGTCGCCTACTGGCGATATGGACTAGATGTCGCCCGCTCATGGAAGAGAAAACTCGGCCAGCGAGTGCCCGATTCGTGGACAACTGTTGCGGAGAATCTCGCACCTCCGCCTCAAGTTGACGGACTTTATACTCCGTATCAAGGCCTGAATAGCTCTTGGTGGAATGATACCTCTCTTACTAAGGATCCTCGCAGCTTGATTATGTTGCAGGGTATCCTCCCCGATACACCAGCAGTGGATGCTAAGGTTGCATTGGCAACCTCCAAGAAGATCTGGGAAGTCTGGACAGATGGCAAGATCAGTGGATGGGGGAGGCCTGTTCTCGCCATCAACGCTGCTCGAGTTGGCAGCCCAGAGAGAGCTATAGGTCATTTAACCGCCTATGACTACTGGACCTTCGATGATGCTGGTATGTTTCCTGCTGTCGTCATAGTACAAAGCTAATATTACTCTGTAGGATTCGCGGTCCGTGGTGGTGACGGTAAATCTTTCCGTCCTTGTGATCTGTTGTTTACTGACGAAGGCTACGTATACAGGGGGCACTCCTCCTCCCTTTATGCCGGGGAACGCGGGGTTCTTGTATGCCGTGGCGTATATGGCTGCCGGCTGGAACGGATCCCAGGGCGACACCCCGGGGTTCCCTTCTGATGGCAGCTGGGTAGTGATACATGAAGGCCTACGCAAGGCGCCGTAGACACTGTGGTCATCCATCCTATCCCGGAAGAAGTGACTACACCATCAAGAGACTTCAATTTTATCCGGCCAATGAAACATGCACCAGATATTACCACCCCGCAAACTCACCTGCCGTGAAGAATCATAAGCTCCATTTGACACGTATCTAGTAAGATTCAAGCAATGATCGTCGTGATGAAACCCTTCGTACCCCGGATTGTTTCATCTTGACCTTGCTCCTTCTGGCACGGAGCGGAAGAATGGGAAGATGAACGGCTTTCGCACCGACATCCCGACTCCATCTATATATTGACATCATTGCTCCTCCCAGCGGAAGCCAGCGACCATACCCAGTATCCTTCAACGCAACAAGCATCCAAAATGCTCCTCGAACTAGCCCTCCCCCTCCTCCTCGCCCTCACCTCCTCCGCCCAAACCACCGCATCCCCAACGACAACCACCCTGCCAACTCTCCAATCAGGCTGGTACTTCATCCGCGCCGTCGAAACCCCAGCCTACCACAGCTACCTGCAGACCATCCCCAGCGCCACCCCGGGACCAGCCTATCTATCCTCCAACACCAACGCCGGCCAATTCAACATCATCTCCGGCCAACTCGTCTACAACACCGGCGCAAGCCAGCTGTACATGAACGTCGAGGATCCCGTCAACAAGACGCAGCGCACCCTGCAGACATGGTTTAACAAGACGCAGAACCAGTACGGCACGTTTGGGTTCCAGGGGGATGCGGTGACGTGGACCGTGAGTGATATTGCCCGGCCGAATGTGGCGGCTTGGTATGTTTGTGGGGACCAGGGACAGTTGTATATCAATACGGGGGCCTATGGGTATCAGACGCCGGCGGGGTGTTATGATGAGACGGTATGTTTGTGTTGTGGCTGTGTTGTGGGCGTATACTGATGTTGATATAGATTCATTCTTATGGGGGTTCGACGCCGACGGTTTGATGAGGAGGTTTTATGGGATTATGATGCGCGTTGTCTGATGTTTCATTGTTGCGCTGGATAAAAACTTAACCATGAGCATTGAGAATTGAGAGCTAGCTACAAATATCTTCCGTGTATAACTAATCATGCCCGCCAACCGGCTTAGGCACGTATGGCTCCTCCAAGTATCTCTCCTCATCAGCCGTCAAGGTATTATCTTTGACTTGTATCATCTCGTCCATTCGCTCAACAGAGCTGAAGCCCACAATTGGACTGGCGACACGCTGGTTGACCCAAGCCAAAGCCACCTGACCCATTGTCCAGACTTTCTTGTTTGCCAACTCCTCCACTCTGGAGATAATCACCTCATCTGCCTCTGTCACTGCGTTCGGGTCGGTGTTCTCCGAGCGAGTAGTGCCTCGAACCTGCGAGAGCGGACGAGCAAGTTTACCGCCGTCGAGAGGACCCCACTGTTGAGATATCTCGTGAGTCAACCCTTTCATCAAAATAGGTCATCGGGGACTTACAGGAATGAGACCAACGCCTGTCTCATTACAGAAGCGATTCATCTCCCGCTCCTCCTCGCGGTAGAGGAGACTGTACTGATTCTGCATGGAGACAAACTTTGTCCACCCATGCTTCTCTGCACAATGCTGCATCATGATGAACTGATACGTCCGCATCGAGCTCGCGCCGATGTATCGCACCTTCCCACTTCGGACCAGATCATGGAGAGCTTCTATTGTCTCTTCGATGGGAGTGAAGGGATCGAAGCGATGGATTTGAAAGAGATCGATGTAGTCCGTACCCAGGCGTTTCAGCGAGGCGTTGACTGCGTTGAAGATCGCTTGGCGGGAGAGGCCTGGAGGGTCAGTATGGCATGTCGTCAAGCGAGATCGAGTCACGTACCAAATTGATTGACGTATTCCTTGTCCTGGCGCATGTAGTCGGCGAAGGGGACAACATACTTGTTGTCGTGTTCACTGACAGGTGACCAGCATTTCGTAAGAATGAGGAGTTTATGCCGAGGAAGATTGTAATGTTTGATTGCCTTGCCAATGATTTCTTCTGACTTGCCGTTGGAATAGTTGTTCGCGGTGTCCCACTGTTTCAACTGAGTTACTGCTCGTCACGTAGTGCAGAGAGATACTAACGGTGGTAAGGCCTCGGTCGTAAGCAGCTTTCAGTAAAGGTAGAGCCTGATGATGTGTCAGTCTATTTCACGATTAACTAGAATTTCCGGACTCACCCTCTCCTCGTCAAGAATCCACGATCCCCATTCCGGAGAGCCAATGCTCATGCCGCCGAGAATGGGTACGGAAACGCGTAGACCACTCTTCCCAAGCTGACGGTAGGCGACTTTGGTTTGCTCCAGGGAAGCCTTCAGCAAGGGAGGAAGCTCAGCGGCCATTTTCAAGTCTTCTGCTTTGTTGTCTATATCTGCTTTCGCTGGAGACTTCTTGGAGCAGTCGCAAGGGAAATTAAGTCTGAGCTGATAATCAATATTCCGCAAGGGCATGCATGGAGCTTGCTTTTATACTGCAGCTCTCAATGTCCCGTGTTGGAGTGCGTGTCTTTCTGCTTCCATTCCCAGCAACCTCAATATGCTGATTTCTAAGCAGCAACAACAGCACATACGCCGAGCACTCAAAACACTCGTATTGAAGCCTTTTCTCCGCGATATCTGAAGCTATCTCCGAGATCAAGATGTCATTGAAGTAAGCACAAGACCAAATACGAGATAATGCTTGGCTTTCATGTCCATCAATCAAGTCATGAGTCATATGGCGGGATTCCGGGCCGAGTAGCGAGCACTTGATGTCTAGGAAGCGATGCATAGCAGATACGACCATACGGCACCGCTTTTGTGTTCTAGAGCCACTATGTGATTATGTCGGGATGGCACAATGTGGAAGCTGTGAAACCGTCCAAGCTTCGCATTCTCACGAATTGAGAAAGAGCTACCTTGTGCAGAGCATGGAATACGATAGCTTACTGCTTGTGATTGGAGACTCGTCATGTGGCGCGGCTTTTCTTCGGATCAACTCAGCACGGTATTCTATTTCCTGTTGATATAGCTCGATAGATACCAGTGCACTTTCGTCTGCCATGTTGAACTGTGGAATACCAAGGAGATCTCTGAGCCTAGAACATCTAAAAGTTCCGCCGTAGGTGACGTATTAGGTGGACCAGCCACGAGATGACAAGACAACAAAGAGGAACGTGCGACAAGCAAATTCCCATGAACGGACCTGGGTATGGTAGATAGACTGTTGCCTGAGGCATCATAGTTTCGATCGATTGGCCAACGAAGTCCGGGTTTGATCATCAGCCAATCAACGCGAATCTGGCGGTTACAGATCACATGACCAGACAACTATCTAACCTAATCTAGCAATGTCCTTATCTGATAACCTTCTGATAAAAAATTTTAGAAACGTGATCAACGCCTTTCACCATATCAACTCCACCTACAGACATCAAGATGGGTAAAGCCGCACGAGGCAAGCGCAATGCGCCCTCCAGCTCTCCTTATCAGAAGCCCGGTGGTGCGCCACTCTCCAAAGCAGCCTCTGCGATATTCAAGTTCAATACGGACATCGGCCAGCACATCCTGAAAAACCCAACAATCGCCGATGCCATCGTCGACAAGGCCAATGTTCAGCCGAGCCAGACAGTACTCGAAGTCGGTCCGGGTACGGGTATCCTGACGACACGAATTCTCGAGAAAGCGAAAAAGGTCATTGCCGTCGAACTGGATCCCCGAATGGCAGCGGAGGTTACAAAGACAGTTCAGGGGACGCCTGCGGAGAAGAAACTCCAGGTTATTTTGGGCGATTTCGTCAAGACGGATCTCTCCAAGCTGCCTCCCTTCCAGGTTTGCATCAGTAACACGCCTTATCAGGTATGATTTCAACTAGTCCGGTGTTGTGGTAAGCGCTGACGAGTCCGCCACAGATCTCCTCCCCGCTCATCTTCAAGCTCCTCTCCATGCCTAATCCCCCAAAGACCTGCATTCTCATGGTTCAGCGTGAATTTGCCTTGCGTTTGATCGCCCGCCCCGGAGACTCGTTATATTCGCGACTGTCAGTCAACGCACAGTTCTTCTCTCGAATCTCGCACGTCATGAAAGTCGGCAAGAATAACTTCCGACCCCCTCCACAAGTCGAGTCTAGTGTGGTCCGGATTGAGCCCAAGGCTGACCGACCGAACATCAGCTGGGATGAATGGGACGGTATGCTCCGCATCTGCTTCGTACGAAAGAACAAGACCCTGCGCGCAGGTTTCATGGCCACGAAAGTCCGTGCGCTGATTGAGCGCAACTGGATCACCTGGGTTTCTATGCACCCGGAGAAGGTTACTCAGGCGGACATTGATTTCCTCCAGGGCAAGGATGTTTCTGCCCTACAAGGTGCGGACGAGGATATGGATATGGGCCAGGATGGCGATGAGCCGGTCGAGGGAGGTGACGACGAGGATGATATCTTCATGGACTTGGGAGGGGAAACCGATGCTCCAGTTACTACCAGCAAGGGCTCACTCGTGGCAATCGGCGACCAACAGGTCCCTCGCGCCTTGGTGACAAAATTGGTTCAAGTGAAGATCCAACGAGTCTTGGATCAGGCCAATTTGGCGAACGCTCGTGCCCAGAAGTGTGATGAGAATAACTTCCTCCGCCTTCTACATGGATTCAATACCGAAGGTATTCACTTTTCTTGAGTGAAGGGTGTTCCCAAACGCATTGCAAAATTTTCGGAGCCCGTCGCAGACTTATATGAGTACTCCATTGCCTGAGTGCTCGCGCTGTCATGCCCTATCATCATTTTGATACCCCCTTGACGCTCCTCAGCTCAACATCGCGATATCGCCGGGTCAGTGACGGTCGACATACTGCACTCCCGGTAGAGCGCGTTTTTATCAGGAATCAGGGAGCGAGTGAAGCATGCCTCTATGCTATACCCATGGGCACTTGAGCTTGATGATGTTACTTTTCTGATTCTATAATTCCACAGTTAGACTACGGAGACTTCACCATCAGTAACGAAGACATGACGTTTATTCAGTCTTATGCTACCAGTGCTGTATTGGTTCTTCGATCTGTACACTGCCATAGTAGCTCTGGTGTCTTAGAAAGGAGACAGACAACTAGAGCCTGAAGGAACAGGAATAGACGCTAAACTTGAAAAAGGAATTTCGCGAATCCAGATTGATTATTAAGCGATTATCACTTTCTCCACCGTTAGTATTTGTTATGATAAAAGGAGCCTGAGATTATGACAAGAATCATCTGGAACCCTCACTCCTGCTAATCTTAACCAGCCATCCAACGGTCAGCGCGGTCCCTTCTGTCGGCCATAACCCCATTGTGATCGTTTGTTTCGGGTTGAGGAAATTGTGAAGCTATTCGTAAGCCATCTCAGCGCCACTGGAATTTTCGATATATCTCGCTGCCCTGTCGATCCCATGTCCGCAACCAGGGTCCCGATCATGCTAGATAAGCCAGATGATTGGTGGGCATGGAGCGCGTATATCAAGGGTCTCGCGAAGCGGAGAGGCGTCTGGAAATACGTGGATCCAGATAATGAGAAAAACACCATCGACGAACCCGTGGAGCCAACCATGCCTGTTCCAGCAAAGCCATTTGACCAGATGGATTCAAATGATCGATTCGTTTGGCAACAAGAATCCAAGCTATATGATTGGTCGTACAAGATATATGAACGAGAGCGGAACGGCATGACGGCCATCTGGACGGCCATCCAGCACACTGTCAGCCAGAAGCACCGTCGTATCTTGACGCTGGATATCTCGGAGAGGCAGAGGATGATCAAATTGCGAGATAAGCTTAAGCCAGATGAGCTATCACGCGCGATAAAGCTTAGGGCCAGATTCGAGAAGCTAGGCGCGAAGAAGCACAATGAGAGCGTGGAGGAATGGCTCAGCGAATGGGAGAACGTAATTGGTGAGTGTGAGGATGCTGGAATGACCGATATTATCGGATACGTGGCCACCCTCAAGTTCCTCGAGTCGATTGAGCCTCTTATGCCAATTTACGCGGAGATCAGGCGTGCGGATCTCAAAAAAGATACTACCCTAAGCACCTTTACAGAGATAAACGATTTCCGACACAAATGGCATGAGAACCAATCAAGCAGCGAGTTCTCAACCTCTCAAGGCCAAGCCAACCAATCAGTTCATTCGAATCAGCCGCGCAAGTGCATCTGCGGCGATTTCCATTCCTTCATTGACTGCCCATATATCATATCGAGTAAGCGCCCAGTCAGTTGGAAGGCAGATCCGAAGATCAAGGCAAAGTTCGAGAAGGTAAAGAAGACGAGAGAAAACGTGAAGGCGGCTATCGAAAGAGCCGTTGAGCAATCCAACCAGGAGTCTGGAGCAAATCGGACATTCCTCTGATCAATCAAACCGTCAAGATCTACGACCGTGTTAGGTAAACGAAGGTATTGAATACTAATTGGAATGAAGGCCTGATGCTTCCAATCTACCATTCTACGTTAGTATACGTAGTAAGGAAATACGATTTCCAATGGAGCTGTAGGAATCTCTGCCAATGGACGGCAAATCAGTGATTAAACCATGATAGCAATCAGCCGTCTAAGCGGTCGATTAGAATTCCTCAGGATGCGTCTGACAACTCCCTTTCCGACAGCGGTTAGTTAGGTCGACATACAAGCCTCTCTTCAAGCTCTCCCACAGATAGTAACCCGCTCCTAGTGTTTCCCGTAGTTGCTTCTCTACAACACTGATCTTCTTCCGGAGCCCACTGCCAACCGCACCGCACGCTCCAAACGTAGTCCACAACGATAATGACAGACAAGACACCAGCCAAGACAGGCCAAAAGCCAAAAGTCGACACTACTGCGGTTGCTGTGGCCTCGGCTAGCTGTACGAAAATTGTTGAGCCGAACCAAATGGCATTTTTCTGCCCACGTCTGACCAGCGACACAAATATATATTCCCAGAGGAAAATTTCAGAAAGCCTTAGAACTCTCAGTGCAGGAGAACGGAGAGGAACTGTGCAAGTTCCCTGCTTATAGTGCGTACTGTCGTCTTGGCCCTAACGCATCAATGTGATAATACTGACCTTTTGTGTCATAGCTGGTCAGGACAATGAGGTGTGGGATTAGCGGAGTGATGGAGCCGTTCCAGGGTTCAGGTGGAGGTGATGTCTCGGAACTCGGAAGGTTAGTACAAGAATGGACAATGTTGACGGCACGATCCGCTCTATATCTTCTGGCTTTGATCATTCCAAGCATGAAGTTTACATTGATAATTCATACTACATAAGCACGGGATAAGGAGATTGATACCTGAAGGATCAAGCCATAGTCTCATAAGGCTGTTGGAAACCCCACTGTGGCAGTGCAGTTGGGTTACAAGGTGGAGCTGCACTGCCACACTTTGAGAAGATGGAGCCAAGGCAGTAGCCCCATATGTTTACCTGAAAAGGCTGTCTTGTCCTCCTCATCTTCCTAACATACCAAATATTCTCATTCTCCAAGGTTTTCATCTGCCTCAGCCCATTTGACATACGTTGGTACCTGTTATCGTCCTCTGAAGGAAGTAGATCATCTACGCTTGTTTTCAAGTTCACCTGTCCGTTCTGTGTGGAGCAACTATGGCCGCGCAAGAGTACTATAACTCTGGCTATATTGGCGGCCCAAAGCCAGATACCCCATTCAGCGACAACGGCAGCAATCGACCATGGACCCCGGCATCCTCGACAGCCACTCCAGGACCTGAAATGCCCTACTCACCACGAGTAGAAAATCGTCCTTACAACTATGGTGCCCCGCCCCCGCCGACAACCAGCTATGGGCGTCCTCCGAACGTTTATCCATCCCAGCCTGTGGATGGTATGGCTCCGGGATTTTCTTMGCAGACAAAACCGCAGCAGTACGACAATGAATATAACAACTCTGGACCCCCACCTTACACCCAGCACTATGGCTCGCAACAGCCGCATCCCCCATATCCTACACATGACACCTATCCTGAGCATCCGCCCACTCAGCCGCCGTATCCACAGGATCAGAAGGATGAAAGAGGATTTATGGGAGCGGTTGCTGGAGGCGCTGTAGGCGCCTACGCCGGTCATCAGGTCCATCACGGCGTCTTGGGGACTATCGGAGGAGCGATCACTGGATCTCTCACTGAGGATGCGATCAAGAAGCACAAGAAGAAGAAGGAGAAGAAAGAGGGCAAATGGGGACATGGTCGCCGCTCATCGTCCTCTTCGTCGTCGGACAGCGATGACGGGCGGGCCCATCATCAACACCACCCTCCTGCGGAGCCTTCTTTCCGTGGCAACTTTTCCGCCTCGTCAACAGAGATTAGTCTCGAGCATAATTATGAGCTGACGGCTAGATGCCGTTCCATCTCAGGAGAACTGCATCGTTCGAGGATTTCGTTGAACTCGGTCCTCTCGAACCATTTCGGTTCTTTTGTATGGGCGCGTGGCGGCAATTTCGGAGCATCGGCAAGAAATGTGCATCTTGCTGAAGGCGGAAGAATACTTGACGCTGAGCTGGCCGATGGAAACGGGCACTGGAAGAGGGCATGGGTGAGATTGGATGAGCGGATCACGAACCAGAACGGACATCTTGTATTCCTGGATTCATGATCGTGAGGCTGGTACCCTATTTGTTGCAATTCAATATTAGCTGATGGCTCCTAATGAAATTTAAACCTTTGTGGTTCACTCTAATATCAGTTCTTAGGATTGGAAGAGACTTGATTCGCCTCAATTCATGTCAAGATCATCTATGATCTTGCCTTAGCCGTCGAAAATGGGCTGACGAATATCCGCATGACACTAGTAGTCTCTCGAATGGAGTGAATACCTTTCTCGAGTCATCAGACAATCCTCATTTACTGCTCAGAAGTGAAGACTAACCACATCTTGCCCCTAGCAAACAGCACGTATCATGTGACTGCGCCTGTATCAACGTGAGGTGACTGTGTTGTTTGTTTTCCCCTTCCCAAACCACTCAACGTAATCTCAAACATACTGCATCCCATTTGGATCTCGTGAGAGATGGACTCACTTCCCACAGAGCTTCTAACCATAATCCTCCATCATCTTAATGACAAAGCCCATGCACTAAATGTCGACAAGAACCTACCGGAGAGATGGCGGTCCGGAAGCCTCGCAAGGTACACAGTTGTTTCACGCAGATGGCAAGCGATTCTCGAACCGATGATATGGGAGAAGATAGTCCTACTCAAACCAGACGCTCTGATAAGGCTGGAGGTGTACACATCTGGTGGGACACATCGAACCACAAGAATTAAATGGGTAAGACAAATTTTCTGGGAGCCATATGTCAGTTTTGCGTTCCCAGAGAGCCTTTGCGAAGCGCTGGAAGACTACCCAATGGCCCTGGCTTGCGTTCTCCCGTACCAGTATCACCGTTTATATCGAGAGGCTTTTGCAGGTATTTTCCGCATCTTAAGCCGATGGGAGTCAATATGCGACGAATCGATGATCGATCTATTTCTTCTTGTGGAGCATTTACCATCTCCGAAGTTGTCCATCCGAGTATGGGATGGGGATTATGAGGACGCCACTGTTGAAGACCTCTGGCAGATGGACATGGTAGCCTACCTTGTGCATCTCACGACACAAGACGCTTCAGCATATCCTATACTACACAATGTCAGGTCACTAGGTCTTGAAACTGCCATGACCAACATGCGACCTTCGGCGTTCTTTGAGCTTTTGAGCCGGTTGCCCAATGCTCGCCGTGTTTCAGCTGGAGAAAGTTTCTTCATAGAACCATTTGCACTCCGCGCCCTCCGCGAGGAAAGACAAAGTTTGTATACTTCATGCTCAATAATTCTTATGACTATTTTTGATGGACACTGACGACCTCTTCTTAACCAGTACTGGTCCGTTGTCTTTCTCTAGTCCCGCCTTCGGTCGAGGAGTTCGAGTATGAGATTTCACCGGAACGAGAAATGTCGTGGGCGCCGGTTGAGAATGCGGCCAATTATCTGTCGGTCAGGGGGCTGGACGAGCTCTCCATTGCCTTTCGAACACTCTCCATGCGACTGAGAGTCCTTCATCTGACTAGTGTACGGGTAAACAGTGAACTGTTTTGGGCATCACCTCAGGAAGACAGGGTCATCGTTGATACACTTCACTGGCCGCTGCTAGAGGTCATTACAATAACAGACACACCTCCATATACAGCAGACGGTATGTTCTGACAGCATGAAGTACTGATTCATGTTACGCTAACTCAGTCAGGAAACTGGATTCTGGAAGTTGATCCCAACAAAGGGCCACTGATGGAAATGGAGGATTTTGACAATGGATGGGATTACGATGAATTGGGATTTGACGCACGGGGACTGATTAGAAGTGACGAAGTCGACAAGCTCTACTCGGCAATGGGCAAGGCTGCGCAGAGAATGCCACGGCTGAGATACCTTGAGTTCGGGTTCCGCAGTGGAACTACAGACTCTGAAGGCTTGATATTCGGTCGAAATATGGAGACAGAAGAGGCTTATTTAGTGATTAACACAGACTGGGAATATGATCTTGGAGAAGAGGTCATGACGGCCTGGGGCTCAGAGGGTGAAAAGGCCAAGAAATTCCAGACACGTTGGATAATCCAATTCGATCGCTGGCCTTCGGGAGATACTGGCATCGGGGAGGAGAAAATGTCGGCACGTCCTATCTGATGCCTGTGGAGTTTACTGGGGTTTGTGCCGGCCGTTGGGTGACTCTCTCGGATCGATTACTTAGTTGCAAATGACAAAGGGTACCTGCCCCAAAGAAACCTTTAGGGAGCCCAAGGAGACAATCAAAATACCAGAAAAGGTTGATGATATTACCTTACAGTAGAAAAAAAAGGAGCTTTGAGACTGCGTAGAAAATTCTGTAACATACCTGCTGCAGGTGAATATATCATTAAGCTTAGCATAATCCTTTCTAGGCATTCATAGCTTCCTCTGTGAATGTATTCAGACGTCCTTCACAAGGTTACCTGTTATTCACTGTTCTGTTTATTTATGACCGTCCACTGTACACTTGTCTCCCTTCCCATTCCAGTTTACTCCTTTTATCACTCTTCTCTTACTCTGATCACTGCTGCATGCCCATTTCCTCATCTCCTGTGATATTTCTGGCATTTCAACACTGTAAAAGGAGGTAGTCCATACCATATCATCATGGACCCATCTCAATTATACTCTGGGTAAGCTCTTCCAGATCCTGTCTTCTTGCCACACTCTTACCAGAAACGCAAAAACTAGGATCCCAAAGTTCAAGTGCTTTCAATATTTTTTCCAAGCTACAGAGCCCTTAGATCTCCTAAGAAACCTCTTACGTTTTCTGAGAAACGACAATTCTGTGTGTGGTTTGCCAAAACTTACCAAACGGAGATCGAGTATTATTCTGCGGATAAGCCTTACGATAGCAGGGAAAAGGGTGGTTCGAAGGCTGGGGAAGCTCTCCGAAATCCGAAGAGTGTACTGAACATAAAGAAGTAATTTTCGAGGATGAACCTACGCGAGGATGGCCAGAGCCAGCAGACCCTTACTCGGGAACGGAACAAACAGTCTTGCGAACGCAAGTGCCTGGGAGCCAGGCAGAGGGTTTTCCAGATATCGGGTTGCAGGACATGATGGGCGAGAAGATCATGGAGGTTCCGAAGGCGGCCGGCAGTGTGTTGACTTCAGTGGTATTGACTATGGATTTGCTGTTGCTCTGCAGGATCTTTGGCGTGCACCTCGATCCAGAGAGCAAGCTCTGTAGCCCCGTACTTCTAGATGTATAGCCCGGGCTTACATGTCTGGGTATGTCAGGCCTCATTTTATCTCGTGGTAAATACGGACATACAGATTACCTGGAACCCGTCCCAAAGCAACACATTCGACGCCTCAAGAATCTGGAGTGGGAAGTGCCAATAGTATCAGAGAAAAAACAGTGATGTCTGGCCCAGTTCCGTCACCATAGCCAGAAGGCTGCAGGGAACAAACGATGACTGTCAAAAGAATATATAATAGGGATGACCACAAATCAGTGGCCTTAATACGCATTCTGCTTAGGGAGACGCTCACCATCTTTCTTCTGTATTGGAGGCAATGTCTTGCCTAAGAACTCTGTCATCTTCTAGCTACTGGTGTCTTTCCTCACACTTTTCAAATTCCCACTAAGGACGGAATAATGATAGATATTGATGCCGTCTTAAGAACAATCGGTATTTGGAATATTAGCATTCCTGTTCTGTGCCCCCGTCATTTACCTCTAAGCGAAAGTTAATGCAAAGGACCCTGAAGGTGCAAACAATCTGCTTGCGTACCCAAATCGAAAGCGACCCTTTCCATTGATGAACGTCAATACCGGCGAAAGGCATCCGTTCATGAGTGTTCAGGGAACACGATCCCTCCACAAGCTCTGTCAAGGCGCCCTCAATGTGGTCGTCAACATCACAGATTGTTCTCAGCCTCTGCACACTTAGCTCCGTGGCTTCAGAGGTAAGGGACTGTAGATAATGGTTATGAGATTGTAAAAGCAGCTATGACTTCGTCCCCAGTCACAATGCTGGGACTCAATAAGGAAGTGATCCTAAAATGAAAGGCAAAAGCTAGTGAATGTGAGTGGGGTGCAACATTTCGGGGACTTGGCGATCCCAACACCACTCACCACTCACAACCCCGCTTGCATCTCCCTCTCTCACCATTGCAAGCATTATTTTGCCTCCTTACCATGACCAAGGTTCACATCTCAGGAAGCCTCTACAATGAAGTTGATAAGCTCTCTGCCCTGCGAGATCATCGGCCTCATTCTTGCAAGCTGTGAGCGCTTTGCTCAGCTACGCGACGCGATCTTGACTTGTAAATCATTTTACTCAGCGTGGAAGTCCTATACAGGGACGATTCTATGGCATATCGGCCAAACTGAGATCTTGGGGTTCACGGACGCGTTGATCGCGGTAAGTGCTTTTCTCCTTTACACCCTCGCTTCAGTAAACTTATACTCGATAATAACCATGAGCTTTTAGGTTAGAGCGACAGAGATTGTAAAGCAAGCAGCTCTGAGGGGAGATCTCCCTCCAACTCCATTGCCACTGGGCAAGCTGGGTGGAGATATCCGCAGACCAACACTGGATGAGATGAAAGTTCTGTTCGATTTCCGGCATTTGGTCGAGTGTCTTGAACGGCTATTCAAGGAGAACAGTCACCCATACTGGTATGATGGCATCGCAAGGCTCGAGCCAGAAGACAGGATGCAAGCATGGATGGTGTGGAAGGAGCGGTTGCATGTGGCGTTGTATCGAGGCTTCCTTTCAGGCGCTGCGCTATATCGCGCGTTTCAGGAGCCTTTAACTATGGCAAGCACTTGCGGTCTCCCACGTTTTCTGGACGGATTTAGGAGAGTTAAAGGAGATGGAGCTGGCACTCTCACATCGGCTGAGAAGCGCTACCTGCTCCAATATCCCATATTCAAATTTGAGGAGTTCCAGCAGCACGGGGATATATTCCAGCCTCTGGCAGACATCTTCGTACAAGAGAGCAAGAGAAAGGCCAAGGTGGTGAATGCTTTAAAAGGTGCAACTCTCTATGAGCGGTACGGGGCAGAGCAGTATGACCCTGCTGTCCTCGAAAGAAGCCATGCACAGGCACTCTTCCACCAGCTCCTGCAGTTTATGTTCGTTGCGCACAGTGGAATCCTCCAGGAGATAATCCGAAATGAGGATGGATACCCATATAAGAGCAGGACTGGGCCCATACCGAAAAAGATGCCTGAACGTCACCGTACTGTGACTGTTATCTTTTTCGACGTGCTTAGCCTCGAGGAGATTATCATGCCAGAGAATGTGGAAGATGCAATCGGGACCTTCGTACTTGCACGTCCCGGTCTCGGACGTCCTGTGGACAAGGGTTCTAACTTATCCGGGGTTGAATATGTGTCCCGCAACATTGAGAAATTACTCTACGAGATTCAATGGTTCTCTGGCCAGCCAAATTACTATTGGCCTAGCTGCAGAACGCCTCCCCCAAAACTTCAGTTTGTGCGATACATGCTGTCTAAATACTTCCGACTCCGGTTCAAAGCTAACACATGGGATTGGAATGAACCGTCGAGTAAGGCCTGGTATGTATTTATCAATAGCGGTGATGTCTTCTGTGAACGTATTCTGGCGGACGAATGTGAAGGCGCTTGTGCACTCTTTGAGTCGATCAATACTCCCCTTCCTGAGCCTTATTTTGCTCCTAGGCCCTAGTAATATTACATGCAACTAAACAGGATTTCTTATCGAAGATATGATAGGAGCATCTCCATATCATCGAGACTTCTTTGAGTCTCATTGGGTGAGGCATCGAAGGGGCAAGTCAGTAATGATCCACTACGCTGAGTTCAAAATCACGAGCCGTTGTCTGTCATTCATAAACTATTAAGATGTCAAGTCTTCCACCGCCCCTGACGAAGTGGCATGTGCGCTCGATGCATACCCATCCTAGGTTGCGCGAACTATTGAGTACTGGCGTTGATCCATAAATAAAGGGGATAAAGTTTTCCAGATAAGGTTATTGAGGTTGAATGCGGAACTTAGCCAATCAACATTCTCCATCCGAAACTATTGCGTCTCTAGTGGCGAATCTCGACTCCACCGTCGTATTCCTGAAAGAGGCAAGGAATACGGATACGGAGAGGTGTCGACATTTTGAAGCCTGCTATAATTATTCGTCTGCCTGATGACTTGAGACCTTATCCCATCCGCTCTCACTTGTCTCTTCCCTACTCACGTCTGGCAGTAAACTCAGAACCATGGGAAGACCCGAGACGCGTGCCCAATCCTCTGAAAGCGATCGACCTCCACCCTATTCACTGGTGGATGGTGAGCTTGTTGCGGAGTCGGCTGATGTTCGCGGTAAGTAAGTAACGATGTCAAGTAGTATGTCGCTAACTAGACCAGCCGATGGACGGATTGACGTTGATCTGAACTCGAGGATTGCCCGCACACTCGCTCAGATCGTCCAGCTGCAACAGGAAGACATCCACAGCCCACCTCCCAACTATGAGCAGGGGCTGCAACAGCAGCAACGTCAAGGTTATGAACTACAACCAATCGAGTGCAACATTCATCTCAATATTGTGATCCAGATTGTTGGTAGCCGCGGCGACGTCCAGCCTTTTATCGCACTCGGTACCAAACTAAAGGAGCATGGCCATCGCGTCCGTCTAGCCACACATGATGTTTTTGCAGACTTTGTGAGGTCCTCCGGGCTCGAGTTCTATCCCATCGGTGGCGATCCTGCGGAGCTTATGGCCTTCATGGTGAGAAACCCCGGCCTCCTACCGCAGATGAACAGTCTTCGGGGCGGGGAGATCCAGAAAAAGCGAGCCATGGTTGCAACCATGCTGGACGGGTGCTGGCGTTCATGCATCGACGATGACCCGCTAACCAAGGTCCCATTTGTGGCGGATGCAATTATTGCGAATCCGCCCAGCTTCGCGCATGTGCATTGTGCGCAGGCATTGAAGGTCCCGGTGCACCTGATGTTTACCATGCCGTGGAGTAGTACGACTGCTTTCCCTCACCCGTTGGCGAATCTACGGCCGTCGGATATGAGTCCCCGGATGGCACATTGGGTTTCGTATGGTGTGGTAGAATGGTTGACGTGGCAGGGGTATTGATTCCCAGTCTCTATGCATTCATATAGCTGACGGGAAGTAGGTTAGGCGATGTGATCAATCGATGGCGAGCCACCATTGATCTGGAGCCCATTCCGATGGTCGAGGGGCCCAGTTTGGCAGAGACTCTCAAGATCCCTTTCACGTACTGCTGGTCTCCAGCGCTGGTACCAAAGCCTAGGGACTGGGCTGAGCATATAGGTTAGTACTCCATTGTGGTCGACATGGAATATACTCATAACTATAGATGTGTGTGGCTTCTTCTTCCGGCAACCACCGTCGTACCAACCACCGCCAGATTTAGAGCAATTCCTTGCTTCAGGGCCACCACCAGTGTATATCGGCTTTGGAAGCATCGTTGTGGACGATCCGCAACGCTTGTCTAATACGGTATTGCAGGCAGTTGCTGAGTCTGGTGTTCGTGCCATCGTGTCACGAGGTTGGAGCAAGTTGGCCGGAGATGGGAATCCAAACATCTACTTCATCGGCGACTGTCCGCACGAATGGCTGTTCCAGCATGTTTCGGCGGTTGTCCATCACGGAGGTGCTGGGACGACTGCCTGTGGACTTGCCAACGGGAAGCCAACAGTCGTCGTACCTTTTTTTGGAGAGTAAGGCCGCGTTCTTCTATATACTGGCCAAGGGCTCACTAGTATTTAGTCAACAATTCTGGGGAAGCATGATTGCAAGGGCTGGCGCAGGCCCGTCTCCCATTCCGCACGCTACGCTCAGCGTTCAAAATCTGGCCGAGGCTATTCGATTCTGTCTCAAGCCACAGACCATTGCTGCTGCTCGTGGAATTGCCGCCAAGATGCAGTATGAGTCGGGCGTCACTGCGGCCGTACAGTCCTTCTACCGGCATCTTCCGGTGGAGCAGATGAGGTGCCAGGTATTCCCAGACCAGGTTTCCGTATGGACATACGCGAGGTACAAGCGTGAAATTCGATTATCAAGGAAAGCCGTGCAGATTCTCATCGACCACCTAAAGATTGACCCAAAGAATCTCCGCTGGTGAGTTTGTATTCTCCAATTTTCGTCGCACACTGACGGATCAGTTATGATATCAAACCGATTATCATCGAGAACCGCCGCTGGGATCCCCTCACCGGTGTCACATCCGCAGCCGTAGGCACCGGCACTGATATGCTCAAAAATACCACCAACATGTTCTACAAACCGTACAAAGAACTCGCTCGCAATAGGACCGACATCTCCTCCGATGGCGAAGAGCGCAACCCTGTTGCCACCGCCGGGGCCATGGCAGGGCAATTTGCCAAAAGCTTCGGACAGTTCCTGGGGTCGTACACTAGGGGTGTCATTGTAGATATCCCGCACGCGGCAGCGGAGGGATTCCGACAGGCTCCGCGGCTGTACGGCGAACAGCCCAAGGACTACGGGGCTGTGCAGGATTGGAAGTCCGGGGCTACGGTTGGGGGAAAGAACTTTGTGGATGGCATGATGGAGGGAATATCAGGGCTGGTCACTCAGCCGATCAAAGGGGGCAAGGAGGAGGGCGCGCTAGGTGTTGTCAAGGGTTTGGCGAAGGGGACGGCGGGACTCATGACCAAGATACCCTCTGCTGGACTGGGACTCGTGGCGTATCCATTTCAGGGTATTGTGAAGAGCATCGAGTCGTCGGTTAGGTCCAAGACGAGAAAGGCTATTATCACGGCGCGACTACGGGATGGCTATGAGTTGAGCAGAAGGGAGTCAGTTTCGCAGGAGGAGAGACAGTTTGTCCTGCAGAAGTTTCAGAGTCTTTTGAATGGTACAAATACTCCCCTGACCTAGGTTTGACATTCGCTCAGGGGCTTCACGCTAGGCCTAAGGCAGCAACTGATACAAGGCATCAACAAAGTCACATGACTCTGGGGATGAATCGGATGATAGTGATGCATTGCTGGTGCCTCGCGCAGACACCAAGCGAAGGACGAATCGGGATAAAACAAAACACCATAGAGTTAAAGAATTAGAGACCTTTTACTATTACTACTATTATGATTTAGCCACTTACTACAGGCATAACATTTACGGCGGCTGTCAGCTCATTACCCTTGGTGCACTGTGGCATCTTTTGTCGCGCTTATTCCAACATGGTCCACAAGTCTTGGACATAGTTGTGCATTCGTGTATATTTCCCCTGCATTTTGAGGGACGTGAAGCATTCAAGTCATGGTGCATAGTCATGGAAGCCAATACCACAGTCGCCTCGCGCCTTGTCCCAATAGCTCCTGCGCCAGCTAGGGCACCCTCCGTCAATATGGCAGACTTGACTACAATGGGCTTCAACTGCCAAGCTTGTGTACGCAAAAAAATCAAATGCAATAGAGCTGTGCCAACATGCTCAAGCTGCAGCAAAGCAAAGCTCCACTGCGTCTACCAGGCTCATCTGCCGCGGAAGAGGAAGCGAAGCCATTCCGAAGACGTGTATGAACGTCTAGCACGGTACGAGCGCATCTTGAAGGAGAACAATCTTCTGCCTACTGCTTCTGCATTGACCCCATGCGGCAAGGAGATGGAGGCGTCGGTGGTCAGTACACGGAACGCAACCCCAGTGCAACTTACTAAGTCTGGTAAACTCCTTTCCGCAGAGGGCAAGTCTCGCTATATTGACAATGTTCTCCTCCTTGATGCCGGAGAAGGCGATCTGTGTGAATTATCCGATTCCGACCAAGACGACTACAATGATGACACTGGAACTGATGAGGGCACCCGGACTGGACTTCTGGGTGTCCTGGCAGCACACACAGTCTCTGGGGCAATACTTGGAAGCACTCGGAGCCTCACTGATCAGCATCCCAGCTATGAGGTGGCTACGAAGCTCTGGAGCGCCTACGTGCAAAATGTTGACCCCCTTTGCAAGGTCCTTCATGTTCCGACTGTTGCAAAAATGGTCGACACAATCGCAAAACAGCCTGCTGCGGCCTCGAAGACTGACGAATGCCTGCTTTTTGTCATCTACTATTTCGCCGTTTTCTCCATGTCAGATGCCGACTGTCTGCAAGAGTCCAACCAAACGAGGAACCATTTGATGTCGAAATATCGGTCCGCTGTTTGTCAGGCACTTGTCAATGCGTCGTGGCTGAAGACTACAGCGATGCCGGTACTACAAGCTTACACACTCTTTCTCGTTGCCATGCGCACGCAGATCGATTCTCACACGTTTTGGATTTTGACAGGCATTGCGGTTCGCCTGGCACAACGCATGGGCCTGCATCATGATGGTGAGGACCTGGGGTTGCCACCATTTGAGGTCCAGATGCGACAGCGGCTCTTTTGGCAACTGCTTCCACTGGACGGCTATGCGGGCCAAGTTTGCGGCACTGGGATCTCGATATCGCCGAATAGCTGGGATACGAAGCAACCGCTGAACATTAACGATGAGCATATCTTCCCTGGTATGACGCAGCAGCCTCAAGAGCAACGAGGCGCCTCGGAAATGATTTTCTGCTTATCGCGGATTGAGCTGTCCAATTTCTATACCCGAACGGGTATTAAAATGAAGGAAATCGGTGGTACGATTCAATTCAGGGAAGCAGAGGACATCGAGAGGCTCATTGATGAGGTCGAAGATCTCATCGAGACAAAGTTTCTGCGCTACTGCGATATCCTGAACCCCTTACACTTTTTCACCACTGGAATTGTACGCTCTGCCACTAATGCCGTCCGACTACGGGCTCGAATGCCACTGTTGCTGAAGCAAACCATTACAGACGCGCAAAGGAGAGATCTCTGCACTCTCGCAGAGAAGATTCTCGATACAAACAGCGCCATCTACGGCAATCCCAGCATGGAGAAGTTCCGGTGGCAGATGCAAGCCTTCTTTCTGTGGGATGCCCTTCTCTGTATTCTGCTTAGCATCGCAGAAGTCGGATTCTACTCAATGTCGCAGCTAGACACTACGTGGAACAAGGTTGCAGAAGTCTATTCGAATCACGAAGAACTTGTCAAGCGCAAGAGGACCCTGCACGTCACCATTGGCAAGCTAACTCTCAAGGCCTGGCTTGCGAATCCGCCCAGTAAGTCGTCCCCGGAGCCGGCCTTCATAACCGCGCTGCGCGAACAACACGAACCGAAAGTCAAGAGGCCGCAAGAGAGAGTTGATGAAATGGAGGAAACCGACAAGGTTGCGGACGGTATATTTGGTCTTGATGAGCTCTTTGGCGACATTGATGGAACAGGCTTGAATCATAGTGGTGGCTTCACCCTCGACTCTCCAGATTGGGTGGTTTGGGATCAGCTGTGTCAAGGGACCAATCTGGGCTGAGCAGGCGGCTTTCGTGCCCGATGTCTTCGAGGACTCATGAAGCACGATGCAGTGAGACAGCACATTTACGATTACGAGTTCATAATGGGAGAGTCGCTGGCCATCATTCGCTTCAACAGGCAACATGAACCGGATAGTACCAGCCCTGTCCTCATTATAGGAGCGGGTCCGTAAGGCCTTGCTATTAGACAACCGGTAACCAACAATGGCATTGCCGACATCACCTTCGAGGCTTCTTGTGGAGCCTTCTCCTATTGTTACGGTACAGCAACATGAGGCCTAGCTGTACAGAGTAAGGTATATGTAGGTAGTTTAATAGGGCCGGGCCCGGGCCCGAAGAATGGCCCCCTCCCATTGGACAGCGCGACGGTCGTCACGGGCGATCCGGGCCCGAAGCGGAATACGTCCCGGTGATTGGCTGCTTGATACATAGGAATGTACAATAGGTAAGTATAAAAAGTCAGGCAGCGTAGAATTAAGAATCGGAGGATTATTCCATCCAAGATGAGAGATAAGAACCCGAGCGCCTCCGACGAGGGCATCGCACCTCGCGCGGAGAAGGAAGACGTCGAAGCAGCCAAAGCGACAACCTCAACTGAGCCGTCCAACAAAGACCCGAATCTCGTCACATGGAGCGGGCCAGATGACCCAGAGAACCCCAAAAACTGGCCCAACGGCCTGAAGTGGAAGACAACCTGGACCGTCTCCCTCTTCGTCTTCATCTCGCCCGTCTCATCATCGATGATTGCCCCGGCCATGCAAGATCTCGGCGAGACCCTGGAGATGCGCACCAACCTTGAGGTGTACCTCTCCATGGCCATCTTCATCCTCGCCTACGCCATCGGCCCCATCTTCTTCGGTCCTGCCTCGGAGCTCTACGGTCGTGTGCGTCTGCTTCAGGTCAGCAACGCGTGGTACCTAGCCTGGAATCTGGGATGCGGTTTCGCCAAGACCAAGGCTCAGCTGTTTGCTTTTCGCTTTCTTGCTGGCATTGGTGGCAGCGCGCCGCTGGCAATTGGAGGAGGCGCCATCGGGTAAGAAAGACACAACCACCGAATTTTTCCTTTGCTAAGCCGTCTTGCAGCGACATGTGGAGCGCCGAAGAACGCGGCAAGGCCATGGGCGTCTACACTCTTGGACCGCTCCTTGGACCCGTCATCGGGCCCATTGCCGGCGGCTTCATTGCTCAGTACTCAACATGGCGCTGGGTCTTCTGGGCAACCTCGGCTGCCGCCGTCGGAGTCCAGGTCGTCGGATTCATCTGGCTGCGTGAGTGCCACCCGGCCACGCTCCTACGCAAGCGACGGGACCGTCTCGTCAAGGAGACGGGCAACGAGAATCTGCATACTGAAGAGAAGGTGGAGACACTCGCCTACAAGCTTCTCCATGCGTTTGAGCGGCCGGTGCTCCTGTTCACGACGCAGCCCATCGTCTTCTGCATGGCCCTCTACATGGCCTACCTCTTTGGAATAACGTACCTGATGCTCGCCACGTTTCCCGAGATCTGGACCGTGGTATACCACGAGAGTTCCAGTATTGGCGGACTCAACTACCTCTCCATCGCCATCGGGTCATTCGCCGGCCTCTTCTTCAACCTCAAGTTTGTTGACCGCATCTACAAGACTCTCAAAGCGCGGAACAACAACGTCGGCAAGCCCGAGTTCCGTATGCCGTCGTTAGCCGTCGGCTCCGTCCTCAGCACGATTGGTCTCTTCTGGTACGGCTGGAGCATCGGGAACACGCACTGGATCATGCCCAACATCGGTGCCCTGATCTTCACCGCGGGCACGATTTCCTGCCTGCAGGGTATGCAGACGTACATCGTCGACAGTTACCAAACCTACGCGGCCAGCGCCATGGCCGCCTGCGCGATCCTTCGAAGTTTGGCCGGCTTTGGTTTTCCGCTTTTCGCTCCGTACATGTACCAGTCGCTGGGCTATGGATGGGGGACCAGCGTGCTGGCATTCGTCACCGTGGGTATTGGCTGGGTGGCGCCTTTTGCGTTTTGGCGTTTTGGACCCAAGCTGCGTGCCATTTCCAGGTACGCCGCTGGCTAGAGCGGACTGGATGGAACTATCGGGATAGTAAAGACTAGGGTGATTTCGCAACCGGAATTGTCCTTGAAGTCTGGCATGTGAAGAAGTATGAATTGTGACTTGCTGTATTTGATAAGATACCAGAGACAATTCCTCTCATTTACAGGTTTCTTAAAATGTACGGCTAATCCCACTGTATGATGAGGCACGGCATCCGTATCTCTTAAGAAGGTGCTTGGAGGCTGGGGTACAGTGCCTTGCCAATCTGATACCCTGCACCTCTGTCCAGTAATGTCTATGCAAGAGTCATCCAGGCCATTCCCGCTCATATAAGCGTTTCTCTGGAATTGCTGCGAGCGGGAAGTCAACGCTTGGTAGCATGGTCTATGTGTAGTGCCAACATCGGTCCTCAGGACGCAACAGGGGGCCAACCTGTCACTGCTTTGATCGCATTGGTCTCTGTCTGTAGACTATATTGTATTACTATGGTTCCATCCATAGAACTCTGTCCATCAACTTCATTCAGAGTCCGGTGAACGTTGGGACCTGGGAGATTGACTTACCACGTGGGGCAGTTGAAATCGTCACCTCGGTTCGTGGGGCCGTGACTTTCTCTATGCCGAAGAATCTAGGAGGTGATAATGATATGCCATTATGTCACAACTAACGGCCAAGTTGTTGCCTAGACAGAACAAGATTTTCGGACGAGAGATTTTAATCATCTTCAATGCGATGCACCATCAACATGCTCGAATGGTGGGATATGATTGGTGAGTGTAAATGCACAGAACAAGATCTAACCAATCATATTGCAGAGCAGAACGGGTGGCCACATCTACGTGCTTTGATTGGCTAGCCCATAGAACGCACCACGCCAAGTAAAGCCATCAACGCTTAGCGGGCCCACTTCCATTGTATATCTTCCTGTTCCTGATGTTCCGTACATCAGTGAGATAAAGAGCCTGGAACGGTGATAACGTCTATGCCAATCTGGGGTTTGACTTTGGCGATGCTACCTTGACTAAACATTGGTGATTAATGAAGAAGTAACGACGATGATCTCAATCTAAATGCCCCACAATATGCCCTCTGCCTTGATCAAACCCGGCAATTGGCACGACATGCAAGATCTGGCTGTATTACTGGCCAGAGCGGAGATATCGCTTACGGGTAGACATTTCCGATGGGCTGTACTAAAATAGCAGGTGCATAAGTCCTGCCTGTAGGATGTGACGATCAGCGCATGTGCTAGCGAGTGTCACTCTTCATTTGTTCATCCTGATAGCATTATGTCGGGATATCAACAGGATACTCAAGGTACTCGCTTCTCGCATTAATATAAAAAGATGTCACAACTGGTCAACAGGTGAGAATGAGCAAGAACTAACTTCCATTCATCATGAAGGCCAACACTTTGGTGCCCTTGCTCGGTCTCTCCAGCACCGCTGCCGCTGCGGCCGTGGCTGCGTCTGGCAACACCCCCTTTGGGTACGCCTCTGGCTCCAAGGAGTCCATTGCCAACCTGAAGGACAAGATCGAGAATGTCGTGTGGATTCTACTGGAGAACCGTAGTTTCGACAACATCCTGGGTGGTGTCAAGCGCAAGGGCCTGGACAACGTTGTTAACAACGGCCCCTTCTGCAACCCCCAGAATGTGAGCGATCCCAAGAGCGCCAAGTGGTGCAGCGTCTACAAGGACTTTGACTCGGTCCAACACGACCCTGATCACTCGATCACCGGTTACAACATGGAGTTGTATGGCACGTACACTCCCAACACCGCGGCCATCGCCAACGGCACCCTGAAGCCCAGCATGAACGGCTTCGTGGACCAGCAGCTGGTGCACCACAAGGGCATTGATCCCAAGGTGGCCAGTGAGGAGGTCATGGGCTACTACTCCGAGGACGAGATCCCCACTCTCGTCAACCTGGTTGACGAGTTCACCACCTTCAACTACTGGCACTCGTGTGTCCCTGGTGTAAGTCACTATTCCTGCTGAGAGTACAATGATACTGATGAGAATAGCCCACCAACCCCAACCGCCTGTGCGCGCTTTCCGGTACCTCCGATGGCCACGGCAACAATGACCACAGCTTCGACGTCTCTGGCGTCGACATCTCCAGCATTTTCCAGGTTGCCAGCGAGAAGAATATCACCTGGAAGGACTACGACGGCACCAACGGTGCCTTCCTTTCCGATGCTCTGTTCTTCAACTGGACCGCCCAGAACGCCAAGAAGAACGTCGTCCCTCTCGAGAACTTCTACCAGGACGCCTACCTCGGCCTCCTGCCCCAGCTCTCCTACATCAACCCCTCCTGCTGCGATCTCGACACCAACTCCATGCACCCCTCCGGTAACGTCTCTTTCGGCCAGGTGCTCGTCAAGCAGATCTACGATGCTGTCCGCACCGGTCCCCAGTGGGACAAGACCCTCCTGCTCATCACCTTCGACGAGACTGGCGGTTTCTACGACCACGTCGAGCCCCCTCTGGCCGTCCGCCCAGACAACAAGACCTACACCGAGAAGGCCGCCGACGGCAGCTCCTACACTTTTAACTTTGACCGTCTGGGCGGCCGTATGCCTACCTGGCTTATCTCGCCGTACACGCCCAAGGGACACATTGAGAACTACGGTGTTGACCCTGCCACCGGCGAGTCTGCCTCGTACAGTGCCACCTCTGTTCTCAAGACCCTTGGATATCTCTGGGACCTGAAGGACTTTACTCCTCGTGTTTCTCACTCGCCTGCCTTTGACCATCTGATTGGTCCTAAAAAGCGTAATGATGCGCCTGCCACCTTGGCTAATCCCCATCCTTTCCCTGATGCTGTTTAGGAGTTCATTATGAAACCTATTCAGAATTAAGGATATGCCGTAAGAAGAGATCCAAAGCATCTTATATAGCCCTTCGCCTTTCTGTATATGGTGTCCTTGTCTGTTGAGGGAATTTATGTTCCGACGATATACGAGCTTGATCATGAATGATTGATAATCTTTTAAAATGGTGGCTAAAATGTTATTTACGACTATGTTCCCTTTTGCACCTACTAGGACTAAAACCATATCCATTGACAGCAGCAAGTCTCTGAGGCAAAGTTAGCATAGCTATCAGTTGTACCGGCCAAGCTGATCTAGGCTGAGGATCACGGAAGTACCATAATTTGATATCCAAGATGTTTAAGGGCAAGCATACGGCAGAGGGCCCACGAATCTCCAATGGTTTGAACATTCGTGTTTGAGCCGCATTGATAATGTTTTGCTACATATTAGACAGCGTCTGGAATAGAGAATAGCGGAAGAATTATTCCTTTATCTATATGAGGAACACCTTTCCCTGTATGAATATTCATTACTGTTGCCTTGAGCAATGCGGAAGCTTGAGCCATAAGAGATTGAGCATCACTTGAGGCTTATAGACACAAGAAATGTCCGAACCACTGCTTCATATTTGTAGAAAGCCCACTCCGTGCTTGAAGGATGCTCCTCGTCTTTGCAGCGGTTATCCGTCATAATTTGATGCTTCAAGAAGGGCTCCCTGATTTAGCCCGACCATGGCAAGGGAATAGCTTGTGATATTCTTATTACATACATGTTATTGATGATGGCTTCGGGGCATTAGAGAAGTCGAGAAAACTGCTAGTCTGCAAAAATATATAGTATTAGTCTAGTAGACAGAGCTACACCACTGCACCTAAGAGTGGTCGCTGTAGTAGTATTTCCACATTGGGTGGTACCAGTGTTTGTCCTGATACCGATTACAGGAGTGCGGGTGACATATATTTCATTGTCAAGCCAGCCCTTCACGTAGTACATAACATCTGGTGGCGCTGTCGGATATAGTCTATACTGGGGAGTGTGACATTTCGGGAGAGCAGTTTGAGCATGGTGAAGCGTCAGTCTAACTTGGGGTACTCGACCACGGTCTAATTTTTGGCGGCAGGAGCAGTCTGTAGTATCTATGGAAAGATGCGAAAGCAGATAATGCAGCTGAGGAGAGGCTCATAGCCCAGCAGATCTGCGCTGACTATTAAAAGATACAACGACGACACATGCCCTTGTAGACTGTCTAAGGTCGAAGAGTACAGCACAAGACAGTACCATTTCGCCCAATACTAAGCTTACATGGACATCTAAGAAGTTCTGAAGCTGGCAGCCACAAGGACTAAAGGTCAAAACACGAGACACTCGGGCCACCACCAGCTTTGATGCGATCCTAAGGATGCTTATAGTTGGAAAGGCCAATGAGGTGCGAACCTTAACGAAAGTAGGTCGGTGGAAATTTTTACCCTGTCCCTGGGTATCGTTTCGCTAATGCGCCGTTCTTTTCGCATTGCCAGGTTTCTGTCCGGTAATCACATGGAAATAAGAATAGAGACGAAGGTTCTCCTGCTGCAGTTCTTCACGAACACGGGCGAGGAGCTTGTCTGTATCCTCCTTCGACCAGGCTAATGTACGAGTGAATAGTCGCATAGAATACACCTCTAGACTTTTCAGCAGCTGGTAGGAGTAAGTCCCTCCAATTCTCTTCCATTTGGGGTCCTCGGTCCATTCACCCAGTGGAACCTACAAGGCTCAGTACGTGTCTTACTCGGGGCGAGGGAACAAGAAATCGTGAGCTTACCTTGAATACCTGCTCCTTTACCTCCGCAAACCCAGCACGCTCCATCCACTCCCGCTGCTTTCCGGCAACATTAATCCTCTTCCCGAACTTTTCTGCCGCTTCCTCCAACAGCTCCTGCCATTGTCGTACTGCGTCTGGAACACTGCTATCGCCATCATCAGAGCAAAGCCGAATATCATGTTCCTTTACTTCCAACCATCCACCAGGGACAAGATGCCTGTAGGCATTCTGGTAGAACCCCTCCCAGTCTGCAAGCAGCCCACCCAGGGACTGCGCATGGATGAGATGAAACGCCTGCTTAGCTGAGAATGGCCAGTCCACTTCTAGATCATGGTGCACAATCCAGGTCCAGTCAGTCCGCTGCATGTAGGTAGGATCCATAGCGGTGAGGCGAGCCGCGTGATGCTCGCTCCGAAATAGATTAGCCCAGGCACCACTCCGTGTAGCAAAGTCAAGAACCTTGTGGTTTCTCTTCAATGGAGTCGGAAGCGGCGCGACGAAAAGCTTATCATCTAGCATCATGCGCCAGACGTAATCGAGTGCGCTATGGCTCGCTTGGGCGTCCTTATCATCGGGAAAAGGGAATTCGGCCTTGAAGCCATAGTAACGATGTCCATTTTCATAGGTATGATTGTTTCGGGCCTCGAGCCAGCTTTGCTGCATCTGTGTGGTCACGGTGGGTGCAATTACGATGGTGACAAGGGTAGGAGTTTTGAGGAATCTCGAGTTGGAGAGGGACAGGGCGGGGAGAGACGGAGCATATATACATACCCTAACCACTAGAGCCTTGGCTCTGATTGGCTGACATTTGGTGGGTTTTTGCTACCCCCTTCTGCTCCATTATATGACGTCTATTCTCTAAATTGCCACGCACGGATGTAGAGAGGTACACAACGAATACACCCGTCTGTTTTTGCATGTGTTCCACCGTTCCACGCGGGTCGCGCAAGAATGTACGCTGCAAGTTGTTCCTTATAGGACTGCGGACAGAAATTAGTTACAAATTTTTGCAAAGAAGGCGAACCCATATTTATATTAAAGCGCTTCCTGTTCACCACACACGCCCTAATTGCCTAGATGGTAAGAGCTGTAAAATCATCCATGGTATTATGGGAAGATTGGGACCCGCTCTCTAACCAAAACATACGGAGGTGGTATGGCGAATTAGGCTACGGGAGACGCTCGAAAAGGTCCCAGTAGTATTTGCCGGGCTTAAAGCTTCAAATTACAGCTTTCCGACATCCGCTATCCAACAATGCGGAAGATTCCATGACAGTCTGTCTAACGGCCTAAGAGAGGATATCTTATGGCGAAGGGCATCATGGCAGATTTGGCATAGATAGTGGTGCATGGCATTCTAAAGAATAGGCGAATATTAAATACCTCAATCAAACTTCCATTGCGGGATTTACATGTCAAATACCATCGGATCAAAATCCATCTAATCGGATATTGATGGCTCCGTTTCGCACCTGAGCTCGCAGACGTTGGATATCCTGCTGTACACGAACTGCGAGCGGCCCAGTAACCCCCTGCCAGTGTGTTTCCATTGCGTCTAGCCAGCGATTCATGAAGTCGGTCGATGTGCGAATCATCCCGGCAATGTGATTCAGCATCCACATCCGTGAAATAGGGCGGATGTCGAATGTTTGCGTGGGATTGGCCGCGTTCCACGCCCGGTTGCACGTCCAGCGTTCATTGACAATGTCATGATATTGGAATACTAGACAACGGCGTACTTCTTCGGCATCCAAATAGCGAAAGACGGAGATCACGCTTCGAAGTCGACTGAGTGCTTGATCAGGGTCTGCCATGTTTGTGATATGTCGTTGCATGGAACTGTCGGCCAATGGCCCACGATTCCAACGACGCCAGTTCCAAACCTGGTCACACCAGTTAACCAAAGGCTTCAAAGAGTATGTCATGGGAACAACTTACTCTGTGTTTCATGAAGTTCAAGTAATGGTCCAGAAGAAAGAAGCAGTCTACATTGTCTGTACTACCGTAGGCTTCGAAGATCCTTTCCGACGGAGTGCTCGTGTCACGTCCCCCAATGGGCGGCCCCCAAATCGCGGCATTTACGTTTGGTCGGTTCATCCAGGCATCGGCCACAAAACCAGCAGGAACAGGAGTAAACGCATTCGGCGTATTCCCGTCCAGTCGACCATAGCTGATATCGGACAGGAATAGGCCCTCGGTAAACAATTCCGGGATATGCTCAACTAAGCAGATGAAATGTCGGTCAGACAGAAGATCCATTTAGACGGGAAGAAGTATTATGATTAGTCACTTACCATGCATCCGTCGGCCGTTGTAGGAATCCTGAGCGATGTAGACGACCCTCAAGTCACTGTTGGCGCAGTCCGCACGATTGCGATAGACAACTCCACGCAGTCGAATATCGCTGCGAGCGGGCACTTCATTGATCGAGTCGTATTCAGAAGATCTGATGGTTGTTTGACCTGAGCCGCCAATTTGGTTATTGTAGAGAAAGCAGTATGATCGCGAAGGTCCTCGCTTTTCCAAGGAAGGAAACTCATTGCACTTCTCGTCCCATTCTTCATTGGAGCAATCGCTCTCCCCATCAGTGCATTCATCGACTAAATTACAGCCGAGGATAGGCCTGGAGTTGGCCAGGTCATTGTAGCTTTCAGGATAACACAGGATATCATCCGCTAGCTCATCAAGCGAGTCCTCGTATATATTCTCGGTTTGGGCTTCTAGCTCACTTTTGAAGCCGGGAAACTGCAGATTCGGATAGTTGTCCTTGACCGCATCGTTCCACCAACTTATATAGCTGGTGATCAAGTCGCTATTGTAATAAGCTGCACTTAGAATGGCGAGGAGTACCTTCTGCGTCTGCTCGCGCGCTTTGGCGTTGCTGGTCTCAGCTCGTGTTGACAGGCCTCCGGACTGATCGTTAGGGCAAGTTGGACTCTGGAAGTATTGATTCAGAGCGCTTTTCAAATCTGTCACATTTTGACGCTCTTGCCATTCCGTATCGTAGCGACCATTGTATGCGCACCAGGACATAGCACCTGGTTTGTTCTTGCAAACCCCCTCATTCTGCATTGCGAGGCGGTACATGTCGCTAGGGCAGTCCGACGAGCATCGGTCGGGCTTGTCTGTGTTTTGGACAAAAAGCCCGTCAAACTTATGCCACTCACCGTCTGTCCATTTATTATCTTCGTCATCGAAGCAGCAGTAGCCACGGGCTTCATTCTTATTGCACCTGACGGCGCCGCTGCCGGAGGCGGAAAACACCTGGGGAAACTTCTGGAGAATGGGACAGCTTGCCTGGCATTTGTCCGACTCCCCAGCCCAGACGCAGCTATTCCACGCATCCATACTGTTTGTCGCCTTGACAGTGCAGCAAGCTGCTTGATAGCCCTTGTGGCAGCCGCCCTGGGTGCTACCCACCTCTACCATGCCCTCTGGGCAGGTGTAGTCACAGCGGCTGTTTGAATGCGTGTACCAGCCGCAAGTCGGCATCGATGCTTCAGGACAGCATAGAGTGTGTAAGTTGCCATCGCATGCAGTTGTGTCGAGCATGAGCTCCTCCTTGTTATGGCGGTTCTTGTCGGTGCGAAGCACGGCTTGATAGCCGGTTGGGCACATCTGGCCGCAGTTGGTCCATTTGCACTGGTCGATTGTCTTCTTGACCTGAATATATTCGCTGCTGTTGCTCCTTCTTTTCGACGTCATCCCGTGCCGATTCACGGTGCGCTGATAGAAGGAGTTCGAAAAGCGCCCATTGGGCATGTCATGGCTGACTGCCCACACCATGAGGCCGCCGAGGTCCTGCCCCAAGGCAAACTGTGCCTTTAACTCTAGCGTTTCTTCGTCGTCATAAGCCACCCACTGATTCTCCCAGTGAATAACCTTTACCGCTGCATCCTTGTACAGCTTCGGTGTCAATTGCTTCTCGTCAATGATGTCCATGATCTCACTGTTTAGCAAGATACCGTTCTCCCGACTGCAGATGCCCATGTTTGCAGCTGATTCAAAAGTGCAGCCCGGCTCCAAGCATGCAGTTGAGGTAGCAGTAAAGGCTCTACCATAGAAGGCGGTGCCCATGACAACTTTCTTGCTTGGGATATTATTTCGCCAGAGGAGATCCATGGCATCTTGAATCTCGGTAAGATTGGTATGGGCATTAAGAAAGTTACCCAGCCACTTATTCCCTTTGTCCCAGGCCCCGTGAAGATCATATGTCATAATATTGAAGAAATCAACATGCTTCTCCAGTTCGACGATGTCGAAATGTTGTAGGAACCAGTACGAAGCAGGCAACGTAATAGTCAAACCATCTCGACCACCGGAGCTTTTGAGAACTTGTTTCAGCTGGCGAAGGAACTTCGGAAAGTTTTTAAAATCCTGCTCGCGGCCTCCGCGTTCGACGCTATCATCCGGGCCCGGATACTCCCAATCCAGATCCACGCCGTCCAAGTTGTAGGTGGAAAGAAAGGAGATTAGTGACTTGAAGAATTTTTTCTGCGCATCATCCGATGCAGCAAGATCACTAAATGTTGTGCGTGTTGGCCCTGGATCGTTATACGACCAGCCACCAAGAGCGATAAACACTTTCAGGTCCGGATCTTGTTGTTTCAACCGGGCGAGCCTTTTGATGAGAGATTCCTCCTCGCGAGATGCCAACTTGACCTCAAAGGTAGCTGGATCGATGGTACCGAATGCGTAGTTCAAATGCTGTTCGGTATAATCAGCGAATATTCCTATGTAGCGAGCTCATGAAAAATAGAAGAGAGGGCCAACTCCACCGTATATATCCCTAGGGGTATTTGCTCAGGAAAGAAGGTATGGCATGAACGCTTTCGGGACCACCCTTCGTAATAGCCCACAATGCGCTTGAGCGTCGTAAATCCATTGTAACTGGCTGACGGCCGTTTGACCTTTTTGTCGCCACAGAACTCCTTGGTGATGCCACAGTAACCCCATTTGCTACAGCACACATTCAGCGGGCACTTGGAATGTTCAGCGTATTCGCCATAGCCGCCGGGGTCACAGTAAGATTTTGCCTCGCAGCCAGCAACACAGTTCTCAGGTGCACAGTCTTCCGCTGATCAGCAAATGACGGTTCGATGAAAAGGACTTTTGAGCGTCTTACAATCGGGACCTAAGCCACAGAATCCAGCCTTAGAGCAACAGGCGTTGCCGGCACAAGGATTGTTTTGATCACAAGAGGGTTTGAAATCGCAGTTGGCAACACAATCTGCTCCCTATGCCATAGTCAGTATGCTGTAGCTAGTTGGCTCTGCAGGATGATTCCCGGAAAGTTCCTGAGCTTATACGCACACAGTATTCGTCGCCAACTCCGCAGTATCCAGATCTGCCATATTGATCAATCCGAGGTCAGCTCAACAGACTCTCGCTAATCCTCGCATTTTCCATGCTAGATGGGGGGGTTTTATATTGTACTTAGAACAGCATCCTGTGGCACATGGCTTGGAAGCGCTACAGTCCTGCGCAACAGCAGGAAAGGCGCCCCAAAAGGCCACCAGCAACAGCAACAACCTTGTATACATGATAAGGACGCATTGACAACAATAACACAGGAAAACAAATCAAACGATGAGACAGAAGGTGACTTTAACTCCCCTTTTCTCAAGAATGAGATCCACAGTCGGGTAAAGTAGGCCATATTTTCACTACACATGCGCGGAAGCCGCGAAGAGGCTCCGATATTGTTTTCCATTGTCAGACCGTGAGTGCATGGGTAATAGCAAGAAGCCCCTTTAGTCGGTGTTGCATCGATCGTATTTTCCGTCTCTTCCGAAGACCCTGGCTACTTCATCTCCGCCGAAGTAGTTGACGCTATTGAAAGATGTCTCACCCGACAGAGGTAAAGGGAGATAAGTGGAGTAATGATCCCGGCAGCAGTGGGCTGATATCGAGGTAGACCAAACCATCGAGGAGTCTTCACCAGGTCGAGCCAGCTCAGCGTAGTCGATTTCTACAGGCAACAACAAGTCAATCACTAGTAGTGAACTAAGCTGGTGATGCCGAGACAGATTAGTTCCTAATCTGGAGATCTAGCATTTGTCTACTTAAGCACCGTCAGATTCTTTTGCTTGGCAAAATGAAGCCATAGATTCTCGCATGCCGGACCAGCCGAGTTGTGAGAGGGGATAATTTCCGGTCAACCAATGTGTATGAATTGCCAAGCAACGGCGCCTATCGCTAGCTCCGTACCTGCCTGGGCACTGGGCCACTGGTTGAGAACTTGAGACTCCCCAATCAATCAATTGAGCGCAATAATTAGTCCAGGACTTGGCACTCCTCGGTTGCAATGGTCGCATGAGCGTTCCTATGGGCCCGGGTTTGCACCTCGCTAGGCGTTGAAAAAACAGGAAATTAATCGCGCAAATAGTTCTGTACAGCTGGAAAATTCCTTGCTTAGCGGAGACCCAGACAGGAAGGAATCAATAATGTGGTCGTAGATGCAACAAGGGTACTGGCCGTTCAAACAGAGTCACATTCGGCGATTTGTTCCCGTTTAGCTCCATTAAATTCCGATTGTTTCCTTGTGTACAGCCGATATAGGACGATGCAATGAAGAAATCAATACATGTATCCTCCCCCCTGGACCAGACTGAGCTCTGCACAGACAGGCAAGGCGCAGACTTTGCAGCACTACTCGGATGGCAGGCAGACCGAGAAGAATCCCTTTGGGGGGTTTTCTGAGCATACTTGTTTGGATTCTACTCGCGTATCAGACATCACTCGCCTCAGCAGACGCTAACGCGGGCTCGCATTATCATCATGGTCATCACCACCTCCATGCTCGTGGATCACCCCCAGCATCTTCTGAAGGCCCCAAGCCATCCGTCAGCGTAAGCGATAGCGTCGAGGTTGCCCGACAAACCGTGGAGCAGGCTCTTGAGGCCCTGTCAGTTATCAACAAGCTTCGCCTTGAACACGTTCACTTCAACAAGTACGAGTTTGCCCACACCGAAAGCACCTCACGAACCCCGGCTCCGCCTCTCGACGTTACCGCCCCTTCAGTAAATTTCACAAAGCGATCAGGTACGAATGTCACCGCTCCTGGCGACTTCACGTACTCCATCCCGGACGAGCTGAGAGAGGCAGCACGGATTGTCGCTGAATCTAGTCCTCCGGCCAAGGCCACTGGTGATCACGAGCAGGTAGCCGCTGCGATACGGAAGAAGTATGCACTCAAGACCAACGATACCAATTTCCCCCCGCAACGCTTGCAGAAACCAGATGGTTTGGACGGCTATGTAGCTGGATGGGAAGAGCGAGGGAGCTCGTCGGCCCAAAACCAAAGTTTATCCCCCGCAGATGAGCACGAAAAAGTCAAGCGAGAGGCAACCACGTACTGGATGGTGGAGATGCAGCAACGTGGCAAGAGCCCTTTTGCACCCGAAGGCTACAAAATTTGGCGAAATGTCAATGACTATGGCGCCAAGGGAGATGGTGTGGCCGATGACACGGCGGCCATCAACAAGGCTATCGCTGATGGCGGCCGTTGCGGTGCCAACTGTGGTTCTAGCACCATCTATCCGGCAGTTGTCTACTTCCCTCCTGGAACGTACTTGGTCAGCAGTTCCATTATCCAATACTACAACACGCAATTTCTGGGTGATCCAATCCAGGTGCCGACCATTCTTGCAGCGGCGAGCTTCGTCGGGCTTGGAGTCATCACCTCCGATGTGTACGTGAGTGACACCGAGGAGTGGTATATCAACCAGAACAACTTCCTCCGCAGTGTGAAGAATTTCAAGATTGACATTCGCCTGACCAACCCCAATGCCTACGTCTGTGGTATCCACTGGCAGGTGGCGCAGGGCACCTCCCTGGAGAACATCGAGTTCTACGCTCTGACCGACTCAACGCAGCAAGGGATCTACATGGAGAATGGCAGTGGGGGCTTCTTGAGCGATCTGACCTTCGTCGGTGGCAACTTTGGAGCGTTCTTTGGCAACCAGCAGTTCACCACCAGTCATCTCGTCTTCGTGAACTGCAAGACAGCGCTTCAGATCCACTGGGACTGGGCGTGGACGATGCAGGATATCATCATCGAGTCATGCGGCACTGGTATAATCATTGTAGGTGGCGCCGGTGGCCCCATGAGCAGTGGCCAGCCCGTGGGCTCATTGATCGTGACGGACGCCCTGATTGCCAACACTCCCACCGGCATTGTCACGTCGTTGTATGCAGAGAATTCCACGGCTCTGCTAGTCCAAAACACAGGGTTTTTCAATGTTCAGAATGCCATCGTGGATAATGTGGTTTCGAAGACCCTTGTGGCCGGCGGTAATGAGGTGTTTATTGATAATTGGGGGTTTGGCATGCTCTCCACTGAGTCTGGAGTCAGCCAGTTCGTCAATGGACAGGCGATTCCAGTGATGAACCGCGGCGAACCTTTGCTGGCAGCCACAGGATACGTGAAACGCAACTTCTTCACTCGTCGTCGTCCCAAATACTACGACGTTGGAAGAGCTCAGATCATGGATGTGAAGGCCCTGGGAGCAAAGGGCGATGGGGTCACTGATGATGCCCCGGTGCTGAATGCAATCCTTCAGAATGCCGCCAACATGTCCTCAATTGTCTTCTTTCCCTTTGGAGTGTATGTGATAAAGGATACCCTGAACGTACCAGTTGGCAGCCGTATCATCGGCCAGGCATGGGCTCAGATCATGGCAACTGGAAGCAAGTTTAAGGACGAACTCAACCCTCACGTTGCTGTCAAAGTCGGGGAGTCAGGGGATGTTGGCGTTGTTGAGATTCAGGATATGCTATTCACAGTGTCAGGAAATACTGCGGGGGCGGTTCTGATGCAGTGGAATGTGCACGAGTCCGCTCAGGGCTCTGCTGGTCTTTGGGGTAAGTAGGTCACTCTGATCGGTTGGGCGTCTTGTCTTCTAAGGCGCTATGATCCCGTGCAATTGCTCGTCTATTTTCTGACTCTTAAACAGATTCCCATTTCCGTGTTGGAGGTGCGATCGGATCTCAGCTACAGGCTGAGAACTGCCCAAAGTCCACCGGGATCGTCAAAGCCGATTGCAAGGCAGCTTCACTGCTCTTGCATTTGACCTCCAAATCATCCGCATACATGGAGAATGTATGGATTTGGGTTGCCGACCACGACCTCGACAAAGTGACCCAAGACCAGATAGATGTCTATGTTGCCCGAGGAGTCCTGGTCGAAAGCCAGGGCCCAACATGGCTGTATGGGACCGCATCCGAGCATGCTGTACTGTATCAATACCAACTTTCTCGAGCAAGAAATGTGCTCCTGGGCATGGTCCAAACTGAATCTCCGTACTACCAGCCGATTCCCAAGGCCCCCCGGCCATTCGCTACAGGACTGTTTCCGGACGACCCAGCGTTTGATGACTGTCCCAGCGACTCTAAGATCTGCGCAATGGCGTGGGCTGTCCGAATTATCGAGTCTGAGAGTGTTTACCTCTTGGGTGCTGGACTTTATAGCTGGTATTCAGATTACAGCCAGGATTGCCTGAAAACGGAGAACTGCCAGCAAAGGGGATTTCATATCGAGCAAAGTAACGACATCTGGATCTACAACCTGTGCACCAAAGCCATCGTAGAAATGGTCTCACCTGTCGGAGAGCTGGTGACACGAGCTGTTGATAATCGTAACGGGTTTCTTTCCTCCATCCTTGCATGGGTGCGCGTCTCAGCGAATGAGACGATTGGGGAGCGCGAATTTCCTGGCTTTCAGATATATGGCTCCGAAAGTGTCTACTTGGAGGACCTAACCCCAACCTGTCAGACAGCTATGACACAGACTATCAAATGTCACGACGTTCTGCAAGGATGGCAGCAACCAGTGTATCGCGGGTCTCTCGATGACGCGGAGCTGACTGATGCAGTGTGTGACACGGGCTGTGGACGTTCCCTCGAAAGCTATTACAACGGAGTTACTGCTGCTTGTCAAGGGCAGAATTTTACCGTCGCTGCTGGAGTGACATTTCCAGCCCGGGCAGGAGGAACCATTTGGGCAGGATACAACGAGACTTGTTTGAAGGACGACAACACCAAAAAGTATTGCAATGGTAAGCAACCATCTAGCGCCCGGGATGCGGTATACAGCTGCGTGGCTGCGTGGCATGCTCATCTGAACGAGTGGCTGACGACTAGGTGTTGTTGCCAGATATCATCGATGCGTTTACTGAAGTCGATTCGTTTGAAGAGATGGCACATCCGGAGCTTTGCTCTTATTGCTTCGTGCAAAAGCACCGAATCATGCAGGCGTCGCCGTATTCCTACTACCAGGACGCGCAAGATGACTTTTTCCAGCAGCGTCTGAAATACATATACAGCCATTGTGCTGGCGAAACTGGCCCCACGGATAAGAAAAGCCCGCAGTACCAGCCAGTAGAGCAAGAGCCGGTCCCGTGCTTCACAGAAGTTACGTATACCACCAAGCAGGGCGACACATGCGATAGCATCGCACGCACTTACTCCGTCGCCTCCGCTGCTCTGCAGGCGGCGAACCCCGGGCTCATAAACAATTGTACTGAGGTCAAACCTAGTCAAGAGCTCTGCATTCCGCTCACGTGCGAGAAGCTGTACATCTTGCAGCCCGAGGACACCTGCGATTCCATCGAAACGGCCACAGGGATCGGCTTAGACAATCTTCGGGTGTACAATGCATGGATCAATTATTTCTGTGATAACCTCCAGCCGACTGTCTGGATCCATGGACGCACACTGTGTCTTACTCCTCAGGCTGGATTCTACAACGTCACGGATCCTATCCCGGGTGTTATCGTCGCTCCCGGTGGCAGAACAGGATACACTGGGACGGCCAAGACGCCTCCGTCGAACGCAACTTTGGCAGCAGGGACGACACTTGCTTGTGGTAAGTGGTATACAGTGACAGCTGCGGGTGAGACCTGTGCTAGTATATGTGCGTCAACCGGCATTACCAGTGACCTGTTCCGCCAGGTGAATCCAAGCTTGATGGGAAGCGCTGTGGAAGATTGTACTGGTCTACTTAAAGTCGGATCTACGTACTGTGTGGGACCACTTTGGGGTTGGAATACCGTAGGGAACAGCATTTAGCAAGAAGTAAGGTGGAAGCAGCCTGTATCTAGATATAATACCACTTAGCCAGAAGGGCGTCCGAACGATGTACTCACCAGTCTAGGGTCTCTTATCCATAGTCATAGCAGCGTCGTATCTTCTAACGCTACGTCATTAGCCCGGATTCACTTCTCGAATGTCAAGAACAAAATTTTGCTAGTAAATAAGGTCTAATATATGTAACAATTCGTCTACCTAATAGACTACTTGGGACCAATTCCCCATCAACAAATGGGCTTGTGGTTTAGTGGTATAATACCCCCTTAGCATGGGGGTGGTCCGGGGTTCGATTCCCCGCGAGTCCATTTTTTGCCATTTTTGATTAACCAGTGGATGCAATTTTTTTTTGCCTGTCTTGCAACTAGCTTTCCTCGACCTTCCATGTACTCTAAAGAACTGTTCTTACTGGTATTTATGATAATACCCATTTGCTTAAAAGTAAATTGCAATACGCCTTGCGAATATCAGCAGAAGACCAAATGTGCTATTAAGGACTATTTGCTCCCGTTTTATATAGCCCTTCTTTGCCGCGTAGTGACGGTTAATGGACGGTAGGTTCAGAGAGTTAATTTTGAAACGGCCCTCATCCTGCAGCAGCAAAGACAGTGGTATATACCTCGGTGCTTTCCCTGGTCATCTACTTGTTCTCATTTTCTCTTTCGCCTGCGCGGCGAACTTCTGAATTCTAACGGAGCGCTGTTCATGTTTAACTCCTTCAGTTGCCTGACTAATATACTGGGGTGCTTTATATTGTCCTTTACGCCAGGTTAAAACGGACTACTGTATTGTGCAGGGTATACTCACCTGTTCAGGTCGCGCTGGCTGATTGCCTTGTTTGTTTGCCAATGGTGACGGGCTTGTCCTGGCATGTCGCTGCTCTTCGGCTTGCCGGAAACTGCTTGGAGTTGAGGGGTTGGACGGAAGTCGGTGCTTTGTCAGTCGCCTCCTGATGTCATAGTCAATTTCTGTTTGATACTTCTGCAAAGCCCAATAGTGAATGGTGTCATGCATGCGTTGGAGTTGCAGTGTGTTCCAGAGTATATCCAGTCGCCCTTTCCAAATGCATCTCATTCGCTAGATGAGTGTGATGGAAGGTCTCTGTTAGCAACGATTCCAGGTCTTCCTTCAGTCGAGTTTCGAGAAGATTGAGTCAGACTCACATATAGAATGATTGGCTTATTGTCATCGCAGTCGGCGCCGACAAGTGGCTCTGCATAGGTTAGAAACACTCTGGCATTTCCTCCAATGAAAGTCAATGCAACCACTGGATGATGATAATCGTGCGTTGGTCTCTCTGATAGTCCTCGAAGCAATGTGATGCAGGCTGAACTACAGTTTGCCGCTTGATAATAACACTACTCGATATCCTGTCGCGATGCGCTGGGTCTTTTGACTTCAACCACCGCCCATGGGTAACAGATCAGTTTATCATTATTTGAGTTTTTGCGGGAGGTCCCTGTTTCAATATTGGATGCACCAGTTCTGTCTAAGTCTTCAGCTCCAGTAACATCCACACCCTCCTTGTGCCTGTATCCACGGCTGGGGGTGAGCTCTTTGTATGACTCAGAGTCAAGATCTTCGTCGTCCTCCAGGCTGCCTTTGGTGCCGTCACTGCCGTCACTGCTGTCGTCTTCTTCTTCACTACTCTCTGGCTCGTAGTCCTCGTCTTCTGATGTTGTGTAGTCATACTCGTCAAGTTCACTCGATCACTGTCTTCAATTTGTGGGCCTATGTTATGAAGCTTGTCTTCACTACCTGGATTGCGTTGCTGGGCTTTCGCCCCCTGTGGAGTCTTTTTAATGTCGGCGCAATGCTTATTCAGTGATATCAAGGGGCATGAATGCAATGCCTCAGCCTCTTCCAAGAGGTTCAGGTCTGTCAATGAGAATACCGCATGAGCATGTCCTTTGTCCGTTTCTCGGTGGGAGAGGATATCGTTTTGTATGACAAATGCAAAATACCAGTCCGGCTTGGGAATCGATAGTATTTCGCTCTCTTGTAATGGCTTAACTGTACGGTAGAGGAAGTCGTGAGTGTATTAACTTGTTACGGCGGAACCGTTCTCTTACCTTGGCGACGGAGCATTGACTATGCCAGTCATTGCGAACAAGCTATGCCTGGCTGAAGGAGTTTGAGTCTCGGCCGCTATAACGTCAGTTGAGCATACCCTGTAGCTTGATGAGTCATGGCTTATAATGTGGTCGCAAATTCGTTATCAAACTGATCATGAGCTGAGCTGATTGAACTGGGAGAATAGTTTCTTGAATCAGCAGCCTCCTGTGTATTAAATCTTGGGAAACAAAATGCGTATGTTTTATCTGCATGCTTCTTCCAATCCTTGAATATATAGTTGGCGAATATATAGTTGGCGAGCGTCTCTCCTATTTTGCTCTCCACGCCACCCTTGCGCTCCAAGACCACTGCATGTTTGTACTGAGCAAATAAATTAGTACTTTTCTTTCTGGCGGCTGGGGAATATTCTCTGTACAAGACTATACGCTGCTTTTAAATTTTTCAGGTGCCTCTTTCTGGCCTTATTTTGTCTAAGGGCACTCTTGTTACAGGCTATTTCTCCTTTAAACTACCCATCTCGATAGGCCTCTGGTAGTTTCTTGTATAGGCTTTTCAAAAGATGAGGTTCGAGGCGCTTCCGAGCAATCTTGTCGTTGGTATGGACTCAGCATTTTCGACAAAGTACCTTGTGCACAGCGTAAACTCTACCTTTTTGGGCGGAATGATGCGGTCGAACGAGAGGATTCGATCTCTGATTTGCGCAATTCCATCGGGCCAGCCATCCTCGCTGATTTCCATCTCAATAACAATGCCATTGCGTTGAAGAGTCTCACGACTGAGCTTCCTTGCAGTCGGGGCCATGGGATATGTTTCAATCGTCAGCGAAAGATAGAGCACGTAGGGAAATATTATGACGACTAGGAAATGTCCCCAATATACCTTGGGGAAGCCCTTTCATTTGAACCCCTGGCTTGGTGCTGACGCGATTGTTTCTGTTGGAATTGCGGCGCAGGCTAATCCCTGTCAATGCCATTAAATGCTACCACCGCGCTACACTGACTAAATACGCATGTCGTGGAGATGCCTTATTCAGTAATTGCTCCTGCTCAACTGCGGAGGAAACGCCATTTTAGCGAGATCCCTGTGCTCAGTCTGTGCCCTGATTCAGGTACGCACGGCTGAGCTGCATTAGCCCGAGTCAAGGTCATGAGGCACACTTGACTCCTCACAATTTAGCGGGCTGAGCTTCGGACAAGCCGTATGTCCAAGAGCATCTGCTGCTAGGGGCGGTTCATGACCCAAATTCTTACGAAAAGCCATGCTTTTTCGGGGCTGTTATCAAAGATCGTTGAAAGACGGCCAATTAGAGCTTGTAATGGGTTTATCTTAATCCCTGTTTGCTTCTACCCTCCGTTGCATTATCATAGGACCAGATTCTCCGGAAATTGACACAAATGAGTAGTCGACGCCATGTCTATCTGTATCAGGCATGGTTCTTGACTTCGCCGAGGTTCGTCTCGATGGAACTGAGTAAATCATATGGACAGGGCTAGTCTCATCCTTTTATCATTCAACTTCTACTTGCTCAGCACCAAGACTCTCTCTCACTCATCAGAAACCGATAATCTCATAACCGCAGATCTAAATATAGTACATTATCTCGAAAGCATAAACTATGTACTTCCCTGTTTTCGAACGGCACAGACAGGCCGTACCTCAAAGCTACGGACATTGTGCAATGTAATCCCTTCACCCAGCCCTTTACTAGCCTCCTTGATCCGCTCGTACAAGACTTCATGAGCAGAATGCTCACTGACGCCGTCCTCAAAGCTACCACGGCCGTCTTTCCAAGTATAGAACAATGACCGACCCGGCCGGGTCTGAATGTCCCACCGCCGCTGGATATTTAGCTCTGCGTACTCCAACCGCAGATCCAGCGGTGGGTCAACGACGACATACAGCACTGCCGGCCAATAGGGCCAATTGAACAGATCATGCAGTACCGAGGGGTTGCTATAGACCTGCGCCTCGGGCACAGCTATGCCACCCACCTCCAGTGCGTATGAGCTGAAACAGTGGTCGAGCCTAAACATCTGATCATACGGCTCGACGAGGAACTCGTCCCATTGCTCGAGCGGGACGTACAGCACGTCGTGCTGTGAGTTGAACGGGCGCGCAAAGATTGGAGATTGTTGGTTGCCGGAGAAGCGGACTGAGATACCTTGCTCCCGACACCAGGCTAGAGCGATACTGCGCGCTTCGCGGTTGACGAAGAACAGTGGGACATTGACTTCCACTTGGTCTAGTAGCTCAGGACTAAAGTAGAAGTGTGGGTGGGATGGATCGGTGGGGTCGTATCCCTGTTCGGTTTCGGAGAGGCGTCGCTCGAGCCAACAGCCTTTCTTGAAGAAGATTAGGGCTGGGCTGTCTTTTTCGGGGAGGGCTGCGTGCCAGATTAGAATGCGCAGTTCCGGGGGGAGGCGGGTGAAGTGAGGAAACGTGGGTTGTGTCGTTGCCTTTGCCGTTGCGGCCGAGTTCGTTGACATTTTGCTTATGTTTGATGTCTTCTAGGGAATTTTTCAGACTGTCTGCTCTATTTGGTTCTTGGTTGTAGTCTAATTTATGGAATGGGGGTGTGAGCCATACTTAACATAATAACTAGGCTGACAGAAAAATGCTTCGCCTCATTGCTCGTTCACAGCCTCAGTATACAGTTGGCGAATCATAAGGCTCATATAGTGGCCCGTTTACATAATATTCCTGAGCATTCAACTGGCCAATTAATGCGGTTAACAATGGATATCTTGGCACATATAAGAACTAGGAATACGCTGGTGCCTTTACTATCCCTGGCTTCCCTGCCATACTTTCTGTCAAGAGACGAACACCCAGGCCAACAGAAGGCACCGCTTATGTATTATGACTTACATGAACAGCTAAAGTATAAACAATTCAAGCAGAGTCAAGCCAAATTAACCGAAATTCGAACTCGATTACACATTGTAAGTGTGAGAGTTAATATGGATAGTAGACACAGTCCAGGTCTTGCCTCCGTCCGAAGTAGTAAATCCGGAAGAGGTAGCTTCGTTGATGGCCAAAGTATTGCCGAACGAGCTGTCAGCCGCGTTCAGGATAATTTTGGTATCAAGGTATTCTACATTCCGTCAGTTCTGACCACTGTCGCAGTGAAAGTAACTTACGGTGAGCAGCAGCAGTGCTGTGGCACGCATCATCCTGGCATTCGACGGCTGTACCCCAGCCTTGAGCTTGACCGGAACCTGCTTTTGTCAGTATTATCTATTGCAATGGAGGCGAGGGACTGACTGGTAGATAGTGTGGAGACAATCTTTCCGTTAATGGCCACAGTCTGGTCGTACTTGCCGGTGCTGTCGTTATACTTGTCTGTACATCATTAGACGGGTCTGTCTCAGATCTTGGTGAACGTACAATGCATGGTGAGCTTATCACCCGCGCTAGCAGGTACTTGGGTACCCCCTAGTTGTGTTCCTATACTGGCGTTAGCATGAATATTTATGCGCTTCAGTCGATCTTGACCTACCCTGGAGAGTACTAGCCCACGTGCACCATTGTCCAGCTTTGGCACCACAGTTCCTACGCCCGTCAGCTTTGATCTCTAACATTGAGAATGTATGCATACGCCGCAGGATCCGCGAAAGACACGGCAAGAGCCTGGATCAGGTCGCCTCCGCTAGTGCCCATGCCCGGCCATAGGGCCAGACGGTCCTTTTGCGGGCTTGGGGTGTCCGGGAGGACAAGGGTTGTGGTAGCCTCTCGGATCCATGACGAGGTAGGTCCGAGGGAGAAGTATGGGCCGAAGCCGACTGTGGTCTGGCAGGAGGCCAGACCAAGGAGCGAGAGAAGGGCGAGGGCTTTGGCGGCGGACATGTTGCTTGTGCTGAGAGAAGCAGTGAGAACACGGGAAGTTCTGATTTATAACTGCGTAGATTAGTGTAAACGGACAAATGCCGTGATCAGTGTCGTCTCAGGCTAATTTCTCCGTTCTGGAGCAGGTCGCTCCTCCAATAATACGAGCTTGATGGTCGAGTCCTCCAGGGGTCGGATGTTTCATTTTGTTTCGGGTTCTGCAGAAATCCCACCTGTGGATATGTGGATCAATAAACTTGGACCACTTTATTTAATTTAAGAACACTCTAGCTTTGGCACGCTTGACTCGCGTGTGTTTCGGATAATATCCGCATATAAAAAGCCGTCGCCCCGCAATCAGGCTACTCTAAATCAATATATCGCCAACTCTGTCATAGCGCATCGCCCCTGAGAACCCTAAAGCATTTCTCCATGTGGACATTCCTCGAGCCTGCTGGTGGCACCCACACAGCCGGGTTCTTCTGGAAGAAACCAGATGCTGGCAACGTCATCCCACTGACTCCACCGGCATAATAGATCAATTCGTCTTCCAACGGAGATCGCGTCCCCCCCGCTATACAGAGGGCTGATTTTCTGCAATTAAAGCCAGTCTCATCTGCGTTGTTCTTAGGGCAGGGAGGAGGTTCTGCAGGGAGCGAATCGTTCTCAACCACAGTCATCATACAGCTGGATGCAAAACCGGTCCAAGTGTTTATACTTCCGATTTCTTTTTTGAAACATCATTCAAAATGCAGCTAAACTGTACCTGGGAAATCTACGGGATATCTATCTTCTGTTCAATTTAATGATAATGTACAAACTATACTCAGTAATAATGTCATATGGACATGCATATGGCCCCCTGTACGAGCTATCCAACGCTGGCTGTACCTTCCAGCCTGGAAGGTCCCATGCAAACCACCCAACCTGCCAACCGTAGTGTTTGGCGGATCTGGCAAACTGTCAACGGTCACTTTCCTGTTCCTATCCTGCCATCCTGCAATTAAGCTGCTTGCAGCAGGTTGCGCTGGAGCATAGTGTTGCAAAACCAATGGTCTAATTATTTTTCTCAGCTAGTCAGCATCAGTTTGCCCCAAGGTATCCTAGGTCTAGCCTGCTATTGGCGTCACTCACATAAAGCATTAGGCGTACAAATACGGAGCCAGTTGTATCTTGTTGTTTTGTGAATTTGCTGAAGTTTCTAAAAGGGCCACTGCAAAAGCAGAAGGGAGTAAGTGTCGTTCTTGGCGGCTGTTTCGTAGACGGTAGGTTGTAACAGAGAGTGAGCATGTCTCCCACTACTAGTGAAATGATTCCTCGTGCTGCTGACATACTTGTTGACTTGCACTAAGTTGCGGCAGAACAAGTGTTCTCATCCTCATAGCTATACTAGCTAGGCTGCAGGATTTGCTATAAGCATTATGGCAAGAACCACAGTAGGAGATCCAAGAATTACAGCTATCAAACAAACATTGAAGCCACTCGGGCTGGAACCTACTAAACTGAACATGGATTCGCTGTACAGTAGGCTGGTAGGCCAAAGAGCCAATGCTAAATTGATTTAAAGGATCAATTGCTCCCTGCCGCTAATCGTCTCCGGGTGTGGCGTGACTTAGCCATTGTGGCCGTCACATTGTGGCGCGCTGTAACCTCCTGCAGTCGTTCTGATTGAGGGTGGGAGATTTTCATTCAGCACCAAATTATGCTGGTCCCGCCAGTTATCAAGAGCATGAAAGGAACCTCTGGTGTCTGGATGATCCAGGCCTAATACCTTATTGCGCAGCCGACAACATGCTTCAAGTAGAGCTAAGGCATCTGGAAGCCTTCTTTGAGATTTCCAGGTATATGCAAGGTTTTCCATGCTGGTCAGAGTGTCGGGATTCTCAGCGCCCAGCACTGCCTTCCTTATCTCCAACACTTGGATAAATAGCTTCTCAGCTTCATTCCATTGTCCTTGACACCCGTAGGTGTATGCCAGGTTTGATATGCTGGTCAGGGTGTCAGGATGCTCAGCGCCCAGCACTGCCTTCCTCATCTCCATCACTTGCACCTCCAGCTTCTCAGCTTCAATCCACCGTCCTTGATCCTTGTAGGTTAATGCCAGGTTGCCCATGCAGGCCAGMGTGTTGGGATGCTCAGCGCCTAGTACTGTCTTACAAGTCTCCATTACTTGCATAGACAGCTTCTCAGCTTCAATCCACCGTCCTTGATCCTTGTAGGTTAATGCCAGGTTGGCCATGCTGGACAGCGTGGAAGGGTGATCCGGCCCAAGCACTGCCTTTCTCATCTCCACCACTTGCACCTCCAGCTTCTCAGCTTCATTCCAACGTCCTTGATCCCAGTAGGCTAATGCCAGGTTGCCCATGCAGGCCAGAGTGTTGGGATGCTCAGCGCCTAGCACGGTCTTAGAAGTCTCCATTAATTGCGTAAACAGCTTCTCAGCTTCATTCCATCGCCCCTGATTCCGGTATATTTCTGCCAGGTACACCATGCTGGCCAGTGTGGAAGGGCGGTCCGGCCCATGCACCCTCTTTCTCATTTCTAGGACCTGTAAAATTGCAACTTCAGCGTCATCCCATTGTCCATCTTGGTAGAGACAGAGGCCATATCTCCAAATAAGATCCATTCTGCACGTCCAATCTTTGCCGACAAGATCGGCTTGCAGTGCATAACGCGCGTGTGGCAGGTATCTCCTCCAGACAGTTCTGTTCTTGTGATCGTCGTTCGGAAACACTTCCTGTAGTCGCACAATTACTCTCTCCGTCCACTCAGCAAGCTTCCGTTCTTTTCGAAGCCAGTTCCGCGTAGCCAAATGCACCAGTCGATGGAGATCAAGAACCGGGTCTTCCGGACGTCTGCTGACGAAAGAATAGGCATTTAGAGTTCCAATGGCGTCTGTCTCCTCCTTCCGCGACGACCCTAGCGGAAGAAGAGATTGCGGAATCTCCTTCGGATCTACACAGGACATGAATGACAGATACTGGGCTGCAAGAGGATTGCTCTGCTGAATCTGCTCAAATGAGATTAGCCACGTCGTGGCCACTGGGTTCGTCGTGTTGCGATATCTCCAATCATCCTTAAAGTCTTCGCTGAGAAGAGCGATAACCTCCTCTTCTTGCTCCGCTAGGAGCGATAGATAACACCCAAGTGTTATTCCGTTCTCGTTGATGTACGCGGCTGCCTGTGAGATAGCCAGTGGTAGGTAAGCGAGCTCTGCGAGAAGATCAGCTGTGTCATGCCCATTGTTGACGAGGCCCGGATTGATGAGACACTTCTGCAGTAGCTGCGTAGCGGCCTCTTCGTCCATCTCCGGGATTTCCACGACATTCTTGTGTGCGAGCTTGGCCGCTGTCTTCCTGTCACGCGTTGTGAAAATAATGGATCCTTGACCGCTGCTTGGCAGGTAGTCGACTAACGCCTGGGATCCCTGTTCCGACTCCTGCTCAGATCCAGCCTCGGCGATCCACATATCAATGTCATCGGCGTTGTCAAACACGACCAGCCACTGGCCTGTATCATCCTTGCTCAGGTGTCCCTGCACGAGTCTCTTCACATCTGCCTTTTCCTCTTCCCAGCCGGGTATTCTAAGCTGCCACGCGACGTCACGGTATGCTTGATGAAGACTTTCCCTGTTGGTTGCGGGTATCCAGATAATCAAGCAATGCTTGTGCTTATCCTTCGTTCGGTAGAGCAGTTCAAGCACCAGCTGCGTCTTTCCTACACCACCTAGCCCCGTAATTGCGATTTTTGCGGTATGATCCATAGTAAAAAGCTTTCCTTCAAGCTCAGAAAGCTGAGACTCGCGACCTGTAAAGAGGGGATTTCTTTCGAATGGCACAAGCCAGGTTCTACGACGCGCGGCTGAATGAGAGTTAGTAGGAGCAGTAGTAGCTTCTGGACACCGTACCTGACTGCTGATGGATCGTGCGTATGGTGTATTCCTGTGCAATTTAGTAAGAGATGAGCTAACCAAGTATCACTGGACTTACGTCTACAACGGCGCCAAAGGATGTTTCGGTCTTGTCTGTTTATATCAGTCAAATGATGCCTTGGATTACTATGCGAAATTCTCAAGATACACACTCTGCTTGAGTCTCAAATTCTGAATACAGTCTCGCACACGGTACCTCTGCGCCACGTGAGTAAGGTACCCTTCGGTAGCCGCTTTGATGGCGCCCTTCTTGTTGTACTCATCGAGCCCAATATCCTGCAGTCCTTGATCGACATTGAAACGGAAATACCGGTTTTTGTCGAAATGTTTAGCCCATCTTTCTATAAACCTCTTCTCCGTGGCCTCTGTCTCCGTTGCGATCTGCACGACCGTCTCGCTGAGAAATTTGATCATGCCGTCTTCGAATGCCTTCTTTCCAGGGTTCCCTGTCCCGATTGATATAAAACACTTGACAAGTTCCTTCAGATCTTTTTCGTCTGAGCCCCAGATATTCGATGCTTCTCCTTCCACCTCGTCCACGGGATTATTTGCGCCAAAACCCCCATCCGCGAACGTACGATCATCGATACTAACGGGGTCGAAGAAGGTGGTAGCGGCGGATGTCGCAAGGCCAGCCTGGCAAATTGTCGCAGGAATATCCGGCCAATCAGTCAAGCTATAGCTTCGGAGACGGATCATGTCCTTTGTATCGCGATCGATTGTACATACAAAGCTGTTCTTGTCAGAATCTTGACTCATCACATAGGGCAAGCACATACGTCCGACATCCGCGCTCAGTTCCATCATTGAGCAAGTCCGTCTCGGACACACCCTTCTGGGTTATCACCTTTTTGATCGCGCTTTCTAATCTCGCGGAATCGAATCGCGGCTTGACTCCACCTTTGATGTTTACTGGAATACGGCTCAGTTTCTCGCCGAAGACGTCTGCCGCCAGACCAGTATACGCGGCAATGCATTCATCGACGTCCATTTCGAGCCGACCAAGCATGATCGCAATCAGCCTGTTCCGGCGGTTGGGTCAGTCACATTCCTCGAGGAACAGGTCTACCTACCCGCCTGTGCTGGTGCCTCCGATAAGGTCGAACACTTCGCATGGCTTCACCGAAGGAAGGCTGTTCTTTTTTCGTTCGTGATTCAGTCGATCCATGATGATTTTCAAGATGTAGAGCGTTGAGAGCCCTCGCACGCCGCCGCCGTCTAGGGCCAGCAAACAGAGGCCTGTACTGTCAAGAGGGTTCTGCTCTCCGCCGTGCTTGGTCGACATTGCCTGCTCCATGGCTTAATGGATATCTGGGATAGGCTTGCTCTTCCGAGTTTCAGAGTGGATACCAACCGAGGAGAATGTCGCTGGTAGCGGGTTGGGCGAGGAGCCAGCTGTCAGACACTTAAGATGGTCAACCCCTGCCATTCAGCCCCATCGCGTCACACGGTTCCCCGCAGCTGCTTGGCTCAGGCAACAGATTTCGATTCGCTCACCCCTAGTACTACTGCTACTCCCTATGCTAACCACTAAGATCCAATGACTGTTCTAAAACTATTCTAAAAATACACTAATCAACCTCCAATTCTCGAAAGTCGCGGGGAGCCTGCAAGCCACGAACTTCGGCACGCTAGTTGACTCGATGAGATGTCGCTTCGTCAAGGTGGGCTGCTGAGCCAGATGATGTTGGTGGTCAGACTATTCGGTGGATTCGCTGCAGGAAGTATCACTTGCCTACCCAATCATCAATCTCATTTTACCGCGCTTCACTGGAAATCCCTCCATACCAGAGCCATTGATATTCAGCATCGTGGCTCGAGGAACCCCTGAAGATTGGAGCCAATAGAATAAGGATGTTCTGATCTCTTGGAGATATGATGCAGCCTTTTGAGACCAGTACTATTATCCGCTACATGGAGTTTCATTACCGCTAGCCTGATTAGGTATTCGGATACATTCATGACGACTAGTAGTCACAATAGTCCCGGGAGGGACGTCTTCAAGGGCGAAGGTTGAATCATTCATATGATCTATCAGCGTTCCACTACTTATGATTTGACTATAGTATGTTAATCTTTTAGCAAATGGCACCACCTCATGGAATTTCCGTGATGTAGCTTCAATCAGAAAGCATAGCTTGTTGTACATTGTCTGTACTTAACATACTCTAGCCCTACAGTAAAGATGCAACAACACATAGAGGTTTTGAACTTGGATTTGATTGTGTAGCTCAGACGATAATGATAGCTCCCAGAAGCGGATCGAACCAGTAGAGCTCAGCAATATGCCCATCATCTACTTAAAAGCAAGCTGAGATAAATCCCACCAATCTGCCCAATTCTGCAAATCACCTAGTGCAGATACCTATAGTCAATCAGAACCATCCCCTCGACATACTGCTCCCATCTGATCATGTCCTTGTCATAATCCCAGTTGTCAATCTGCTGTGTGATGCACTGGATGGCTGCGTCCGTCAGTCCCTTGAGAGAATTATCCTCGGTGATGATCTCGAAAATCAGATCGCCTACCTGCGTGTCGGGAAAGGACTCCCGACGGGGGGAGAAGTTGCCGCGGCCGGCTTGCAGGATCTTCAGCACTTCACTGAGCATGGTTAGAGCAGGGAGGTCGGGGTCATCAGGGCGAATCAGGAGGAAACTCCTGTAGGTGCGGGCCTCGTGGAGTTTGAACTTGGGCTGCTTCGGCATTGTGAGTGAGGTATCCGGCGTGTGTTTGTAGTGTTAGTGGGTGGAAGTTGGGCTGTTTGGATTGTTGTAGGTAGTGCTGAGAATGGTGGAATTGCAGAGAGTGAGTAGGAGTGTAAGAGAGTTGAGGAAGAAGAAGATGATGGTGCTAATGATAGATTCGAAGTTGTATTTATATCGAGGATTGAGACATCTTTCGAGGAGTAGGGTTGTTATCTTAAACATACAACAATGGCTTTATTTCTATGTCCTAGACACACCATTATCATGGCATTGTTGGCCATTGACGGCTTGAAAGGGAGGCTCAAAGGCTTGTCTCAGGAAATAGACGGGACCATGGTCTCTCGAGACTCATCGCCCTAACAAAGAAATGCCAACCGGGTTCGAATGCCACGTTCAAGGGTTCTCTGTTTGCCGATTCGAAGAGATGTTTCAATCCCTACAGCCATGTCGAAGAGCCCTTTTGGATCGAGGAGTTTTCGTCTGAACAGGACCGAGTCTAGGACAGCATTCGCTTTCTCCGGCAAACAGCTTGTCACGAAACGAGTGTCAGTACCCAGGGTTCTTGAATTGCTTTCCAAAGAGGCCGAAATTAGTCTTTGTGAGGTACAGTGACTCTAACGTAGGATCTCACAACGTATGAGACTCCAGCAGCTGAATTTTGGATATATAAGACAAAATCTGATAGTCTCTAGTTCTACGTGGTCTCCATTGATGAGCTCGAAGTGTATAATGATAAGCGACTAGATACATGAAGCAAAATGTCTAGACATCTTAACCTTGACAACATATTTGACTGCACTAGCCTTCCCTTCCACCAGGTTGGTCAATGCCACCCGGACTCCGCTGAGTATCTTCATATATCCACGTCATTTTCTGTTATGTACATGAACTTCGAGCCACTCCTCAATATCTTCATCCTCGGCCTCCTCTAGTAGTCTCCAGATCCGCCGACGATTCCGCAGGCGGAGGAGAGCATGCTCTAAAGGTTGCCCCGGTTCAAACACCTCCACTTGTGCAAGGGTACGAACAAGGCGCTCCCAATCCCAAACTTCTTCTGCTTCAAATGTCGGAACGTCCACCGCATCGGATGTCACAGGGCAGCTCTGTAGGGCGGAGATGTCCAAATCCCAAAGCCATGGTAAAATCTGCTGATTGAAAAGCAAGTCACGCCACAGCCTTGACGGTAAGGAACGAGTGCATGTCTGCTCGGGGTTGATAAAAGGGTGCAAATTTTTATAAATCATGTCTTGGAGCTCAGTGGGTAGTGCCTCTAGTTTAAGAGATATACCAGATCGTCCTTGCAAGGACGGCGGAAGAGGTCGCAGGTATGAAAGGATCTCCTGAGTGAGTCCTGGTATGGGGTATGGTGCCATTTCGTATTCCTAATGGCAGGTTGTTAGTGATGGGATGGAAGCACCATAGGTTATACTTATGTAGAACTCACATAGACCTTCTGGTCTCCAAAAGCCCACGCGACATTGTGAAAGAGGTCGGTGTCCCGGAAGTAATAGAAATGTGGCTCAACTACACGTCGGGGCGCAAACGAGCCGTTGCGTCCATAGGGATAACCAGAAAGCACCCTAGTTAATCGTTGTTCAAACACTTCATAGAATTGGCTGAGAGTGGTAGGGCGCTTTGGGCCAACCGACACTCCAGTTTTCAGAAGAGCCTGGCGATAGTCGACCAGACGTCGTATCATGTCAAGGCATTCTGAATGTACTGTTACATACGGGTACTCCGTATATAGATCATGGACTATTTTTGACGAGTGCTTCAAATAACGCTTGGGTTCTAATTTTAACAACCGCTCCCCATAATGCACACCGTCGATCTCGATATCTAAGGAATCAGAAATCTCTTCGGCAGATCATAGTTTTCGTACAAGAATGAGAGTTGAAAGAGTAACCCACCATCTATCCCGAGTACTTCTAGCGGTAGATCATGATTTGGCCGGCTCGCAATATCCCAATCTTTCTMGTAGTGATAATTCTCAGCTCGGATGGCCTGCGGTACAAACCACTTGTACCTCTCAAGATTCTTGTTTCGCACTTCTGCTACCACCACCTTGATCTTTATAAGCGGACTATTGATTTAGAGGGACTGAAGAAGAGCTCACAAAGCTTGGGGCACCACAGACAACACAGCATATATCTTCCGCGTGGTAGCCCTTATAGTATCGCTCGAGTTCGAAGAGATCGCCCTCGGATGGAAGCTCGCTGGGGTGGAAATCCATGGCAGATGAGAAGGAACTTTCGGATTTCGATCCAGGAACACGGACACAAAAAGCAAGATAGTGGATAATAAATGACTCAGACAAGGTTACATCTTTTAGCGCCTTTAAGTATACTAAACAAAATATCTAGCATGTGAGCACATCAATATACTCTGTTTATTGGTTAGTTCCACTGGTTGGCTTGGCACTGTATGTCCATTTCATGACTTTGTTGCCAAGCTAAATTAGCGCATAGTTCTTCATTCGCGCTTTTTCCATAGTACATACGGCGGACTAGATTGACCACCCGGTCATAATGAATTTTTTGAAGTCGGTTATATACAGACACACAGAGTAGTTTACTGTAGTATTTAGCGAATTCTTATTAACCATTCTATTATTTACGTAGTGTGTACTAGGAAGTTCTCAATTTTTTTGAATTATTAACTATAGTACGGAGTAGTCCGAACCTCGGCTGACTTACGTCGTGTCTCATGGTTATATTCAGCATGCAGTGACTGCTATCGGGAATTGAAGGAACGAGAAACTTGTCACTAGCAGAGCGAAAAAAATAATCAATGGAGTTAAGGGGCTGTTGAGGGGGGTGCTGTGTTGCCACCCGTTACGATGGCGACCTTCCCGGCGAGGCCTGGGATGAATTCGTGCAAATTGTTGCTCATTACTAGACTTCAGCGCACTGTGGAGAGGAAGGTAGTTCTGCGTTGCGTCTAGCTCATATTGCGTGTTGCTCTGTCCTTTTATCTTATACTAACGGTTAGACCGGGCAGCTGCAGATGCTTGCMTCGAGTACGGAGTTTAGATGCGCCACTCTTGATCCGAGGGCAGCGGGGTCAATAACAAGGTGTGGGTGCGGAGTGAAGCGCATATCAGTCGATTACCATCGCCTTAATAGGTTGTTCGGTTTAAGGTTATGGTTTGGACCCGTTTTGCGGAGGGCGAGTCTGATGTGGATTGGGTCATCTTGATGAAATGTACTATCAGTGGTATTCGGATATCAAGGATTCAAAGGTTTCCTACTTTCTCATTCAAAGCTTCAACGCTAGTCCGACGAAACCGTTGGAATGCTCCGCGATGGCGACAGTACCACGGGATGAAAAGTGTCAGGACCTAGAAATGGAGATCAGCAATGTATTTACTCGCAAGGCATCTCTGGTACTGTGTGACCCAAGGTCAGCAATCTTACAATAAGTCCCCTCTTTGATTCACGTATACTTTCTTGGCCCCCGCGGACTTGTTAACCTCCGACCCACGGGGATAAGGTTAACTCATGGACGTTTATTTTAGCCTCCCCATGGGTTTAGCAGTTCAGTTCAACAATATCAACACTCTTTCATCCCATTTGTGTCCTTTCCGTTTTTGATTCCACTGCTTTGACTGGCCAGTAAATCCTTATTATTTCATACCTAGTACAGCCCACATTCCAGGGCTATTAAAAAGGCACCATAGGCAAAATGCTAGTCTCTACGGGCATTTTCTAAGTTGACACGGTGTATACGCCCCGACCTGAGTATCCAAGTTACAACTAAACACAAAAGCAAAGCCTGACATAACATTTACATGGTCTATGGCTTCAGCACCACATGCCTACCCCAACCACTCAGCTTCGCAGCCGCCTCCAATGCCTCTTGGATCTCCTCGAGCCCAAATTCCTCCGTGTGAGTGACACCAGACTTCTTACCAAGAGGAAGCAATCCGGATTCGACCATCTGGATCATCTGCAACACATGCTGGCGATCGTACATAAACCGCCCCTGGATCCGAATGCTCTTGAACATGATCTCAAGGTAAGGAAAGTCGATATTCCCCGGGTTACCCCCCATCACGACGCATCGACCGAACGCACGCAATGCCCGCATGCCAGACGCCAGCAGCGATGATCCCTGGGCCGCTGGTGGCGAAAGGTCGAGGTACACATCTGCTCCATCCGGCTTCCCAGCCGCTGCACGCAACAACTCTGTATCAGCGGCCGCATCACCAGTGATCCGGACAGTCCGTAGCCGATTGGTGCCATGAATGTCCTCAAGCCCCTCCAGCGCAGCCACGTTCCGCCCGGCAGCGATAACGGTTGCGCCCATTGCCAATGCAATGCTAACAGCAGCGCCGCCGTACCGCCCTGTTGCGGGGGCCACGATCACCACCTCGCCGGGTTTCACGTTGACCTCTGAAAGACCACCAAACGGAACGAGACACACAGGCATTAGACAGAGATCGTTGATGCTGTATCCCAGTTTCGCAAGAAGAATCTCCTCATTAAGGGGGTACAGATTCTCCAAAGGGAACCGCGTGTACTCGGCGTACGTCGCGTTGCGCCAAACTCCGTCCATGAGTTTCTGCGCCGCGGGATATCCGCCCCCGTGGATACCGTAGAGAATAGAGACAGCGGGATTATCGCGGGCGCGGATGGTAATGTCACAGAAGACGAGCTGACCTGGTGTGAGGGCAACGGAGTCCGGTCCGACCTCGTGGATTCGCCCGATGGCGGTATTCCCCGGCGTCATGGGCAGAGAGAGCGGGTAAGGACGTCTGTTACTTATCACGTCTCCCATGTAGGGAACGATATCGGCAGCTAGGATGCGAACGATTGCGTCGCCGGTTGATGCGACGGGGCGGGGGACGGTTTCAAGGACGAGTGGCTTGTCCCGGGCGTGAATCACCAGGGCTTTGTGAGTCGACATTCTGGCCGGAAGTGTTGGTACTTGGTTTATGAGTTCTCCTCCCTGTTTCAAGCTTAAGTTACCAATGGAGTTGAATGCACTACTTTGTGAACATTTTATAAACTGAGAGAGATACTCTATCTGCAAACGGGTTAAATCCGCAAACATGTTAAATCCGCAAACTCCGGTTCCCGGCTAGATTAAGGTTAAAACAACTGGTCAAGTTTTATCACTGGCCACCAGCGCCATGTGCCTCTACTGGCTGTGGTTCATTTTTGTTCTAACAGTGACAATATTGCAGCTGCGCGAGCGGCTGCGGGCTGACATGAAAAGGAAAAAAAAGTAAAGAAAGAGCGAACCGAGCGCAGCAAGAAAGTACTGATTGGCTTATGCACCAAAGTAGTCCAATTAATGTAAACACTGTGATGCAGGGTAACCCTTCTGGGAGCGAGCCAGAGACACTGGTCGCTTTAGACTTCATTCGAATGTTTTTAGTTACTTACGGCCCCGGCGGGTTGGTAGGATGATTAACACGTTCCTTCAAGCTAAGAAAGGCGGATGCGGATGCGGATGCGGCTGAGACCAGAATCGAATGTACAATGTTGGGGTTCATATTCCAAGTATTTCACCAAGTATTTCATGAGCAGCCAATGTCCCAAGGATATTCTTCCAGGTTGTGGCCAAGGTACACGCCTAATCGTGCGGAGCATCATAAGGTCATACCGCGCGATATAAGGGCAGCAGGGTAAGCAATAAGGCGCTATTAGGCACAATAGGCCCCAAGGAGGCTCTAAGTTCATTTAGGAAGTGGTACACAAAACATTTACTCCTGAATGTATGTACAGTTGCGGTGGCCTGCATATCGCCACAATAGTTGGTTTACCCAGCTGGACCAAAATGTGAATCTGTACCTTAGTTCAGTGAGTTTGAGTTATAGCCTTATAGGGCATGCAGTTCAGCCAGGTTAGAGTTTGAAACCCAGCTCTTCGTTCTCAGGAGCCGGAACTTGGTAGGCATGTCTGAGTGAACTAACATAGCTTTTGTCGACCCATTTTAGAGAGTCAAAATGCCTCTCAAATATGTATCGCCTTCACCACAACAAGAGCAAGTTTCTGAAGACTGAAAGAAAATATATACCCTGTTCGTGAATCTGGAAGCAGGCTTGAAGAGAAATCGAATCCTCGTCAGCATCGGTGTCGTCCTCTTTGTAAACAATGACCAAAAGACGCGTCCAGCTGTAAGAGACCACTCTTGTTAGGGCGATCTTCTCGAAACTCAGATTTGAGTTGGGGGACGGCTTCTTTCTGAGGCTTCGGTGAGTCCATTTTCAGAATGATAACAAAATTGAGATTAATTTGTTGTGTGGTACTGGTAGTTCGTTGTTGAAGGAAAAGGTTTGAGGAGCAAACAGAAATTTGAGCAGGCAGCTTACAGACGTATATAGCTAGTGGGGCTTGCGTCCGTGTATATCTTCGGACCGAGCCGCGGAAGTTCAGCACTTCCCGTCTCCTAATGAGCTAGTTGATGTTTCACAAATCGTGAGAGACCACTCACCCTGTCTATTCTGCACTCACCTAAGCTCACCCACGGTCGCGCAACTAAAAGCAGCGGCGCGCGATGGCAGCGCCCACCGACCTTTTAACCACATTGAAGCCAGCATTATGAACGCGGTCAAACGATGTATCGACCTGAGACCTTGAGTGCTTGCCGCTTTGTGGGTGATGGATGCTAAACCACAGGGTGAGCGGGGTGAGCGAGTGGGTGAGTTGAGATTGAGAGGACTTTTCGTAGATATAAATAGCTCTAGGGCTCTTTTACCTCCCGAGTATTATTGTCTACTTCTTTTTCAAGTTATCTTGAATCTTAAGCTTATTGATTTTGTTGTTGACTTTTCGAAGCGATATGGCCTTCGCTTATCGAGCCTTACATGTGACTTGATATCAGCCAATAACTGCGCTCGCTTAATATATAACTGTTAAATTATAGTTAACCGGTATCTACTTTCAATGAACAAGGAACGTAAAGTACGGGTTATAGATCGGCTTCTATAGAAGAGATTGCCCATCTAACCTATAGATCCTCATTCTCTAGGTGAGATTTTCGGAGAAAGTAGTCAGTCTAGGCCGAGAGAAACCACGGTGGCGTCTCACCTGACTTAACGAGAGACCGTTTCTTGAGTTGGAGATCGTGGAATCTTTTTTGATCAAGGGGAAGGGTCGTCGCCTGACAAAAGCCAGTCTATGCCCCTGGTCCCGTAGAGAGGCGCCGCTTCCTCATCAAGGTATACGTCATATTTTAAACGACCACCAACTAAGATTCCCCTGGTATAACTAGAACTTATCTTCAAATCCCGCCTAGGCCGGATATAATTCCTAAAGCAACCTCGTCAGATAGACTTGTTTGAGCTAACTGGGCTTAGAACTCACCATATGACTTGAAGATCCTGTCGAGATTGGAAAACGAAAGACCAGGTTCCTGCCGAATCAGGCCAACCTCCAGTTCCAGGTTCTTCCCAATTAAACGAGTACGGAGTATACCATAGAAAACCATATTCCTCTGCTGATAATCGACGAACAAAGTATGCCACATTTGGGTTCTGGTGAGATTCGAGAATCACAGTATCCCCCTTCAAACCCACAGTTAGCATAACGATCAAATTGAACTGAATAAGACTAGGGGCTCAGGGGTCCCTAAGACTGACATTCTCAACGTAGCACCAGCCCGATCGCGTCTCGTTTATAGTATCATTATAAGAGAAATCCCAGCCCTCAATAGTACACCAAACTTTGGGACTCCGTTCCACAGGATCTGAGGATAAAACTCTAACATTTCGAAATGTTGAGATGACATTATCCTGCTCCTGCTCGCAATCTGGTCCCATGGCTGTGGCTGGAGGCGCGTCCATCCTCCTGTGTTCAGGTGACATCGTATATTTAGATCCATAACGAGCGGTCTCGGAGAATCCGTCTAGAATCCGACGAAGCTTTGATGGAAAATCAGTTGAGGATGAATCCATAAGTCGGCGAAAAATGGCGCCGCAATTTATGCTGGAAACCATTAATAATTGATATAATAGTCAGGACGAAACCAAAGGAATTAAAAAGAAATAGAAAGAAATAAGGGGAAAACAATTTGGATCACAGCATACCACTGAACTCCTCTTCGCATTGGTTGCGAGCATTCATTCTCACAGGCCGGACACAAGTCTTTTCGAGTCTCAATCCGTCTGAAGATCATGCACATCGCAACGGCTTGGCCGGGTCGAAAAATCGTTTCCCATTTTTGATTCAAATCAATATCACGGTCTGTGGCAAGATCGTAAATTGCGTAATCTCCATTCTGGATCATCTCCTTGGCTGGTGTGAACTCGTGAAAATTGGCTTTCAGCACTGCTGTAAAAGCCTTAGAGAAATCTTTTAGTAACGTTCATATTCGAACTCGGACTGCATTTACCTCAGCTGAGCGAATAAACTCGAGATGAAACGGAGTGACCCTTCCTAGAGCGTCGAGGAAGTACACTGGCTGTTGTCTTTCTACCTGCATTCGAAGGCTGGCATACGTAGACCGTAATTGGTTTCTGTTATCGTAGCGGTTGGTACGTTGTCGCTTTGGTCGAGGTATGGCCGGCGGTGTTGCCAGAGAGCTGACGCAGTATTTCGTTCCTTGAACAAACTCTTAGCATTACATGCTGCGTCCGTATCTAAAGATGACTGTTTTCCCTTTCTTTTCCTTTTATTTTTCTTTTGGTGACATCATGACTAGCTGTGCCTCTCACCGCTTGAGTAGCAAGGAAATTGCACTCACCCAGATCTTCAAATGTTGTTGCAGCCGGTGTTGACCATGTCTGCATCTGAATTTTGGCTAAATTTGGGTTTAAGTCGATCAGCGCAGCATTTCGGCCTGAATAGTAGATATCCAGCGCATCTTCCGAGAGAAAGTCCTTCAGCTTGCTTAACACCGTTCGATAGGCTTCATTTCGCCCAGGAAATTTATTCAACTCGAAGTGATTGGCCTCCATCATTAAAGAGTCCACTCGATCTAGTGTTGCGCAGTCACGAGGCACAAGGACTTCCTGTTATCACAGAAATGAGCAGCTCTCCCAGATAGACATGGATCGACTCAAAGGACAAATGAGCCACCTTATTTTTATCCAGACCGACAATTTTCCACACCCTTGCAGGCTGTGTCTCGTAAAGGCATAATATCTGTGGCATCAGGTTACTTGGGATAGCCAGAAAATTAGTTAGAAGGTTGAACAGCGCCTCGTTTCCTGGGGTTAATATGTCGAGTATTCGCTTTACTATGCCGGCCTCTCGCCTCTCGTCTTCATGCTCCAGCGTACGAATCCGCTCGTCAGCAGCAGCGAGAATCTCTCCATTGGATAAACCTCCGTGTGCTCCTCGGAAGGGGGTGCCCATGAAAATAACTCCGACTGTGGAACTAAAAATCCGAGCATATTTGTTATGATGTAGCTCATCCTGGTAGGCCTTGACCAGACTCTGCCAATCATTTAGGCCACTGGAACTGAAGAAATACTTGCCTCAAAAGAACATACCTGTGCCACAACCAAGCCACCAACGCAATGGGCAACAAATATAATCGGGCGATCCTCGACGCCCTGTGAAAACATTTTAGAAAAATCACAGAACCCGTTAGGTAACTGGCACCTTTCGAGCTCGTGCTAAAGCCTGCAAGAACCGTTTTGCAATTTCCGTGGAGGATACATCAGATGGTCGCCGTCCCTTCCACTCGGACCGGTAGCCAAAAATCATGATGCGCGCCTGGGGTAGGTCACTGTGTAACATGTGTTCATCCCAGAGCCAATTCAACACGGACTTTTTGACCGGGTCCCAGTAAGACCAGGTGTGAAGTGGGTGGGCTCCAACTCCATGAATAGCCACAATACTGTAGGGTTCTACCATGTTAGAAGATAAGGCTGCTGCTTCTCGTGCGGTGGACATACTCCACGGGGATTAGGCTGGGGGACTCATCTGTACTCTCCGTCTCCCAACAGCCACTAGAACCCGCAGGGGCTTCATGGAGGACATTAAGACCAAGATCATCATCTTCAACAATTAGGTGGGTCTGGGTGCAAGTTAGCAAGGCTCTGATCGGAAGGAGGCCTGACGATCGCACCATGATGATAAAGCATCAAAATATTGAATAAGAGCACAGAGAATGATCTAGAGATTTAGAGAGGTAATAGAGTCTGAACTGAGACTGCGTTTCAGTCAATAAGTTTTATCGAGCTTCTGGGAATTCGTTTGAAATGGAAGTTGTCGGACGATGAGTTTGCGTTGGTCTCAAGGAGCCAGCCTTGTGATCACCATTCAACAGGCTCAGCCGCAGAACAGAGACGCATACGATACATCTGCCCCATCCAATAGGTAGCCTTGACGCGGATGGAAAACACTGCCACAGAGGCTTGTTCTGTCTTACTCAGTGGTGAAGGCTAGGTTGTTAACTAGTCCCCAACATGCTTGAGTTGCCAACCAAACCGCCCAAGTCGTAAATTGATAATCACCTATTTCATCATTTGGCCTATTCAAAAGTCGTCACACCATTTGATATTTTCAAGGTTCTTGTTGCCATTTATATTTTATGAGAACCCTCGCTATTATAATCTTCAACGATCAGACTCATTGTAACTGCCTATACTCCCATATAATGAAACGACGTGTGCCATTTGACAAGGCCGATCAACTGCTATCTTTTCAGGACATGGATGAAAATCCCACCATCCCAACCTTGCTCCAGACTAAGAACCTGATGCTTCCCGGATATCCAGGAAAACGCCATGATACAGGTACACTTTATCAGTTCTTGTCTTGCGACTTGTGCACGCCAGAACTCAACAAAATGGCTCCTCGGCTCTGGATGTTAACCACCTATTCGAGCTCTAATATCTATCCCCTGCACTTTCAAAAAGCGAAAGGGCGTGAGATTATCATTTCCGAATACCCACGATTTCACCTCACCTGGAAATATTCCCAGATATTTATCAAGCCTCTCCCGAAATATATGCTATCCTTTACTTTCTGGGATAACCTCCTCGTCTCGGCCCGCTCGCCGTTGGAATCCCATGACCGGGAGGAACTGCTTCAAGCTGCCACAGGCCTACTACGCACATACTATTATTTAGTTCAATATGAGTCGGACTTCAGAGTGGCACAATCAACGGGGCTCTTGCCACAGGATATAACCTGGCATGGATTCTCGAATTTCATTGCCGAGGCCCAATTCATCCACGATCGTGACGTTGCCCCTCGATATCACTACGGGGAGATTCGACTGACGAGATTGAACTTCTACTCGAAGCTTTTTCTGCATCGATCGCAATACGAGTGGGGCCGACCCCAGTACAGTGACTATTTCAATCGTTTCTATGGGCATATCTTGTTCGTGTTTGCGATGCTGTCTCTGCTATTGAGCGCAATGCAGGTTGAACTGGCTTCTGAATCTCTCGTAGCCGACGTATGGATGCCCACATGGTATATATTTCGCTATGTGAGTGTTGTCTGTATATTCGTGCTGGCGCTGACTGCGTTGTCCATCTTGGTCACGCTGATTGCCATGATCTCTAATGAGTGGGTTTATGCGATACGCAGTATGAAAAGAAAAAGGGTTACCCCAGATGCCAGTTTGGAGTAGGGTGGCTCGTGTGTTCATTGCGGGTTTAAATGTGGCGTGGAAGTGCTAAACCCTAAGCATGTATCAAATAACACATTCGATTCTTTATCAATATCCGCAGCGGGATACTTGTCCGAATGAAGTCGCCTGGAGGATTACCTGATTATTCAGCTAATCTCATTACATCTGGATATTAGTTGGGTGGGTGACCACCAGCATATCCCGGCTGTTGTATGTTTTTAACTTGTCTTTTTGCTTATTGAATTGTTCATTTTAAATATAATTGCGCTGTGGTGTAAGAGTATGGGGTGTTAGAGGGAAGGGACCTGTTATCAACGCTGAGTGACGCTGCGGAATGCCACTCAGTGCTACTGCCACCGGAGAGCTTTCCGATGACTAGAGACTGGTCGTAGAGAAGTAACCTGGTGCTTACTCTCGGGCATGAAGATAGTATTCAGTATATCAACTCAGGATTTGGTTTTGAGCTTTTAATGCCAAAGCCTGATTATGATATATGAAGAGGGTGGGGAATCTCGATCAGATGCATGCAAACTCCTTGTCGTCCTTGTGAGCTCTGCCGACGTCGGTAAATTCCACACGAAACTTCTCCGCACATGCGTCGGGTCGCAGGGACTGACAACAGACATGGCACCGCCCGCAGGATTTGCACCGATGTCCTGAAAGCCACTCCGTCTAAATAACATGACACTCCACGTTGTGAGGGCCACATGCTGCTCTGCCCTGGCCGAGCGAGGCGTAGCCCTCAGAAGAAGTGACGCCTTGGTCCTCGACACATTCCTTGTTCATGGAGATTGCAGGTGAAAAAGGGGGAGAACAGGTCGGTGGACTTCCGTATCCTCGAAGTGCGGCGCAGCTAGGCTGCAGGAGACTACTGCAGGTTCCCTGTCGTGTGGGAGTCATTAGGACGAGTCCGGTTGTGGTAGAGTTCTTTGGCGTCGTTTAGCGCACTCGGAGCGGCCCAAGCCGCCCAACAAAGGAATACAGGCATTTCATATCCAAGATTACAAGTCATGGATACTTATGCGCAAGGATTGAAAGGCCTTGACAAGAACAAACCAGCCGCATTGCCTTGAAATGTATTAGGTAGTTATATGTACGTGGCATGACTGAAGTATCACAGCTATTCATCCTCAGCTACCAGAACAACGGCGCTGGCCCATACCTTACTAGTCTCATAATTCTCCCCACTCTCATTTCCAAACGCCAAAATGGCCGGCTGCATACAGGCCAGGACTTTCCGGCCATCAAGGCATTCATCGTCTTCGTCAAGCTGATGCAGCCGATGAGCGCTCATCATCGGGGACGACGAACTAAATGTCTGCAACTGGGACAGGCCATAGCATTTGATGGACGCTCTCTGAGCCCAGAGGGATAATGCCAGCTTGCCTGCTCTGTGATACAGCTTTTGTAGTTCTGCACTGCGCGTCCTCAGGCCTGACTCGTCTGCGATCGTGTGAAGAAGCAGCTGAGCAGGGCTACGGAGGAAGGCGCTCATCCACACCCTGGCAAACTCCTGTAGTCTACTCTGCATGCTATCAGACAATACGCTTATGATTTGCGACCGCCACATATGAGCCTTAGCCTGGTCCGCTACGTGGCTGTTAGCTCAACAGCAGGGACTTAGAAGGGAGGGACATGGAACATACCTTGCTTCATGGCATCATATAATAGGCGCATGTTGGCTCTGCCAGGAAGTGTAGAGCCATCACTCGACTCCGGAAACAGGAAGAAGGGATCCATGAACATCTGGTCAAATATATGCTTGGCAAGCAATGCCTCGACAAGGACGAATGGGATCTTGTTCGAAGGGATTGGCGCTTTGAGGAGAAAATCACTCCACCGTGTTTGAATGCAGTAGCCTTTCAAATGCTTGATCACCTGGTCCTTCTGCTGGCTAGGCACACCGTCAATGTCAGCCATGGCTTCTACCGCGTATTTCCGGGCCCACTGCCGCACGGCATCCTGCAGCCTCGTCAGCTCGTCCCTGATCACGCGGTCCTCTTTCGGGACATGGCCTCCCTTTGCCATCGCTTTGAGGGCGCCTTCCTGGGCGACGAGAGCTACAGATTCCAGTCTCTGGCGTTCATTCCTCAGGATGTCCAGGTCTTTTTCAAGGTTGGTCCGCTCTTGCTCCAATTCCGTAATGTGCCGCTCTTGCTCCTCCATCCGGCGCGTGTAATCCGCAATACGCGCCTCATATTCTCTGACAGACTCGATGTATTCCGCCCGTAGCTTTTGGATACACGCATCCTTCTCTTTTATCATCCAAATGTATTCCGACTCAGTTCGAGAGGGGCGTGCATTCTCGATCCGTCGGCCGTCCCTGGGTTCAGCGCACACACTCTGCTGGTTGCTTCGAGCGCTCGGCGTCGGTCGACGATGATTGACAGAGATAGGAGATGGTTGTTGGCCACGGGATGGCCGAATCTGTACCAATCAGTCACAGGAGCTAGATGCGACTGGGCCCTATTACCTTATTCATCCAAGAACCCAGGACAGAGTCTCGATTACCTGAGCGTGTGCCGTGTGGCTCCTTTGACCGCTCGCTCGGGGTCTCCCTATGTCTGACTTTCTGCCCCTGTCTCCTTTTGATTAGCTTTTATCGTGGTGAGATGAGTAGACTGTGGGAGGAAGCATATCGGATTTGGGATCTAGGTGCTCTTACGTTCTCAGGGCCCTTGAGACCTTCCTGAATAGAAGAACGCTGCTTCATACTTCAGAATTGTTGTCGTGTGAATCGATTGATGGTGCTCGAAATAGTTGTAGCAAATGGCTGGAGAGTAAGTAAAGTCAAGAGTGGCCGGGGAAACGCGTGTCCGGCGTCGGATAGTTTGCAAGCCAAGTAGGGCCAACAACAAGAGGAATGGCCAGGGTAGATATGGAGAACACGTCTAGTGGTTACGAACTCACCAAAGTAGCTCACAAAATGTGCATATTCCTGGTCCTATCCTGGGAGGTCATCGTGTCAGCTGGCCCTTGAGCACGCAGCTAGTTGGATACTCGTCGGCTCCTAATTACGACTAACAAGTATCATTCCACTTGATAGGATAGAGAATATGCCGGGTAAGAAGCTGGTCCCTGTCATGAACGGGGCTGTGGGACTTTTCAAACAGCCCGGCGGGAATAATCCCTGTCTGGGACCTGCGCCGCATTTCCCCTGGCGCGATTGCGTGCCGCTGGTCGCTCTGGATTATGCGCCGCAAAGTGTTGAAAAAGACCAGTATCTGCTCGTTTCTGCCAGCCGAAACCATAAGAGAGACAGGATATAGCCTTGTAAACAAACACCAGACACCATTCGCGGCCACCAGGAAACATTCACCAAGCATGACGAATAAACCAGTAGAAGGACTCTTAAAGGAGCTAGACTCACTGGCGCTCATTCCGTCCCACAGGATTATAGTCGGCGTCGACTATGGCACTACGTTCACTGGTACTTACTTTGCCCCATGATTTGATCAGGAATATCATCCATGACGAAAGCTGATTTACCCATGTGTAGGAGCCAGCTACGTCAGTACTAAAAATGGCAATGACCTGAACGACATTGTCATCATAAGCAGCTGGCCTGGTCCCGCGAGAGACGTGGACACGGTTGTCAAAGCTCCATCACGGATTGCTTACACCGCAGACAACCCGAGTGTTCAAACCCGACGCTGGGGTTACCAAGTCCAACCAGGGATGACCGCGTACTCTTGGACTAAACTTCTCCTCGATCAAGACATCCCGCTGACTAAATACGACGACGCTACTTTAGAGGATGCATCTAACTCTGGAATCCTAAAGCTTCCGGAAGGAAAGACTGCTGTGGAGGTGGTTGCGGATTACCTGTCCGAGGTGTACCATCATATTCTAAGAACAATTGCCAAGCAAATCACGGAAGAGACACTCAGCATAACACCGTTGGAATTCTGGTTCACCGTACCAGCCATATGGTCTGATCAGGCACAATCCGCAACACGCAGGGCTGCCCAGATGGCCGGGTTTGGGAGCCGGCCCTGTGACAATATCTTCATGATTAGCGAACCCGAGGCAGCGGCTATTGCGGCCTTAAGAAAGTACACGACTCACTCAATGGCTGGCTCGATCAGGGTGCGTATTGCGAGCATGGATCCAGAAAATGGCGCTGGCTAATCATGAAGCACAGCCTGGAGATGGTGTCCTCGTATGTGACTGTGGGGGTGGCACAGTGGTAAGGTCCAACAGGCTTGATTCTGCGCAGAGAACTCACGTCGCAGGATATCACGACCTATCTGGTGGAAACGGTTAAGCCAGAGCTGACCTTTGGGGAGTTGTGTACAGGGATTGGTAGGATCTTAGCGCTTTGAGTGAGATGCAACTGACGGGAAAATATCTAGGTGGAAAATGCGGTTCCACTGCTGTAGACCGCAACCTTTATCAGCTCATGTCAGAAAGATTTGGAGATGCATTTGATAGCCTTCCAATGAAGTCAAAAGGCCCGGGGAGCAGATTCATGAAGGCATTCGAAAGCATCAAGAGGGACTTTGGCTATTCCGATGAGGAAAACGTGTTTGAATTGCCGCTGAACATGAAGCTAACAGATGCGAACCCGGAATACTTCAACGATGATGAGCGTCTAGTGCTCTTGAGCAGGTAAGCCAAGGTCTCACTGACCCTGAGGATAACCAATGGGTGCTAAAAGAGTCCCATAGCGCGGATCTTCAGAAGATCTTCCGTCCTGTCGTCCAGCAAATCCTCAAGCTGGTGCGCCAGCAGATCAAAGCCGCAACGGCTGAGGCTGGCAAGAACGTTATCAATGTATGGGCCAGCCTATTCACCCGCAACCGTCCTAACCAATACAGAGGATTATTCTTGCGGGTGGTTTCGGTGATTCAGAGTACCTCCGGCGCGCCTTAAAGAGATCATTTTGGTCAACCGACAACATCACGATAACAGTTCCAGACAATCCGTGAGTGCGAAATATGACCAACTATTTCTTCAAACAATTAGAATCCTGTGCTGAATTTGACGGGAAATACATCAGGCAAGCTGCCATCGTCCAGGGTGCTGCCCTTCGTGGTCTTGAAGGTCTCCGGTCCAGCACCAAAAGATGTCGGCGAAACTATGGGTGGTCATGGAATGTTCCATTCCGTGAAGGCAAAGATAACGACACAAACGCATGCTATGACAGATTTACTGGAAAGAAAATGGCCACAGGGGTGATGAAATGGATGATTACCAAGGTGTGTTATTGCCGGTTCGTGTCCATGTATATGACCTCGCGATTGACGATCCTTCAAAGGGAGAGAGATACACCGAAGACCATGTCTGCACAGCCTCCCTCTTTCGGGCCCATTTGGAGGGGGAAACGCTGAAAGCAAATCTCATGCTCTACTCGAGCGATCTTGACCATGCTCCGGAGAGAGTCGAACATCCTGGTAGGTCTTCTTATGCCACTTTGCGTGCTGTAACTGACTCTAAGCTGGCAGGGATTCGCAGCGTTGGCAATATATGCGTAGACTTCACTGAGCTCGATCTCTCCACATTTGAACGGAAGAGTCTCCTGGGTACACCGCTCTACAAGCTTCAATATGATGTGAAGGTCGTCTTCGGTGCTCAAGAGGGGGTTTTGAAATTTGAAGCTGTCTCGCAGGGCAAGGTGGTGGGCAAAACAAGCATCAATTTTTATAGCCCTGGGTTCTATGAATGACGAGGTCGACGGTCAATAGCTTGCTAGTTTTTAACATTGTACATCCCACGGTGACACGGTGGGTTTTCAACGCCGCATCAGATGGTTGTACCCTTAATCAACTGGAAAACGACAAAATTGGCGCACAAGGAATAATTCAATTGGATGCTACAGGCTGTGTTGACCAATCCAGACCAGGATGATGATGAGCCAGTAAAAGATGAAAGAACTCTCAGATCCATCTGGCCCTTTGACATTGATGGGTGAAGCGGATAGAATGCAGACAAGTAGACTCTACTTTTCCCTTTTACACCATGTCTCACATCCCGCTCGAAATACAACCCTCGTTTCCAAACTCAGCAGAGAGAAATCTCAAGATTTGATTGAGAGCTTCGCGTGCGATATTTGTTCTTATTCTGCCTGCCGTCTTGATATTCTACCAACAATAGGAGACCTGAAACGTACCGAGAAGGCAAATATGTGAAGATAGTATGGATTCGATGGACTTTTAGATATAGCAAGGAATCAAACAGCGGAAAGGCAGAAACCAAGCAAATATGAAGCTGGTTCAATCAAATTTAGGTACGATCCAGGTATCAAACAGCAATCGCAAACTGTTCCCCCAGACCGAACGCTGGATGCGACTTTGGCGAAATCAAATCATCGCTGGCTTCCGCACGACCAGACCCAAAGTTCTTCAAATTCCACTTGTCCACACCCTCAACACCCTTGAGATCGTTTCCAAACGTCTGGAACAGAGCGGAATTGAGCCTCTCGTACTCTGTATAGTCCTTTGGCCAATTGCCCAGCCGCTCGACTGCTAGCTTGAGCAAATGCAGGTGCTGCCGGACATACTTGCCCGAATCCTCGGGTCTCTCGCCGGGACTAGGCGGTCCGAATTCAGAGCCGGGCGATCTCGCTCCTTCATCTATGGTTAGGGAAGCCAGGGCGGTGGGATCGATGAAGGCTCGGAGCGCGTTCTCATGCAGCGTCGCAGCTTTCTTGTAGTACCGGTATGCGAGTTCGCGGCGCTCCTTTCGGCCCTGGTATCCCTGTGCCACGCTGGTGTACATCTGTGACAGGAGAATGGTCATCTCGAGGGTGCTCGGGTGCTGGGGACCATGCACGCGGGCACAGTTGTAGACGATGTCTTCGGCTAGTCGGATGGCGGCCATGTACTCGCCCATCAGATAGCGGGTGATGACAAGCATGCGTCCCAGAGCCAGTGTGTATGCTGCCTCCTGCTGCGAGGGCGGGTGCTGGTCGCGGTTGTTCCAGAGCCCTGTGAGGAGCCAGGCTAGGTTGGCATAATCGCTTTGTGCGTCCAGGAGCTTGATCAGCTTGTTCAGCGTCACCAGGTCCAGGTGTGTGAGGTCGATGTTGGCTTGCTTGCAGTGGCCGAGCGTGGCGCTCATGATGGTGGCTGATGCGCTAAGCATTTCCTTCCGTGTTGCTGAGTCTGGAGGCGGGTCCAGACCCTGCCCGGAGATTGCTAGACCTAGATTGAAGAGGAGCTTGACCACGTCTAGCGAGGACGAGAGTCCATTGTGCGCCTGGATGTACTTGAATGCAGTCACCGCTAGATCACAGGCAGCATGGTAGTCTCTCGTAGTGAGGAGTTGCGTCACACGGCGGAAGCTTGCGACGACCACGGACCGCAAAAAGTCTTTAGTGGTGTACATGCTAAAGTACTCGACAAGAGTGCCGGTAAATGCCTTGGCCTGACCCAAGCTCACCTGGACTTTTTCCTTCTCTGTCGTGATGAAGGAGTTGGCGAGATCGTCTATGAGACGGGCAGCCGTCGACTCCTGGTTTCTCGCACGGAGGAGTCCGTACAGGCGAGCAGCAGTGCCCACAAAGTTCTCCAGGGTACTGGACTTGGAGCGGCTTTCCGATCGGTATCGCTCAAAATAAACGTACTCGGCGCACAATGACCAATGAATCTCGCTTACCGTGAGCGAGGGTTCTTTCTGCTCTCGAAGGCTGTGCTCAAAATGCGCCAGGAAGACCAGGCTCTGACGGCCGCCGGAAGGCAGGACGAAATTAGTGGAACCGGTTTCCTTGACCACAATTTTGCGGTAGAGTTCCTCGCAGAGCTCCTTTGCGCGTCGGAGCTGACCCGTAGCGATGTAGCTGGACGCAATAGTCTGGGCAGCAGCGGCGAGTCTAGATGCTGATGTTTCCTTCGAAACAATGTGTAAGGTTGCTTCTTGAAGCATTGAGACGGCGGTTTGCGCCTCCCCTCGTTTGATATATAGGGCAACCAGCGCTTTCATCTCAGACAGGGTGGTCTCGTGAGCCCATCCATAGGTAGCCCGTATAGTGGCCAGCCGTTCCCTGCGGATGGTGATCATTCGCTGTATCTGCTCGGTGGGAACAGACTCGACACTGGCAGATGCGATTGAGGCGTATTGCTCTTCGTAATGAGCATCTAGTATTGCTTGGAGTTCCTTTTGGTCGATCTCGGCCTCAACAGATGGAGTCCTGAGAAGTTGTTCGCACAAGTGGACGACTTCGGCTTCGTATCGCTTGGACTCCCGACAGATATCCAGCAATCTGGTCATGGCCTGGATGGTAATTGAGGCGGAGGCTCCGAATCTGGCCTCGCACGTTTTGCGATACTGAACTGTCACGTCGTGTATCACATGGAGCTCTGCGTGAGTCATACGTAGACAATAAGTGTACCGCTCATAGACCGACTTGACAAATCCTTGGTCTCGAAGCTTCGGGTTGATGTTTGGGTGCTGGAGGGTATTGAACAAGGTTCTCCAGGTCTTTCGTGCCTCCGAGTACTGTCCCTGGTCCAAAAGCTCCGTGGCTACAATGAGAAGGGACTCGAAAGCTTCCGGGTGACAGGTGTCGGCGTGTTTGTTCAGTATCTGGACGATTCGACGATGGTAGCCGAGCGCAGCTGAGTGCGGCCGTGCGAGATCCGCTAAGATCCGAAGCTCCTTGAGGACCGCTGGATGATCTTCTCCAAATTTCTTGGTCAAGTCGTCTAGAATATCCTGATGGATGAGGATCAGCTTGTCGGTCTGGCCCTTACGCTCATACAAATGCAGAAGGTCCCGCGTGACTCTTTCGCGCAGCTCATCTCCAACAGGACGGCCTCGGCACACGCTGTGATAGAGACCAAGGGAGATGTTCTCCCTTTTTGCTGCACGGCCTCTGAAACGATAGCAGTCCCTCAGTCGCTCTGCCAGGTCGATGCACTGATCGACGTTCTCGGACGGAAGCTCCACGTCGCTGACTGATGGACTGAAAAAGGACGGCCAAACACGACGCAGAACTGCCTTTAGAGCTTTCGTAGCGTCTCTCCATCGATGCTGAGACCAGTAAATTTCCGTAAGGCTCTGGGCTGCTGTGATGGAAGAGGAGTGCGTGGCCGATGGGCTGGAGATGATTTCTAGAAAGCTCGACTCTGTTGTTGTGGACTCGGACCAGCTGGCAGTCTCCTCTTTGATGGACTGCACGTGGCTCTCAATCTCACGGTACAAGGAGCTCTGAGTGTCTACTGCTTGGGAGATAGGCTCATCAGCTTCGATGTCGTCTAGGGCAAAGGTTGTGCCTTCCTGAACGCTAGGCCTTCGACCATGGAGATGAACGAGCAACGATTCGTCCGATTGAGGGGAAACGGTCGACTGGGTGGTACTACTCTCTGTGAGGCTTGTTTGCAGCAAACCTGCTATTTGCTGCGCTTTGTGTTCTTCGTTGATATACTTGAAATGCTCCACCAGTTGAGTCAATGTCGAAATGACGATGCTACTGTTCTGCCCATACTGCACCTTGTAGCATTCAACAAGGAGCTGGAGCATCTCAGTCCGTCTTGTCATGATCTGCGTCCGTGATTTGGTGATTTGATCGGCGGTGCTGTCGAGGAAGTCCAGGGCCATCTTCCTGGTGATGACGTGTTGGGCGGAGAGCGCCTTTTGGCATATAACCGCTGCATGGTAGAAGATATCGCTAGCTTCGGAAGGCACTATATCACGTATCTCACKGTAGAAGAGTGCTTGGCAGATGATCGCCTGCTGAGTTGCGGGATGGTCGACGGTGAGTATCTGCTGGTAGAGGCGGACCTGGACGCTGTGCAGTGACTTCAGCACCGGAGTTGATTTTGCTCGCCATACAGTCATCTCCAGTAGCGGCACAACTGGCTTGGTAGGGAGGAATGGACCTAGTTCCTTTGCTACTGTGCGGATCTGCTGATCTGTCTCGCTCCCCAGTGCGGTTTTCGTGTGAGTTACCCAGTACCGCAGGGCGAAGTCAACAAGTGGGAACCGCTGCAGCATCTTGGAAGTTCTGTGAGAACTTATTGGTGTATCAGACCGTTCCTCCTCATCTGTTACATTCAGCTTGACGTAGAGCAGCAACCTGCGCACGAGATCCACATGCCTGCTCCCGACGGTTGGGAACACTTTGCCTTTGTTGACGGTGTCTATGATGGTTGTGCGGATTTGTCCATGTCGTAAGGAGACCATGTTATTTTGGCAGAAGACCAGAGACTCGAGGGGTCGCAGAAGCGTGAGCGGATCCACCTCTGTCTCCACGATGGTGCCCTTATCCACTCGAACAGACAAAAGCGCAGACAACTCCCGCAGAGTCATTGGACGGACAGCAGTGGCAAGCCAAACCAAGATTCTCTTTGCTTCGTCGGACAATTTCGAGTCGAGGCGATGAACGACTAGATCCGTAACAGAGAGCTCCGCCTTGCCCAGGGCGTCAACAGCTTTGACCAACCCTTGCCCGTTAGGCGGGTGCTCGTCTCTGATCCTTTCCGTGGCCAGCTTGGCCCACAAAAAGGAGCCATTGGCGGCTTCTGCGATCTGGGCTACTGTGGTCTCCCGCTCTTCTTCGGACAGCTCACCAAACGCATGGCAGGCTTGAAAGCTCCTCCGGACGACCGCGGCCACGTCGTCGAAAATCAGTTCCGGGGTAATCTGCACCGCTGTCTGTGTAGTGGATGTCTTTTGCTTCTGGCTGCCAAGGACAATCAACTTCAGAGTAGACGCTTTCAGAGTTGCGTCTCTGAGCCGATTAACTAGAGCATTCTCTCCGCAGCTGGCTTCGTCTGCTCCATCGACCACAAGGACAAGTTCTTTTGCACCACGCAGACTGGCTTGCAGGGCGAGTCCGAGTGCACGCCAGAGCTCGTTATCGTACTGCTCTTCACGAGTTGTCTTTTGGCAGCGGTCATGCGCATCGGAGAGAATCTCGTACAGCTGAACGTTGCCAATACGTGCCGAAAACAGCTGAGAGAGTATAGTCTTTGCCGTTGCGCGCGGGGTCGTGTTGGCAAAGATGAGTGCATCTGTAATGTTAGCGTGGGAAAACATAACCTATTAAAAAGGATGTGCTGACTCACTGATCGGCACAAATATGGACTTGTACATGACACCCCCGATAGGATATTGAAGGTAGTCATTGATCACCGTCGCCAGGATGGTCTTGCCAGATCCCGGTTTGCCGGAGATGAACATGGTCTTCTGATCGCTCTTGAGGAAACGCGTCAGATATGGTGCCATCCACAGGCACGTCGACTCCTCCCTTTCCTGGGCAAAGTGGGCCGTGAATTCGGTGGTGTTGCTCAAAATGGGATCTTCCGGCTCCAGCCAGTTCCTAATCGTCTTCAATTTCGTCACTGGCCATGTATTAGCTTCTAACTTGACGGGGGCGACAAAAAGCAATCAAGGATACCTTTGTCCTCATGGAGACCCGCTCCCAGCAGCTGATGCCTCCACATCATCTGGGATACATGCTCACATCGAGCGCGGAAGCTCTCAATCGACGCGCTGGAAGTACTATAGATATCAATGGAGACAGAGCCCGTGGCTAGACTGCCAAGAGTTTGACGACAGTGGATTGCGACCCCGACGACCAAGGTAACCAGGTCCGCCAAAGCGAGAATCAGCTGGTCTTTGATGCTCTGTGAAACCGTGAACAAGTCCGTCCGGTGAAGCAAATTCTGGAAACCCGTCGAGCAACGATAGAAGAAACCAAAGACATCCAAGAGAGCGCTCGCGTTTTCCTCTCCCAACTAAGAAGATCATTAATACTTGTCTCATACCTTCTCCACAAGCGACATAGACATACCTCGAGAAGACTTGCACAGTGAATGTACGCCAACTCCGCCGCCATATGACTATCTCCCTCGAAGTGCTGAATAGCCGAATCAAACGAATGAAGCCTTTCTACAAACAACCGCGCCCAGACAAGGACTCTATCATAACTACTTCCCTCGGGAGGCAGCTTTCGCATCCGCTCCGAGCGGATCCATTCCAGAATGGCCTCGTAGTCCGCGCCGATGATCTTGGACGAGGCCATCTCCCCACTGCCCCTGCGTCCTAGCGACTGCACGAGGTTGGCGAGGGCGGAGTTGGCCCCGGCACTGGAGCTGCGCTGGCCATTCTGGGAGAGAGTGGAATGCATCCCGTTTCCAGTGAGACCCGGAACGCTTCGAGCGTTGAGAAGTATGTCCGACGAGGGGACCTCGATGGGGCGGTGGACGTGAGCTTGGAACGAGGTACCCATGTTAGGATTATGTTGTACCACTAGACCTGTGAACCAGTGATAAGGGGATCAATTGTGAAATCTTACATGGGAATGTACATCTGTTTTACTGGTCGATGAGGTGTCCTTGAGAGTTGCATTTGCCCTCTAAACACTGACCTGTCTAACATAATAATGCAGGTGTAAGAATGATGTGCTCGAGTACCACCTCAATCGGCAACAGACAAGTAGGCATGGCGATTCCATGACGTGTCCTAATAGAAGAGTTCTACTACACGGTGACTGGTATGGTCCAGCAAGACGAGTTCATGGTGGCTAGGCGAGAATGGCCGACCATGGAACACGGCTTTCGGTCAGAGCGTCATCTCTTTGTTTGAATCTCATATTCCAGATTAGACATTGGAGATTGCAAAACCGGTGGGTTCGATGAACTTCTGGTTCGCTAATACATCCCTTCGGGAGTCTCGGGCCAACGATGAATGTCTCCGTCAAGCAGCAGAGTATCCCTTGGCCGATGGCTATGGTATTTGGATTGTAGTTCTGACCCTGGACAAAAGAGTAGCAATTTTCATATAATCTACAAACCTTTTATTGATCCCAATTGCCCTTCTATTCATTCCTAGTGCCAGAGTTGTTCTCTTACATCCATCTATACCTTAAGATCTCGATCCCACTTATCTACGCAACCCATCTCACGACGCTTGAGATCTATTGAATAGACAGATTCTAAGTGAGCCGCGCGAATAGACCATTCCTTGCATGTAGAAACGCCTCAAAATGGAAGTTTGGAGTTCAGAATAAGGTTTATCCAATGTGCGGGGGATGTCCGCATGCGGCAGTAACCATGCACACAATACCATACATGGTTTCGAATCTTCAACGTGTATGTCATTGTGATTCATGTCGACTAACTTCCAACAATCTGGCAGCAAGGAGAGTTCTCCTTGCTCGATCGGCTGAAAATACTCGCCGCCGTCTGTAGCATTGTACCGATATCCCAGCTATATCGCCTCGGCAATATAATTTGTATGCGGGGAAACTGGCAGCCAGACAAATGCACAGCTCTTTAGTTTCAGTGATTTAAGTTTGAACAGAGATCTGGACAGCATTTGAGTTCTTCTTAAACCTTCTAGGTTAAAGTCATGAAATCGGTTAATTAACCGATTCTGCATGAGGGAAGATCGGTTGGGTCAAGCAGGCATGCAGAAGATGGTCTCCACAGTGTCACGCTGCCGTATGGGTTGAAAATTGAGAGAGTGTGTAGGATAGGGTCTGGTTCATTCACGTACTGAATGACAGTTTCCATAACTGGTTAGTCAACTAGACGATCGTAAAACAGACAATCAAACCATCATCTTCCCCAGTTTCTGCTCAGGGTCTCTTCCTGCACCTGATAGGGACCCTTATCCATCTAGTTCGGCCTTACCCCTGTAGGTGACATAGGACGGTATACGGCTGGCTCGAGGTCGAGGGAATGAGAATTTGTATTGAGGAATTCCGGCGTCTAAGCCTGCTGAACTATTTTTGCCATGTACTACTAGTAATTATTCGGTGTTTGTACCTAACGAGCTAAGGACGTCGAAAAGGCCTGTATACGAGGCAGGACACTCCTAGTGATCCAGCTCCTGCGGCAGTCCTTTAGCAAGTTCGCTAACAGGACCGAATATTTCCGAGGCAAACCGGTCGCCATGGCTGTAAGCCACAGGCTAGCCGTAAAGCAAATGCAAGATTAGCATGCTTGAAACTAGTTAAGACAAACCCTAAATGCGACCAAAGAAGGCTTGGCAGCGGCCAATTGTCCCAAAGGAGTCTTCCCGCGCCGTGGCGTGCCCTTAGCGTGTCTGAGGTTTTTCTCAACCCATCTTCTTCGAGCTCGGTGAGGTGGCGGCTGCTGAGCTCAGAAAGATCATGTGTGCATGGACAATCTACTCAGAACAATTGACTAAGGGCTATTTTAGGATGCCTGTACTACCATGATGGTGAGATTATCTCGAAAACCTTCGGCTAGGCTCATTTAAACACCCCTTGTGGACAAACTGTACCTGGTCGCAACGGCCTAAGGCCTCCCAGGCGGCACATGATAATGGTTTATGGACCAATCAGAAAGTGAAGGCGGCCAAGTCTTGGACTAATTAGATGAAAGCTAAGACAGAAAGGCAAAAGCTTAGGTAATAAGGCATGGGTGGCTGCAGCTAGAGGAGCACTAGAAAACACCAAAGACACTAACAAGACGCTAAAAAGACTGGACCAGTGGAACAAGCACTAACCAGGAGTCTTGTCTTGGGGCCCCGCATATCTGCCCTCAAACATGGAGATGCCCCCGTGGAGGACAATGCAATCCCTTCAGACTCGTGGCCTTAAGCAGGTTATTCCAACGCCACCATCCTCGGATCAGCAGGTTTCGGGCCAATAGGGTAGTTTGTGCCAAACCCCATGGCACAACTCCGCTATGTCGGTTCGGCGCCTGGCCGCTTTCGGGTAATTGTCTCCCAATGCAGCCATTATCCCTGCTTACGGCGCGGTGGGAAAAAGCCCGGCGGCACAAGCTGCGGTAACATCGGACTCGGACCGCTGCCCACTGGCGCGATTGCATCCAATAATTAATCCACGTATCACATATCACGCGCTCGCCATGCAAGACGCGCAGGTATTAAAAGATATCATCTCCCTGCCTTGCCCTTTTTCCTTTTCTTTTTTCCCCTCTGCCTTTGTCTCTTTTCTCTTCGCATTGGCACAGTAACATAGCGACCAATCCCAGCAATGTCATCAGATACGAGCGAGGTAAAGGGGGAGTTGAAGGAGGAAGGTCACGTCGACGTTCATCATGCCGAGGTCCTGGCCAACAAGGAGCTCATGAACGATGCCTTTGATGGCGAGAACCGCGAGCATGAGATGGGCTTGTGGCAGGCCGCCAAGAGCCACCCCTGGGCTTGTTTATGGGCCTTTACCATGTGCTTCACCATTGTGAGTATCTCCTCGATCGGGGAAATTGGCACCTTGTGCAGTACTAATGGGCAAACAGGTCATGGAATCATTTGACATGTTCCTGAATGGTAACTTTGTCGCGCAAAGCGCTTTTCAAAAGAGATACGGAGTGCCAGTGGAGGGAGGTGGTTATGCCATCCCGACGCGGTGGCAGAGTGCCCTCTTCCAATCCGGTCAATGTGGTGCCTTTGTCGGTGTATTTCTGGCTGGTCCCGTCACCAACCGTCTTGGCTACCGCTGGACTACCATCCTCGCCCTGATCCTTATGAACGCCACCATCTTCATTTCTTTCTTCGTGAGTAGCCTGCTGACATGACCCAGCCTCCGTCTGAGCTGAGCTGACCAACCACTAGGCCGACTCCCTCACCCTCCTGACGGTCGGACAAGCGTTGGAAGGTGTCCCGTGGGGTTTCTTCATTGCAAACTCCCCCGCCTACGCCAGTGAGATCGTCCCTCTCGCCCTTCGAGGTGCCTGCACGGCTACTCTGCAAATGAGTTGGTCGATCGGTTCCATCATTGTCGCCGCCTCCACCTATGGCTACAATAAGCGAGACGATGAGTGGGCTTGGCGCGTGCCTCTTGCCTTACAGTGGCTTTTCCCTGTGAGTCTCCCATTCAGATCTTGCACGTGGCAGAGCTGACTCGTCTAGACCCCCCTCTTGATCCTCATCTTCCTCGCCCCCGAATCTCCCTGGTGGCTGATTCGTCGCGGACGCAAGAAGGAGGCCCTTCGCTCCATCGAGCGCCTTGGTGCTAAGTCCCCAGAGCACGCTCAACAGTCCCTGGCCATGATTGAGAGAACCGTCAAGATCGAAGAGCAGATGGGCGGTACCCCTACCCTCCTCGATCTGTTGAAGGGCACCGATCTGAGACGAACCATTATCACTTGCTTGATGTACGCGTCGCAGAACTTTGCCGGTAACCTGATTGCCAACCAGGCCACTTTCTTCTTCGAGCGTGAGTATCCCCGGTGCCAGCATGGATGACAGAGACTGACTCCCGCTTAGAGGCCGGTATCGGGTCCGACCGTGCTTTCCAGCTCAATCTGATCAATTCGTGTCTCCAATTCGTTGCCAACGCCTGCTCATGGCCTCTTACCGGCTGGTTCGGCCGTCGAACCATCTATCTCTGGGGCACCGCCGTCAACATCACTCTGCTGATTATTCTCGGCATCTGCGCCTCGATCCCTCAGAACCACTCGACCAACTACGCCCAGGCCGTTCTCGGTATCCTCATCTCCTTCGTCTTCGCCGGTACCCTCGGCCCAATCTCCTACACCATCATCTCCGAGACCTCCTCGGTCCGTCTCCGCGCCCTGAGCACCGCTGTCGGCCGTGCCGCCTACTATGTCGCCGAGATCCCCATGATCTATCTCGCCTCGCGCATGCTCAACCCCACCGGATGGAACTTGGCAGGCAAGTGCGGTTACGTCTGGGGAGGCACTGCCTGCGTCTGCTGGGTGATGGCCTACTTCTTCCTGCCCGAACTCAAGCACCGCTCGTACCGTGAAGCCGACATCCTGTTCAATCGCAAGGTTCCTGCCAGGAAGTTCAAGACGACTGTTATTGATGTTAGGGAGAACGAGTAGGCTAATGAAGGAGCATGTTACTTAACGTGTCACTTGCTTTTAGGATTTCCTAAAAGGTTTGACCAATTACGTCGGGATGTGACCCACGCAGTGTATGTTATATAACTAGATAGATTCTGTGTAACAACAGTTTGAAATCATTTTTCAAGACCAACTATTAGGTAATTCATGTAATTCGCTGCACAAGCCTAATTGTCGAGAACTCAACCTCACGCGAGAAACTCTGGAGAAGCATTATGTCGGGACACTGACCCACACGGCAGACCTAAGCTTCGACGAGATCAAGGAGGAAGTCAAAGGGTGACTGCTCTTCGTAAAGGTGAAATTCAATAGCCCTGTTCAGATTCATATTAGCACGAACTAGGAGAGCTGGGTTCCTCGCGCCCAAACTGGCATCCCGAGGACGAGGACGACGACAACTACGAACTTCGGCAAGCCGAGCGCTAACATCCTTGTTCAACCGCATAGCATTCCGACACGAAATTCCCTAAAGATGGGTTCCAAAAAGCATAGGCACTGGCAGCATGGCCAACAAGCTATTATATTATATGATCCGACAAGCTAATTTTGCAATTTCAGTCGGCCAGCTGATCCAGTTCGTCCCGGACGAAGTTCCCGATGTTTCCGAGGATGAGGATTAATCTACGCTACTATAGGCCAAACTGAGGTCGGCGCTGGCCATCAAACCCCGAAGCCAGGAATCCAAAGAATTAATTTGAGCGTAGATTATCTGAAAACAATGGGATGGGCAACCTGAGAGGATATATCTTGAGGCGTACTCTTACAGAATGCACCAGTAGAAGCTCTACATGTCTTCCAGTCGCAAGTCCATGGCCTCGATGTCGTTCACCGAGCGACTCAGTCTATATATATATAGTTGTTACTTCACGTTTGATCTGCAAGTTACATTACGGCTATTGAATATCTTACCCACGTAAAATCTTGATTCAAATAACTCATTAACTCTGGAGTTCTATATTAGACTTTTTATATTATAATATACAATGATATATAGAATTAAGGAGGAAGCTGTGAGGACAGGTACTTGCAGTGAGCTAAAAGCGGCACTGCTTTAGACCGAATCCAGAAATGCAAAGTCAACGGTGCCTCAGGATGCTAACGCGACACCACCAGCCGATAATGGTCTTCCTATCGCTCACGATAACGTTTCATTCTTCTCGAGCTTCAGGCCCGTCATATATGAGGCTCCTACAGCGACCTCAATGATTCACCGCAAAGATGCCCAATAGCTCTGCTGCTGGTTTCAATCCTGAGCGCCAAGAGATCGACCGGATCTTACGGGCCAAGCGACAGCAACGCGAAACAAAGGCGTGCTATCCGTGTCGCTCGCGCAAAGTCAAGTGCGACAACGGCCAACCATGCAGAACCTGCCAGAAACGAGGTCATCCCGAGATCTGTGTCTATGGCCTTGAGGAATCTTCTCCGCGGAAGCGGGCCATGCGAAGTCCTCAGAGTAGCAACGCTGATGCTTCTCGCGTTGCATTTCCGTCTGGCTTAAAAAGTGTAAATGATCAGCCTCCAATCAGGAATTCGGCATCTCCTCTGCATACCAGACCTGCATCGGAATCGATCAATCAAGGAGACCCTGCAAATTACATTTTCTCTGGAGAGAATACAGTCATTTCCATACTGGGTTCACACTACGCCGATGGATCAATTACCCACAAGGCGAGCACTGTGTTGGGACTCCAAAACAGCTTCAGCAATTACCCATTCCTTGATGTCAAATCACCCATAGATCGCTGGAAGGCTCTCGTGGAGATTCTTCCTCAAAGGGAGGAGATTTTGAAGTATGTTGAGCGACTAACCAGAAGTGCCGGTGCTGACGGACAGTAGGTTTTTTCACTTCTACCGCACCTCCGCCCATCCATTCAACCCAATTCTTGTCGATATAGACGGCTTTGAATTGTTCCTATGCCACTTCCTTACATCCTACGCGTCTGGGGAACTGCGCGATCACGACAAGGTCTCGGAAAGATGGTCGTCGGATCGATCCGTCGGTCAGATCAGTCTCCTCCTGGCCGCGTTGGCTTCGGGAGCGCATTACTCAGACCTTGAGAACCCCGAGAGGTCAGAGAAATACCAGAGCTTTGGTAAGAATAAGCCCTCTTCTATGGAGAAATGATGAACTGATGCTGGAACAAGCCCGCCGATCTTTCCAAGCACTAAGGCTGGCAAATTTCCTCTTGAGGCCGTCGCTTGAAGTTGTCCAATCTCTACTCATTCTGGGAAATACGCTACAGAATAACGGTCAATCTGATGGCGCGTGGGCTATGCTTGGCACGACTGTCAGATTAGCCCAGACCTTGGGACTACATACCGAGAAGAGCATTTCTCACTGGCCAGAACCAATGAGACCAAAGGCCAAAGCATTGTGGTAAGTAGCTATACCAAGATGAAGTTCACAGCTGACCCCTGAAGGTCTATGACGGTTTGGCAAGACAGCCTTTTGAGTCTGTGCTATGACCGCCCCTCTATGGTGTCCACGAGAGGCTGGCAGCTGGACTCTACTACTCTCKAGTCGAACCTATCATACACTGACATGATGCGCTACCTATGCCGGCTAGGTCTACAAATTAACAATGCAGAAGAGAGAGAGCGCAGTGACATTGCCTATTCCAGCAAGTTATTAGCTGCATTGGACGACGTTTTCAAGCGTGTACAACCCCATCTCCTTGCCCGGGAACACTGCACTAGCTTGCACCAACACCTGGAACATTTGGCCCTCCGCATCCATGTTTCCTTCTGCATTTCCGTGCTATGTCGGCCAGCCATCCAAAGCCCACCCAGAGCCTCTCTCAACCCACGCATTCGACTTCTGCGCAATAGGGCCAAAGACAGTCTGGTTGAGGCTGCAAAGGCCTTCCTCGACTTTGAAACTTTAAGCATCGTCCCATTACGCACCTGGTCTATGGTACATACGGTGCTCAGTTCTGCATTGCTCCTTTGCCTTTGGGAGGAGACTCGCAATGACCCGGGATGTCGCGACTTGCAGCAACGAGTCATCGAGGTATTCTCCAGAGTTGGCACTGCTGGGAAGGATGCTAATGGCCAACATGGCAATGGCCAATGGTTGTCAACGAGGCATATCCACGCACTCGTCGCGTTGAGAAATGCTGTGCGTGATACCCCAATGCGTGAAGTACACGCAGACCCAGAGACACAGCGAGGATCGCCACGAAGCCAACCCCCTCGACGATTGTCAGATGTCATATCTGGTCCAAGCATTGGATTCGGTGATGTTCAATCATCTGGCGATTTTCCTGCAAACTTTGATTTTGGGTAAGATTGCTCCATGCTCAGTCCGCTACAGATTTACTAATCGGATCAGCTTGTCGGGGAATTTTTTCAGCAATGATATGGACGTCTCGCCTCTTTCCTACCTTGATTCTATAATGAATGGTACGGACCCTGTTCTGTCTTAGTGTCCTCGCTAATTCACTCCAGTACCACTATTCGATTTTCCTGATATAGGCCAGGCCGGCCCGGAATGAGCCGCAAGATTACGGTATGCGAAGCCACCATCGCTGTTATGTTCTTGATAAATCAGGCCCACAGAATACGGTCGAGACAAAAAATATATTGATTAGGCAAGCTCCATTGTTACATGGACAAGTTGATTATCGCTCCGTCTTCCAACCTTCCCACCTTTCAAAATCAGCAGTATCAAGATCAAAGAGATCAAGCATCCGTCCAACGCTTTGGTCAACAATTTCGTCCATGCTAGAAGCCTTGATGTAAAAAGCCGGCATGGGAGGGAAAATGACAGCCCCGCTCTGCGTGACAGAAAGCATATTGCGAAGATGGATATCGCTAAGTGGAGTTTCGCGCGTGACGAGGACAAGTCGCCTCCGTTCCTTGAGCATGACATCTGCGGTACGGGAAATCAAGTCGTCGCAGAAGCCGGAGTTGATCGCGGCGAGGGTCTTCATCGAGCAAGGCACGACTATCATGCCGTCGGTCTTGAATGAGCCACTCGACACCGGTGCGGCCATATCGTTGATGTTGTGCACATAGTCTGCTAATGCGCGGACGTTCCGAGGACTATAATCCGTCTCGTACTTGATGGTGGCCTCGGCCCATTTGCTGATGACCAGATGTGTTTCGACGTTGAGCCGGCGAAGGGCGATGAGTGTTTTGATGCCTAGGATTGCGCCGGTGGCGCCCGTCATTGCGACAACGATTCTTTTCCGTCGACCTTTCGCTGGAGACTTGAGGTGATCATTGTTTGACGTTGATGATTCTTGTGTGGGCTCCGTATGTGTTGCAGAATGGGAATCAGAGGTATGATCGGGGCTGTCGCGACCAGAGTTGGGCGTATTGGCGCCGGAGGGTAGCAGCGATGCAAACATTGTGAATGGTTGAATGATTCTGGGGGTCTGGATAATTGAGGAAGGGGATATAGAGCATTCGGGTGCTTAGCTTGCCTTTTAAGGCGACGCGCTGCCAGTACTGGGGCAATTTACTTGGCCATATGATACACTCCTCATGGCGAAATCCTGATCTCGGTGGCTCGGATTTGACAATGTCGATCTGGAGGTGTAAAATGGACTGACCCGAGCCTCCGAGCCTCCGAGCTTCCGAGGTGCCGAGTCAACGGATATCGGCATAGGCGAGCCACCATTTCACTCAGCAACCCGACTCTCGAACATGCCTTGAAATCATTATAGACAAGCTTTTGAGAAGGATGCCTGCCGAGTATTCGGTCGGCTTCCAGAGTCTGCGTCATCGGTTATTGCCGATCATCCGTTCCATGGCAGGACTATATAACTCCTCGTGCGTGACTGATACTCATCTGTCACTTCAGTCAAGCCATCTACTCCGTTTAGTCTTTTCCTGCTGAACATTCCTCACCCAATCTCAATCTCACAATGACAGCTGTTAACGATACCAACGTGGATCACTCCTTCCGTGCTTTCGTCGAAGCCCTCAAGGCAGATGACGACTTGGTCGAGATCAACACAGAGGTCGATCCCTACCTCGAAGCTGCTGCGATTACCCGGCTTGTGTGCGAAACCGACGCTAAAGCTCCCTTGTTTAATAACCTGAAGGGGATGGGAAAGAATGGACTCTTCCGTATTCTCGGTGCCCCCGGTTCGCTTCGTGCTTCCAGCCGCGATCGGTACGGCCGCCTGGCCCGCCATCTCGCCCTCCCACCCACGGCTAGCATGAGACAAATACTCGACAAAATGCTCTCTGCTAGCTCCCTTCCCCTCATTGAGCCCAAGATTGTTGAAACCGGTCCCGTGAAGGAGAACTGCCTAATCGGCGACGAGATTGACCTTACTGCCTTGCCTGCGCCGATGATTCACAAATCTGACGGAGGCAAATATATTCAGACGTATGGTATGCACGTCGTTCAATCCCCTGATGGGACGTGGACAAATTGGTCTATTGCTCGTGCAATGGTCAAGGACAAGAACCACCTTACTGGCTTGGTTATCGAACCACAGCATATCTGGCAGATCCATCAGATGTGGAAGAAGGAGGGAAAGGACGTGCCATGGGCGCTCTGCTTTGGTGTACCCCCGGCTGCGATTATGGCATCGTCCATGCCCATTCCCGATGGCGTCACCGAAGCGGGCTACGTCGGTGCCATGACCGGTCGTCCGCTTGAACTCGTGAAATGCGACACCAACGACCTATATGTTCCGGCCAACTCGGAAATCGTCTTCGAAGGCACCCTTTCCATCACGGAAACCGCTGATGAGGGACCGTTTGGCGAAATGCACGGCTATTTCTTCCCCGGCGACAGCCACAAATGCCCTGTCTACACCATAAACAAGATCACCTACCGGACCAATCCGATCCTCCCCATGTCAGCCTGCGGTCGCCTCACCGACGAGACACAGACGATGATCGGGGCCCTGGCCGCTGCTGAAATCCGCAAGGTCTGCCAGCTCGCCGGCCTTCCTATCACGGATGCCTTCTCCCCTTTTGAATCCCAGGTCACCTGGGTAGCACTCAAGGTCGACACTGCCAAGCTTCGCCAGATGAAGCTTACAGCAAAGGAGTTCCAGAAGAAAGTCGGCGATGTTGCCTTCAACCACAAGGCGGGCTACACCATTCACCGCGTTGTTCTCGTCGGTGATGATATCGACGTCTACAATGGAAAGGACGTCATGTGGGCGTTCTCCACCCGTTGCCGCCCTAACGCGGACGAGACTTTCTTTGAGGATGTCCGTGGGTTCCCTCTGATTCCTTACATGTCTCATGGTACGGGTTCCCCGACACGCGGTGGAAAGGTTGTGTCTGATGCTCTCATGCCTGCGGAGTATACCACCGGTGCGGACTGGGAGGCGGCCGATTTTGAGCACTCGTACCCCGAGGATGTCAAGGCCAGGGTCCGGGCAAATTGGGTGGCTATGGGCTTTCGCGAGCGTAACTGAGCATTTCCTGTACCATTAGATTATGTACCAGAATAGAATTCACTCATAGATCAGTACACGTGCATTTCCCTCACTTGCATCCTCAAGAACAGGTCTCTCATCTTCTTCATATTCCATGCGCTGATTGAGTCTACGTACACCTTTACGCACCAGTATTTATCTGCCAACATCACGATGAAGATGTCATAATCTCCCAAGCCAATGCCTCCCTGCGTCATGATCATCCCCTCTACCAGCTCCTCCACCCCAAACGAGTCCCCACGCAATTCATGCCGCAACTAACTCCTTCTCCATCTCCACAAAACACAAATCCTCAGGCAACGCGACCTCTCTAAACTTCTCAACCGGAAACGGCGTCACCTCCCCCGTCGGCTGATATCCACACCTGGAATACCACTGAATCAATTCCCCACGCGTCGAAAGCGCATTCAGCCCTCCCCTACTAACGCCCCATTGCTTCTGACAATACCCCTCCGCGTAAGCAAGGATCTTCCGCCCGATCCCAAAACGCTGGTACGCTTCATCCACAGCGAGAAAGAAGAAGCGCGCGAGGTCAGCGTGAGCGGTAGTCCTCCTGGAAATGCCGACGCAGGCGATCAGAGCGCCGGTGGCGTCTGTTGCGAGGAGGAATGCGCTGTTGGGCGTGGTGATCGTGCTTAGGATCTCTGTCGTCTCGATGCTGAAACTTGAGGCGAGGGTGGTGTCGCCAATCCAGTGTGGTCTGGGGTCTTGGGCGCGGAAGGCGGATTGGACCAGTTGTTGGATTTGGGGGGCGTCGGATGGGGTTGCGAGGCGGTAGTTGAGGGTCGGGATAGTCATATTTCAGGATTTGTTTTGTATGCTGAGTTGATATCAGTTAAGTGCGTATGTGCTGATTGGAGGGATTATAGTATAGGTTATATGAACATTAATAGGAGTATTGCGCTCAGTGTTCTGTTGGAAAGCAAAGCTTTTGGTGGAGTTCTGCTGCCGTCAGATAGCGCTTTGGTAAGGTAATGTTCAAAACTAAGAGATATAGGTCTTACACAGCGGCGTCTGGGTAGCTGGCATATTATATAGATTTTACAATCTAGTGGCCGCCTAGTTGCGGCTTTATTACGGTTGTCATGGGCCACGCCCTAACTCCGTACGCCCTGCGGGATACATGGAGGGAACATGTGATATCACCAGATCAACGTTTTGCTTACATCTCTTATCCATCACTTGATATTAGCATCCCGTAAGTAGGGACGAAATAGATATTTGATTGCCTTTTGAGTTACCTCTTACACCCTTTCTCCTGTCAACCTATGGCGCGGATTCTGATAGAATGAAAACTTAGAACAGGCCATCAACATATGCGATAATGATTTTGTCCTTTTGGTAAAGCAGCACAGTGCAACAATGATTACCTGTCTCGTTGCAACACTTGACCGAAGCCTCAACCCTGAGGTCTTGTTTATCTTATATGATATCACCATCAAGGCAATGACTCAAATGACGAGATGGCTTTTTGACTCGTGACAGATCTTCTACATATAATCTTACTGAATCCCTGGCCTGATTTCCGACACGTCCATCGTTGATGCGTTGATATAGAATGAAAATAATGCTATTGATGAAGCCTGGACTTAGTAGAGATCAGTGTAATAAATAGGATGTTACCCCCAACGACCCAGGGTTACAGTTTTGAGTACAGCTAGATGCAACTTTCTGTCCCCCTTTTCTTATCTATTGAACGTCACGCTTGTTTGACCTGCATTTCACTTTTGGACTTGAAGTAGAAGCACAAGCTTCTTAGGTTGGCACCTGTCTCAAGGAGTAGTTTAACACTGCTTCATGCCTATATCTCACTGCTCATGACAGTGAGTGTCCTGCCAGAGTTATCTATTAACACTGGGTTGGCTCCTGCCTTAAGGAGTAGTTTAGCCACTGCTTCATGCCCATTCCTCACTGCCCATGACAGTGGTCTCCCACCAGAGCCATCCATTAAGTCTGGGTTGGCACCTGCGTCAAGGAGTAGCTTAACCACTGCTTCATGCCCACATGCTGCTGCCCATAACAGCAATAAGTCTGGGTTAGCACCTGCATCAATGAGTAGCTGAACTACTGTTGCATGCCAATTTGCTACTGCCCATGACAGTGGTCTCGCACCATAGCCATCCATTAACTCTGGGTTGGCACCTGCGTCAAGGAGTAGCTTAACCACTGCTTCATGCCCACTCGCTGCTGCCACGGACAGTGGTCTCCCACCAGAGCCATCCATTAAGTCTGGGTTGGCACCTGCCTCAAGGAGTAGCTTGACCAGTGCTTCATGCCCCTTACTTGCTGCCAAGGACAGTGGTGTCTCAGACCAGCTACCCTTAGCTTCTAGCTTGGCTCCTGCTTCAATGAGTAGCGTAACCAATAATTCAAGCCCTTTCTCCGCTGTTCGAAAAAGTGGGAACTGACTCAGGCTATCCTTTGACTCTGGGTCGACGCCTGCCCTAAGGAGTAGCTTGTCAACATCTTCAGGTCCATTTTCTGCTGCAAAGGAAGAGGAAAGTGGTGTCAGGTTTGAGCCAAACTGCATGTCTAGCAGGGTCTCGTCTTTCCGTAGGATAATATCCACCAAATCCGGCATGCCCTTCTCAATGGCCCTAGAAAGGCCTTTCGCCAGCGCTGCACTTGATGGTTGAAAAGACCCTTTTCGAATAAGGAGCATGGCGATCTCAATTTCATCCTCATATATTGCCGTGACTAGAGCTCGCTGACCACGATTTCCTTTCATCTCAACTGCGGCAGGCTCTGCCCGGAGCAAGATTTCAACGATTTCCCTATGGCCCTTTTTCGCGGCAACAAGTAATGGAAACTCCCCGTATCGATTCTGACAGGTTGCTGAAGCGCCATACAAAAGAAGAAGATTGACAATAGCTATTTGCCCACTTCGTGAAGCTAAGAGAATAGCCTCGTCATCACGTTCATACTCATCATCCTCGTCATCATATTCGTAGTCATCATCCTCGTCATCATATTCATACTCATCATCACGTTCATCTTCAGAGTAGGTTCCATTGTCCTTGTCGAATTCCAGTAACCTCATTGTGTTGGCTCCAGCTTGTAGAAGTTCCAAGATGAATCGCTTAAGAAGATTGTCGTTGTCCTTAATCTCTTTCAGTGCGAAATGGACGGCCCCATCCAGTTTCACCTTTTTCTCAATAAGCTTCCTGAGTAGAGGCGCGTCCCGATTACGAATGGCGTAGAAAATGGGAGCACTGTCTTGTCCAAGATATTTAGGATCAGCCCCTGCCTCAAGCAATGTGTGGATCACCTCTCTGGTATTGTGTGTTAGGGCAACAGTCAGTGGCGTTTCACCATCATTATTCTCAGCGTTAACATCCACATGGTAAATCCTTTCCTGGTCCCTGTCTCTGGTAGCATTGATGCTCTGATCAATGCCTTCATCTTGCCGAAGCTGCCACTCGATCGACCGATTCAGCAGCGCAAGTGCCATATCCTGCTGACCCTCTTCGATTGCGAGATGTAATGGCGTATTTCCTTCAGCGTCTCTACCGTCAACTTGTACATTATCTTTCTGCAAGAACTCGTCAAAAGCGCTCTTTGAGTCCAATGCGACCAGAACATGCAGCGCCGTTGCTTCAACAAAGGGCCAGCCTCTAGGCGCGTAAATGCCATCAGGATCCGCCACCCTCCATACACTGGCGATTCTCTGCATGTTTGATTGTCGATCTAATTGAACGAGAGAGAGGAGATCAGATTGAGCGATTCCCTGTTCTTCCACCTTTCGAATATGTTGCAACAGGAACCGCACAGCGTATGGGACCAGTTGGAACCTTATCCGGAGTTTTCCGGGCCTCCGCTCAGCTTCTTCTAGCACTTCCTCTAATGTCAAATACCTGAGGCAGGACCTCGATATTTGAAAATGACCAGCTGCGACTGGAGATTGGGAGACATTCCGGTCGTGTTCAACATGGCTGAGGAAAGTCATGAGCAAATAGTCGGCAACTGATTGGTGGATGAATTGAGCTTCCCGGTAGGCTTCTTCCACTTGATACGACTCAGCTTCATATGGACCATATCTCAAGATTCTCGTCCGACGCCCAAGTTCCCAAAAGTTGCGGGTTTGAAATTCGACCAGTCCTCTCGAAAGGTGTTTAACGTGTCTCTCAAACTCAGGAAGAGTATCAGACCAACTTGCGTGTTTTCGAATTTTGGTGTTGCGCTGCATGTCCTTCTCAATAGAAAGTGCATCCCGAAGCTCTTCCGCAGACAATGGCCGCGCTGTGAATAGGACCCACTGGAACAACTTGACAGTCTGATGCCTTTCGGCTTCCGTAACACCACCCAGAATGTCGGAGTATAGTTCATCAAGAGCTTCAGGTATAGTGAGGAGCTTTTCCTGCAGCTTCTCCGCCTTGGTGCCATTGTCGTTCTCTTCAATCACCATATTGCAAACCAAAGCCGCCCATTGGAATCCACCTTGAGCTTTCAACAGGATCTCCTTTTCAATTCGCTGCCGCTTTGATTCAGGTTGGATCTTTTCAAGCCTATCTCGAACGACCAATCGGATGTCTGGATCATTTCGCTCTTCCACAGAAATAGTTGGGCACATGTCGAGGCCAATGATTGGATGGTGTCTAGAAGAAAAGCATATCTTTACCTGTCCTTCCTCGTGCTCGATATCTTTCATTATGTCTCTGAAGTACGCCAGCAAGCCTCTCGCAGCATCTTTGCCAGACTCGTCAAGCGCGTCGACGAAAATGACAACTGGATGGGCCTTCGTCCCTTTTGTGAGGACTCGGAATAGAAATTCTTGAAGCTCATTTTCCTTCCAGGTCCATCTACCTGCCTCATACGAACCAAATCGTTTTTCACGATCTTCAAACTGGATAGTGAGCTCAGAAAGGTAGACAGGGAATGATTCGAGCATGCCGTTTAACAGTGCGCGGAAAACACCTAGCGGCGTCTTCTGCAAAGGCGTTCCTCGACCGTGTAGGAAGTAAGACACCACAAGCTCTCCAGATTTTCTGTGGGCCATTGCTTTAGCAGCAAACTTCATGAGAACGGATTTGCCGGCGCCAGGATTGCCTTGGATCCAGAAAAGACCGCATGGTTTGTTCATCCAATCTTTGTACTGCAGATCATCGAGGAGCCACCCACAGGTGTTTACTGCAGAATGAATTTCATTGAGTCTCCAGTCTTGTTCTTGAAAAGAAAGTGACCTGAGACACTCTGTGCCTAGTCAGCTGCCTGTTGAGCATTTGGTCTCGCATTACATACCTAAGCTTTTGGTTGAATGTGGCACTAATGTTGCAGAAACTCTTAGTATATTCGAAGCTAGACAATCACATCTGATCACACACAGTTATTTCCAGCTTCTGCACTCACAGCATCATGCACGCCTGATACTCTCCACAATAGCGGTCGTAGAGCTGTCTTAACACGTATATAGAGCGCATCATATTGGTCGCTATATTTCACCATCTCGGAGTGACTGCGGCCGATTGGGTGTTGGTTTTTACTGCCGCATGTCGCGGAGGAGACGTCAACCAAGATTTGCGAAGGTCCGGAAAGTTCCCACCGGCCATTTCTCTAGATGAAGTTTAAGCGGTTATAATGGCAATAATGTCGAACTGCTCAGTGGCTCACCTTCACTGCGGTAGGGGACTTCTCCGTTTCGTAGAAAGAGATAATACGAATGGGCCTTTCGCTGAATGCATCCCTGAAATCCTGTTGGAGGCGCATAAGAAGCGCTGAATTCGTACCAAGGGACTCGAGAAGTCCGCGGTTTGGTTGGTCATTTACCAAGGGAACGAGCGACTCGATAGCCATCCCTTGATGCGGAACGCCGAAGAATATGAATCCGCAAGTGGAATTCAATATTGATGCGCAAGTCTTGTCTATTTCCTCTTTCAGCTTGCATATCGCCTGTCAACTGTTTGTGAGCACATGGCAAACGCTACTTGATCAATGAGTACTGGTATCGATACAGACCTCTTTAATCACGAGACCCCCAAGGCTATGGCCAATGAATAATATGGGACGGGATTGGCAGGGCTCCTGGACACTGTATAAGCCATACGGTGCATATCTGAGAAGAGTTATGCAGGGACCGATTACCCGGATGCCTTTCATATCGATTTGAAGGGCTCTACCCAAGTCCGTCAAGTTCTGAAATGAACTGCTCCGGACCAGGCGAGTGTCGTAACCATAGATAAGAATCCTCGCATTGGGAAAATCCAGCGGAAGAGCATCACGGAGCCACATGAAAGAACCACCCCTTTCTTTGAAGGAACCAAAAGCGTGTCCACCAAGACCGGATATAGCGATTACACTGAGGACATGTCAAACCATTTCGTAGCCACAGGTACTCTGGAGACTTACTCCACGTCACAGCTGTCATCTTCAGAATGTTGGAGAGGCGTGAAACCTGAGAAGTGGGTATCCAGTATCAGAGTGTGTTTGGTGTCCACAGTGTGTTCATCTCCATCCGACGGCAGTGCAAATTTCCATTGATCTTTTGAACACTCAGACAAACAGACAGGGAGAGTATGGAAACTAAGAGTGGCGACCTTGCTGTTGCGCTCGACGGGGTCAATGGCAAGAGAATGAACTGCGACGCTTGCACCAGGTCCAATAGAAAGGACGCTCATGACAAGTTCCCTGACATCAGGCCTGGTTCGATATCTAAGTGGAATCCCCCTTAGCCTGAAGTTTTGATAGTGGTCTGTTGCCATAATGCAGCAATATTGCCGATGGAGAACGTCCCTGAGGCTTGACAAAGTGGACACTGAAGTGAAAAAACGGTAGGGATTTTAATCAAGTCACGGGCTCATGGCACAACACGCTAGTCAGCCTAGTCAGTACATGCCAATTCTCAGCCTTGCGCGATGTCCAATTAGTCTGTGACCCTTTGGCGCTCTGCTGCACCTAGGCATTAATGGCTGTCACACAGTAGAGTGATATTACTGGTCCAATCCCTTTGCCCCTGGCAATTTCCTAGCCTTACTGCGCCGCGCCCAAACCTCCAGGCAGCTCTCTCAATTCCTCAGCTCTTCAATCTCTTTCTTTTTTGTTTCCATCCTCATTATGAAATTAACCAAAATTCGTGCACGACCCGGATCAAAGGCCGGCGTGTTAATGATGTTTCCTTCATTATAGACCGTCTCGCTTTACGTTTCTAGGGTCAATGGGGTTGCGAAGTCGATGGAAGATGGAGTCCACAAGGTGAGAAAGACACAATCAGATTTATCAAATCAACAACGAAGTGTTGACAGTCATGTCGCACTGTCAGTCCCCCTTTCCAGAAGGAAAATGAACTTCTAGGCGGTCCTGTGTGTCTACCTATCTACATTCCGCAGAGGACTTCTGCCCTGTATCCTGTGCATGACCTGCGCACATACCTAGAGCAAGATCTGTGGACACCGCGTCTGGACAAAATCCATCAACATCTCTGGCTCGCAGGTCTTCCTAGGGCTGCCCGGCCATTGCATCGACAAAAACTGCTTAATCGCACAATCATAGTCACCGAAGATCCTAACGAGCACCTTGTATGGCATGAGTCTCGTATATTCGTCAAACCGCTTCCGGAATATCTGCTTTCCTATCAGTTCTGGACGGACCATCTCGAAAAGGAATTTCAAGATGAATCTTTGCGTAAAGCTGCTTATGGACTTCTCCTATCCTACAGCTGGCTTATATGTCATAAATCCGACCTCAGCGTAGCGCATTCCAGCGGTCTTCTGCCAGAATCAATCATTTGGGAGAATTGGGTGAACTTTCTGGCCGACTTTCTCAGTTATGTTGATATAGGGTCCCTTAGCAATGTCTCCATTCGGTACCGATACGGCGAGCTGCGTCTCTCAAGACTGCACCGGATATACAGATTTTTCCCTTCAGTCTTCTCCCCAACAAATTTCATCAAGGGATTCAAATCCGAGTCAACGTGGTATAAAGCCTTCTTCGCCCGCAATTTCAGTTGGATCTTTGCAATTTTTGCGTACGTCACCGTTGCATTAAGTGCGATGCAGGTAGGACTTGGGACACAAAAGTTACAGGAAAATCGTAACTTCCAGCAAGGATCAGAACGATTCGCAGTTGCAAGTTTGATTCTGCTCGCTGCCAGTGTGGCGCTGATTGTTATCATCTGGGTCTTTCTATTTTGCTTTCATTTCCTATGGGCCATGCAGAGTCTGAAGCATCGAACGCATTAGAAAACCGAGAGATGAAACCTTGAGATGACGGTGATGGTTGGAATTACACCACAGTTGCTCTCCGTTTCCCTCGACCGGCGTCTCTCTGCACCCTGCCGCGGGATCGTGAGACGGGTATACCTCAATCGGCCAACAAAACCTTCCTCCTTTGTCGTCAGCGGGATGGAAGAGCCATTCGTCTGGCCTGGCCATCGGAGATCTTGAGTAACATATTGAAAGATGTAACATCAGCTGATGACTCCAGCTCGCTGGATTGGCAACAATTGGTCGCCCCTCTCCGCGAAACGTATTATCACCACCGGAACGAGGTCAGCTCAACGGTTCGGGCAGATGTCGGAGGAGATGCTTCAGCAGCTGTCACGGAATCAGAACTATCCCCTCAGATGTGAAGGACGAAGTCAAAGGGAGAGTTCCAAATGGATAACTAAAGATTCTGGACAAGGCTGGGGTTGCATCAGACGTGAAGGCTGACAGGGAATCCTTCCACTACTATTCGCTGAGTTATTATTCTGTTATTTCGTCGAAAAGTAGATTGGTCGCTATACATGAACCAAGATTATCTATCCGAATTTTTGAATAAGCATACTATTAGCTTGAGAAAGCATATTATAGGACAGTGAACTTGCATGATATTCTATAGAATGGCCCAGGGTCCATCACATAGATAGACTTTCAAGCTAGCCACGTTGCATTGTTTTAAACTTCTATCGCTTAATGCATAATATCCCTATTATGGGTTTTACACTTCCCACTCAAACGGAGCATGGCAAGCAAAGCTTGCTCCGTCGAATGAAGATAAGAGTGAGGTTTCTTTTATAGTGGCGCCAGGACATGTGACAGGATCAGCTTGGATTTGTTCTAAGTTGAATAATAGTATTGTATAATTTGCCGAGGTCCAGGCACTAGTGCTTTTGCTCCGGCACTAACGAGGATCGACTAATGGTCAGGGCCCAAAAATAAGGATCTTCCAGATTTTGTTATTCATGCTTACTTCCTAGATCTTTAAGCTATGTTTACATTTCCAACTGGGGAAGGGAGTAAGCTGCCTCCGCGGATGTATTTGTGATGTTTCCATGCCACGACTTTTATACAGGTCAGATCAAGACTTAAGCGAGAGATATCGAATGTCCATATTTGGGGCTATAATTAGAAACTCTGAAACGGTGGGGACAGTGGACAGTTATCAGACCCACGGTTTGAGCAGGATAAGCAGGATATTCAGCAACCTGAAACTGCGTCTTCTCGGCAGTCGCGGATCATCCTATCATGGACCATATCCAAGTTGATAACTCGATTTTTCGCATCCCCGCAGAGAGGATACAACATGAGGATACAACATTATGGAGCAACGAACGTTTCACCATCGAAGGAGGTTCCCATGGGACGGGTTCATATCTACACGGGCATCTCCTTCTTCTTCACAAAAGTGTCTCACACTGAGTCACAGTAGGAGAAGCTTCTAATCCGAAGCACTCGAACTTCCTTTACAGGACAGGGGTATCCTTCAGAAATAACCGAAGGCAATCTGAAGCAGCTTTTGTCGTGGATGGCCCCTCCGTAGGTTTCACCAAGACCCTCAACTTTTCGGTTAGCAGTGGACACCGAGTCCAAAGGTCTTCTCTCGAACGATGGAGAACGATAGATGTCTCTCATTTGTCACTCTATCCGTCAACAAGCCGGATTAACCAGGTTGACAGCCGCCATAATGTCATGCGATCGGGACAGACCCTTGCCATCCCCTGTATCAAGCTACGGCATGGTGTGTTCCCCCTAAAAAAGAAACGTGAGGGGAATCGCAAACGCAGTTCTTCACACTGACGTCCTGGTAGATCATGGTGTCAAGATAGTCTTCTTAAAGTGATAGGCGGACTTTATATACGCCGTGAGAGCTACTGTGTTGATCATCTTGAGTCTAAAAATCTGCATCATCAACATGAAGACTACTCGAATGGTTGATTACGCCACAGGCCATGATGGCCTCAACACTCCTCGCGATGTCCTTTTTGTCCAGCTCATCTACTCGTCCATGGTGGCTTTCGCCGGGATCGTCCTGCTTGCACGGGTTGCTCAAATCGGGCATGCCTATCTTCGCTACATTGTCTGTTCCGGTGCAACTGAAAAGCAACAAGCAGTCTGGAGCATCACCGAATCACCACTCTGGTTCCGAATCAAAAGCCGTCTGCTCTACGCGCCATTGTTCAGCAAGCGCCATAACCGAGAGATCCAACTCTCGTCGGCCATGAATATGGGCACTCTCCCTTCGCGATTTCACACATTTCTTATTTTTGGGTATATTGTCAGTCAAATCGTCTACTGCTGTGACCTCAACTATCAGAACGATACGCCCGCCATCATTGCAGAGCTTCGGGGACGTTCCGGCACATTGGCCACATTAAACATAGTCCCTCTTGTGCTCTTTGCAACCCGAAACAACCCCTTGATCCCACTTCTACGAATCAGTTTCGATTCATACAACCTCTTCCACCGATGGCTGGGCCGTATCGCCGCCATCGAGAGCATAATTCACATGGCTGCTTGGGCCGTCAACACCGTCCGACAGGCAAACACTGCAGCACTTGCTCAGCATCTTGCTGAAACGCCCTCCTACGCCTGGGGAATGGTTGCAACTGCAATCATGGGCTTTTTCATTCTTCATTCTCTCTCGCCTGTACGACACGCATTCTACGAGACCTTTCTCTGCATTCACCAAGCGGGCGCCTTCTTGATCATCTTAGGCATATACCTGCACCTCGACATGCACAGCCTGCCACAAAAGCCATGGATTCAATGGGTCATTTTCATCTGGGGTGCAGAACGGTCCACCCGACTCATCTGGCTTGTCTTCCTGAATGTGTCTCGACGACACGGCATGACAAAGCTGCGAGTAGAAGCTCTTCCTGGTGAAGCCTGCCGTCTCACATTCTTCCTCCCCAAACACTACCCCGTCCCCGCGGGCAGCCACTTCTTCGCGTACATCCCCCAGATCTCCTGGTGGATGTCGCACCCTTTCTCCGCCGCCTGGGCAGAAACCTCCGGCACCTCCCGCCCAAAAAGCATCCAATCATTTACCACCGACATCAAATCCCTCACTCTCGAAGGCCAATCCGCCCCATTCAACCACACAGCAGTGACGCTGGTCGTCGCCGCCCGCCAGGGAATGACCCGCGCACTGTACACTCGCGCAATGTCCTCCCCAGACGAAACATTCACAACAACCGGCTTGCTCGAGGGCCCGTACTCCTCGCACGCAGTGAACATGGCCAGCTACGGTACCGCCATCCTCTTCTCCGGCGGCGTCGGCATAACGCACCACCTCCTCTTCATCCGGGATCTACTTCTCCGCGCCGCAGCCGGCCGAGCAGCCACGCGCTCCATCACGCTGGTCTGGGCGGTCCGCAGCATGGACAGCGTCCGCTGGGTGATGGAGTACATCCAGGAGATTCTCCAGATGCCGCACGCCGAGTCGATCCTGACGATCATGCTGTTTGTGTCGAAGCCGAGGAGTCCCGCCGAGATGCGCTCGCCGGGGGGTGTGATTCGGACTTTTGCGGGGAGGTGTAATCCGGCGACTGTGCTGGAGGAGATTATGCCCAGGAGGATTGGGGCGACGGTGGTGTCGATTTGTGGGCCGGGCGCGATGGGGGATGATGTGAGGGAGGCGGCTAGGCGGCATGTGGATCGGGGGGTTGCGCTTGATTTTGTGGAGGAAGCGTTTACTTGGTAGGTGGCTTGGGGATTTCTGTTCTACTAGTATGTAAATAATGTATAATACTGTTGCTGTGCAACGATAAAATTGTATGGTACCGACGGCTTATTATCAAAAACGTGTCAATTTTGTATAGCACTACAGCCCTTGCGCACATCCGCTCCGAGTAAGAGAGTCGAATCCTTATAAATGAGTCAAGTACAACAGTAACAATCCAATACTATGACTAGAGCTATCACTAATCAATAATGAGGTATTGGTTTGCCTCCACTCAGGGAGCTCGCAATACGCCGTTATGGAGTATCCTTCGTATCGCATAACGTTATGGCGCTGTGAAGTCAATCCGACCTCGGAAATGTATCGTTTTCTCGTCTCTTAGACAGCTCAAATATAGTATGATCTAACCCAAACTGGATCTATGATCCTCAATACGATAATCTCCACAATAAGTTCCTAACATAACGTTATGTAACGAAGCAGATCGCATATATATAAGACAGCTAAGATACCTTCTATTCACAATCCATAACCTCACTAGAGTACAATCACCAAACCAAAATGAGTCTTCAAGGAAAAATTGCCATTGTCACTGGCGCCTCGCGCGGAATTGGCGCCGGGATCGCCCTTGATCTCGCCAAGCAGGGTGCAAAGGTACATCCACCTGCTTTATCATTGCAATGATATCGCTAACTCGCTGCAGCTCACCCTAACCTACACATCCGCAAGCAGCGAGCATGGTATCGACGATCTATGCCGCAAAATCAACGACCTGAACAACGGCTCCGCAGCAACCAAAGTCCAAGCTGACCTCCGACAGCCAGACGCCCCAGCCCAAATCCTCGCCGCAACGTTCGAGGCATTCTCCGACGCAGACAACAAGATCGACATCCTAGTCAACAACGCAGGTGTCTCCCAATGCAAGAACCTGGTTGAAACAACCCCCGATGACATCTCCTCCGTCTTCGACGTCAACGTCTTCGGCTTGATCCGCATGACTAAAGCGGTGATCCCGCATCTCCGCGCCCCAGGCCGAATCATCAACATCAGCTCCGTAGCCGCTCGGCGCGGATCACCCGGTTTCTCCGTGTATTGTGCGTCCAAGGCTGCCGTGGAGGGATTCACGAGGGCGTTGGCGTGTGAGCTGGGTCCTGTGGGGTGTACGGTTAATGCTATTGAGCCTGGGGCGGTGGAGTCTGATATGTTGCAGGAGCTTTCGGATGAGCTGCTCGCTTATATCCAGCAGAGTACGCCATTGGGGGGTAGAGTCGCTGTACCCGAGGATATTGCTCGCGTTGTGACTTTCCTAGCCGGGGAGGGAGCGGGATGGGTGACGGGGCAGAGTATCTGTGTTAGTGGGGGGTTGCATATGAACTGATCATCAGTCATGTAACATCAACTAGTCTTGAGAAGTTTAGATGAGTGTATTTATGGCAATGTCATTTAGGTTAAAGGGATGTCCTCCCCTGGTAAACACCCGCATAACCCTCTACCTCCTCGCTCATTTGATGAAATACAAACTGCGCCAGCCGCGCAGAGGGATAAACCCTCAGTCCGGCCGGGTTAAGCACCTGCATCAAAGCACCGACTGCGCCGACATATCCACTGTCCATAACACCGGCGGTGAGCAACACACCAGAGCGGAAGAGTGAGCTGCGCACAAAGATCTGGCCCATCACGTCCAGAGGGACACAAACCGTCTCGTTGAACTCGACGAGATAACTTCCCTGCGGGAGATCGAGGAAGCGTTCCTCTGGAGTAATGGTACTTGATGTGGGAAAAGGGATTTCACTTGTTGATGCGGTCTGGCGACGCTGATTCTCTAGATCAATTGTTCCAGGGGATGTCCAGGTGAGGACTCGTTTGAGAGTCAGGTCCACACCACAGGGTTGGACTTGCAGGGTTGGATTCTGGACATTGCGGAGGATGGCGCGGGTGAGGAGAGCGCGGCCAGGGATGATCATTTTAGCTCGATTCAAGTCTCGGTACGGAGTAGTCAGTTGAGAGCTGTTAAGGAAGATAGCGCGTGTAATAGCAACTTGAAGTCTCATATAATCGTGGGCTGCGTGAGTGAATATCGACCCATCGACTGGAAGAGTCCGAGTGTTAGGCCAAAAGATACAGGTGGCTGGGCGGAGCGCCAAGACTCTCTACTCCCTTCTTAGAATGATTCTAGTACAGTCAGACATTATTATACTGGACGACGCGCGCTGTCACGCCGATGCCCTGAAAGGACCACGAAGGGGTAGGGCCATGAACGTACTGAGATAATATGCTTGTTAGAGAGAGCTGAACAACCCTGACCCAGTTAAACAGGGCGCCAAGATGGGAGCCAGCGGAGGAAAATATCTCGGAAATACACAAATCCAAGGCCGCCACTCTAAGAAAACACAGAACTTTTTGGCAAAGATTATTAGTCGTGATCTGTTTATTACAGGAAATATCAATCATGCATTTATGCAATATCTAAAGCAAGTCTTTAACTATTGTATTCAAGTTGTCAACAACTCCTGAAAAACTAACAGCTATTGTCCCCTCAATCAACTTCTGCTATATCATGGCCGCAGGGTGCAGATGACGTGGTCCTGGAAGCTATAAGGACTTGGAATGGATGGATTATAATAAACTGTTTAACAAGTGATGCTGATTGTTCTTGACTTTGATGTAAAACAATGCATTTTTCATCTGTCCTGGTAAGCATTCTGCTAAAATTTGTCGAATTTACTAATATCCTACTTGAATAAAGTCTTGAAGTGGTTCACTTGGTGATAAAGAATAATGTTTCTTCCAGGTGTTAAGGGACCATGATGAGGATTTGGCATTAAGGTGTTCAAATCCTAATACCCTGTTCCAGAGATCAACATATTTTCCATCAAAGCCAAAGCATCCTGAACCTTAACTTGTGATATCTAGGTGCGGGCTAGATTGTCCATGATTGTCAGAGTGTCAGGATGCTTAGGTCTGAGATCTATCTCTACTATTTCCAGGACATTAATTAGAGTTGCATAACCGAACCGCCAAAATCGAATCCAACCCTCACCGAACTCGCAGCGGTGAGGGCTCGGTTCCTAGCCTAGGGAACCGCACCGGTTTTGATTTCGCTTGGCCCCGAATCGAATCCATTAGGGGAAACTGTTAGTTGTAGTTTTTGCGGTTTTTGCAGATGAGGTAAATCTACCCAATCTGGTTTACTTACTAATTACTAATTTTTAGGATTTCTCTAATATTAATATCAATAGATCAAATAGTAACTCAGAATATCTAGTGGTTGGTGAGATATACGTAAATAATCATTTCTGTCATGGGTTGGTATGAAAGTAGTGGTGGTTTATGCATATTCCGTCCCTGGTACAGCGCGGTCTGGCCCATTGTTGGCTTGTGTATATATTAACATTAATCGTCAACAATTACTATAGTCTAAGAATATTTTTCAACCACCACCCATTCAACCCTGTAGATATCGAATTGATATTTTAGAATTAGATTAGTATGATGATAATTACTATATGTTTTATATAAAAATGATAATTATATATAACATGCTTAATAGGCCCTATAGGTAGAAGCCTTGGAGGGGGCCTCGGGGGGATGGTAATATTAAAATAGTTAAAATTCGGCGGTTATCCAACCCGGAATTGAACCGAATCTAACCATGGTTAGTTAGTATAGGCTTAGCTATGCTTAGCTAGGCCTAGTAGCGAGATTTTGCAGTGAATCTGCCACCAACCCAAAATCCCAGATCAGATCTGGGTTGGCTCCAGGTTCTAAAATTTGAACCGCGAAATCGCAGCGGTTTGGTGCCAACTAGGCTTGAACTCGCCTTGAACTCGCACCGAATGCAACTCTATTTCAAAGTACAGGACATCTAACTCTTAAGTAATGGAGTCTTATACCTTAGTATTCTTTATTACTTGATTCCCAGAAGCAATCAAGCTATAATGGATGAGCAGCTCATTGGTTTCTTGTGGTGTATGGACTACTAGCTAGGACTGGTTACATAGTAGATAGTTAGTAATCTTGCTCTTATGATCACAGCCTAGTTTAAATGCTAGTCTTAGTCTGGCCACAACACCTGTTCCTGCATCCTTTGGTGCTTCTGGACTATCTCCATATACTTTTCTTGATGTTTGAGTCTCTCACCATGTAATCACTTCGTATTTAAGAGACTGCAGTGAGCACGTATTATAGAGGCTTGTTAAGCAACCTAGGGCGCTGCAATATCCATCACAAAGTGTCTTCCCACAGTCATATTGGATCACGCCTCCAGAGGCCGCAGTTGGCTTGCTAACAACCACATCATCAAGGCAAATATCTGTGCTTATGCTGGAACCCTTTTCCTGGGAACCCTTTTCCGGATTTGCAATCCAGAGGCCCGAATGGACGAAGATCGGCGACTATCGACGCCGATCGTAAACAATACGAGATCCAGCTCCACATTAGCGCAAACCATCGACAAGCTGGTTCAAGCATCTTGCCGACTTCTTGGTAATATGGGAGGGAGAATAGGGGCTGGGCTAATAGGAAATTATCTCGTCAACTCCATTATCGGACATTTCTTCTTTCATTCCATCCTTCACCCTCGTCGCTCTTTTCGGATCTTTTGAATCCAGTCATTCGTTTTCTTCAATATGGCCCCTCTTTGGCCATGGATGGGCGCCGTCCTAGCAGCCCTGCCAGTGGCTCTAGCAGGACATGGCGACCCTATCTCCCAAAAATATATTGTCGAGTTTGCTGATTCCAAGACTGTTCGTCCACATATTAACCCAGTCGCATTGGCAATTCATTGCGCAGACCTACTAACTTACATAGTCGTCCGCCAGCTTCCTCTCCACCCTCAAGGACCATGGCATTCCAGCCAGTCTCAACCATGACCTGTCCTTCGCTCTTTTCCATGGTGGATCCTTTACTCTGTTGGACAACAAGCAGAACGAGGCTGCCATTGTCAAGCAGATCTCCTCGTGGCCTGTGGTCAAAAAGGTCTCCCCGGTGCGGGAGCTGCAGCAACCTCAGCGAGACGTCTCGAGTGTCGCCCACGGCGCACCCGTCCGCCGTAGTCCTGCCCCTCACGGTCTCCAACGCCGTGACACGACGGGTCTCGGAGGCAACGACTACCCGCACATCATGACTGGAGTTGACAAGTTGCGCCAGGAGGGCTACTCGGGTACAGGAATTCGCGTAGCGGTGATGGACTCGGGCATTGACTACAAGCACCCCGCTCTCGGAGGCTGCTTTGGCAAGGGTTGTCTGGTTGAATTCGGCTTCAACTTCCTCGACAACACTACCGACCCGTGGGAAGGCCACGATGGACATGGTATGTCAACATTCACAGACACGATATATTTTGGAACTCAGCTGATCGCCTGCAGGAACTCATGTCTCTGGACTGATCGCAGCTCAGCCCAACCCCTACAACTTCACGGGCGTGGCCCCGAATGTGACTCTTGGTCATTACAAGATCCTTGGAAGGCCGACAGTGAAACTCGGTACTGACATCGTTACTGCCGCTTTCAAGAAGGCCTACGAGGACAAAGCAGACATCATCTCGGCATCGTTTGGCACGTACAAGGGCTGGAGCGACGAACCGTGGGGACAGCTGATCCACAAACTGGCCGCGGCTGGTCTTCCCACGTTGATTGCCAGTGGCAATGACGGAAATAATGGCTTGTTCCTGGCCTCGAATGGTATCGACGATTCTGCTGGCATCGGCATCGGATCCTTCAACAACGTGTATAGTCCACTGCTGCTGCCTGGAGCTTCCTATTCCACCGGGAACACCACCAAGGAGTTTGTTTGGCAGCTCGCGGGTACGTCCGACTTCAAGAATGGCACCTACTCTCTCTACCCGAGCAGCCTGAACGCATCCGTCATTGGTGATTCTTGCGAGCCATGGACAGCGGACCACCCGAACCTCTCCGACAAGATCGTCCTGATCCGCTACGGTGGCTGCCACGGCAGTGAGCAGCAGGCCAACGCGGTCAAGGCCGGTGCTAAGAACATCCTGTTTTATAACAATGAGCCGGGCACCTATGAGCTTCCTGTCCAGAACCCTGCTCTGGTGGGCCTAGGAATGGTCTCGGCCCAGACTGGCGCGAACTGGGTGAAGCTGGCCGCCTCTGGAGCCAACATTACTCTGCACATGACCAGCGCAAAGTACGCTAAAACCATCTTCATCAATGAGACCAACCCTCAATCTGGGGGCCACGTCAATGATGTGACCGAATGGGGCCCCAGCAACGAACTCCTTCCTGTGACAGCAGTTTCGGGAGTCGGTGGGTTCATGCTGTCGACCTGGCCGCTCCCTGAGGGTGGCTACGCCGTGGATAGTGGTACTTCGATGGCGACGCCTTATGTTGCTGGCTGCGTTGCTCTCCTGATGGAGGCTCGTGGAAAAGGCAAGGTGACCCCTGCTGAGATCAAGTCGCTGTTGACGACCACTGCTAAGCCGAATGTTTTCCATGATGGCGTTACAGCCTCGCCCTTCCTGGCCTCCGTGGCGCAGCAGGGAGGTGGCCTTATCGATGCCTACAAATTTGTGCATACCACCACCAAGTTCAATGTGAGCACCATCGCCTTCAACGACACCGAGCATCTGGCCCCGGCGTGGATCCGCATCAACAACACCGGCTCCGAGCCGCGTGTCTACACTGTCGGCCACGTGGTCGCCGCTACCGTCTACACTCTGCCCGACAACAGTTCCATCCCGCAAAACAACGACCTCGGCCACTTCGTGGACCGCACTACCAAGGGCGCCTCGCTCAAGTTCAGCTCATCCAGCGTGATCGTGGCCCCCGGCGAGTCTGCCGTGCTGAAGGTCACTGCTACCCCGCCAAGGGGTCTCATCGCCCGTCGCATCCCCGTCTACAGCGGGTATATCACGTTCAACGGAACCTCAGCGGATGATTCCTTCTCGGTTCCCTACCTGGGGGTTGCCACCGCCATGCGCAACGTGACGATCCTAGACACCACGCAAGGTGGCAACTATCTCATCGACAGCACTACCAAGAAACGCGTCCAGGCCAACCACCAGTTCGTCCTGCCGGGCAAGAATGACTCCGCCCGCCGCGCAAACACAAGCTACCCCATCTTCCAGACCCAGCTCTCAATGGGAACGGATCTGCTCCTCGTCGGCGTCCAGCCGGCAAACAGCCGCACTATCCTCCCAGTGTCTGATCCCCTGACAGCCCTCGCTCGGAGTGTTGATGGTCTTGCTGGCCCCAAACCCACTTCCTGGATGGGCAAGTTGGCGAACGGCTCGTATGTCCCAGCGGGCAACTACTCTCTGGTTGTGCGTGCGTTGAAAATCTTCGGCAACCGCACTAACCCGCGGGATTATGACACCGTGCGCACGGTCAACTTTGGGATCACATACGCTCCCCCAGCTACCATAAATAAGCGATAGAGGTGTTAAGCTTGGGATGCATTGCATCTTTATCCTAGTACTAGCCTAGATATCTAGACCTTGGCATGGCTCTTATGCATATCTAAGCTTTGGGTCCTACATTTTGTCCATTCTTTGTATAGCCTTTTCTGTCCCCTTCTGAATAGGATGGATAGTATAATCATTACTTCTAATAGAACCCTGTTGTTGACAGCTGCATTGGCATTAGCATTTATATCACCTTCTAATATAAGCTGCCAACTGAAACTTGAATGATCATTTTCTTTTGCTATAAGTAGTATCAACAGCTGCGGTTTGAGGAAGTGTCGATATATTCTCTCCGAATCAAAGACACCGGCATGCGCGAAGCACACTGACCCGCGTGGATGACGATCATGGATCCGGACACGTATCTGTTGCAGCAAAGCGATATGTACTCCGTACTATGTGCCGACTGCGTACCCGCACCAGATTGAAGCGATTGGGTCTAAGCAAACGTACTTTCGATCTTCATTGACCAGCCGAATCGGAAGGATGTCGATGAGGTCAAGCCGAAGCTATAGAACGCTACTGGGGTTTGTGTTTGGATTTTATTGTAAAAGTGCATATGAGCAAGCATGATTGGAGCTGCTGTGGCTCCATAACACCTGATAGAAGGCAGGCCACCACCACATTGTGGCCGGTAACATTTGCAAGTGTGTAGATGTTGTGGTCGGTTTCTGGCTGGGGCAGTGGAGGATGGATCTTATCCAGTATGGTCTATACCGCAGCAGCAAGGCGCAGATCCATGCTACAGTATAGTCATTGTGTATAAAGCTCATTTTCGCATGTCATACATAATCAAAGACTAGTGCTGAAACTAGCAATATCTACCTAACTTTAGTCCCCTGGAAAGACAACTATGGTTACGAGTGATCCAGCAGCCGAGGAGATTAAAATACACAAGGCTGGCATTTCCATAACTAATAGTTTAATCCAAAATATATGTTTAACAAAAGTAGATAAGGAAAGGCACAAGAGTGGTATATACATCTAAACTAGACCTCTTATAAAAAAGCCAAGCAGGAGGAGATACAATATGTCTATTCAAGTTACTCTAATTTAGTGACTAATATAGACTTGGCAGGAAGTTTATTTGAGCTGGTTTAATTCAGTGAGAATATCAGCACATAGCAGTAGATGAGAAATTAGCAAAGGGAACAAAGAGAGGCGCGGGGTCTAGGGAGATTTCCACTTGGACTTAGAGGGAAGATCCAAGGATCGATCATCGTGGGGGCAAGCTTTTGCGGGGAAATAGGTAATTTGTGGCTAAAACTGTCTTGTTGAATTTGACAAGATAACTTCCCTGCGGGAGATTGAGGAAGTGTTCCTCTGGACTTCTCGAGTAATAGTACTTGATGTAGGGAAAGGGATTGCACTTACTAACACAGCCTAGTGATGCTAATTCTCTAGATTAATTATTCTAGGGGATGTCTAGGTAAGGACTTATTTAAGAGTCAGGTCTACACTGCAGGGTTGACTTATAGGGCTGGGTTCTGGATATTACAGAGGATGGTGTAGGTAAGAAGAGAGCAGCTAGGGATGATTATTTTAGCTTAGTTTAAGTTTTATATATAGAGTAGTTAGTTAAGAGCTATTAAGGAAGATAGCTCAGTGTAATAGTAAATTAAAGTCATATAATAGTAAGCGTATACACCTGCCGTATGCCGTAACAACTCCAACAGGGCGTCCACCACGGTGCTTCTCGTGCTAGGATGGATTTTCCAGAAGTTTCAACAAAGAGCAAAGATGGTGATAGTTCTATTATTTAAGTACATAATGTCCAATAAGGAAAATCTACCATATGTTGTTATTGGCTGATGGTAACAGCAGCGGTGCGGACAACATCTACATATGCACAGGGCAAGGGGAATAAAACATAATATTCGTATGTTAGATTCGACGTTACTATTTGGATAGGTGAAAACATTCTCTTAATGGAAACGGAGAGTCCGATATTGTTGTTTGACTATGCGTAATACTGTCGTTTCGCCAGTCTTTTGACGAGGTCGTAAAAAGTTGTGTTCAGAGTGTTCTGGCATGCCTTCTTGAGAAAATAATGTAGATGCCATTACATTAACTACTCAAACCGCCCCTTGTTTGTATATGGATAATGATTCACTACATCTCAGTAGTATTCTTGACATCCGGTCAGCTCGCTTAAGTAGCACCAACCAATCTAACCTGTTTTGCTTTGGCTGCAGGCGCCGCATGATTTGTTGGCATCTTCCGTTAGCTGACGTCTAGACTCCTCCAATGCGGCGCGTAGGCTCTGCTTCTTTTCTAACTCTTCCTACTTGTACTCGTTGACTTCTCGGACCCACCTTTTCGTTCTCTATGGCGGACAGCTTGAACCTGTTGGGGGTGGTGGGCACTTGGATAGCTGCTGTCCTTGGAATTATCGCGCTCGCCGGCATCTTGCCTGTCTATGTTCTCTACCGACAGACGCAAACAGATCGCCATATTGCGCTCAACAAGGTGCATGACCCTCATAAGACGTACATAACAGCGGGATACCCGCTATGGCCGGGGTGGCGGTTCTTTCGATCATACAGGGTGCCCGACCTGACAGACGCTCCAACATGGTCGCAGCTTACGGTTGTTGCAAGGCGGCGCTGCGAGGGGTTTGGAATACATATTTTACGATCTTTGACGGGATGGGTGAATTTTGCAAATGTCCTGCAGATTTACAACATCAAGCCAGCAGGCTCCAAGGGGAAATTGACCTTCGTCCGCCAAGAAGCCTTGCTGCCTGCCCATCGCGGTTGGTTGTTGCTGCTAGGAATAATTGATCGGTACTCGGATCAGATGAATCGGCCCGACAAGGGACTGTTTGTTGGTGAAGCAGACGAAGCAGAGATGGATGAGTTTGGGCCTGGGGCCATCTTTGGCATTAGCGGCGTACTTGAACATATTGTCGCTTCGCCTTTACGGCAGGAAGATGTTGAGTCTGGACCAGGACCGGTGGATAAAGTGGCATTTCGCATGCATTCCGTACAGCACATGGCCAGGGTATCGGATTCTTTTCTACATGGTGACGATATGGCTATTTTATCGTTGGTTGCCTTATATCTTGGCTATCTGGTTAGCGTTGATGGGAAAGAGCATTATGACCTTGAGACGCCGGATAACATAGCTGTGTATGTTTCGGCGCACCGTCCTGGTCGAGGTGAGGATGCTTCTCATAAGATCTGGATCTGGGACCAGAAACCAATGGACAGTCTACCGTCTCAACAAAGAAGACTGATGCAAGAGCTGGGAATTAAACTGCCGCGAGTCCTGAAGCTGAAGGAAATCGTAGCTCCCAACCAAGTCATCTTCAGCCAGATGCCCCATGATGCTGCTCAAAGCTATCGACTTATTTCGAGCAAGTGGCCAGGAATCTGGATGACTCGGTCCAGTTTACATACTCTTGTGCTTGCGGTTTTGAGACTGAAAATTACTCAGCAGTCGTTTCTTTTCGACAGCCCGGAGTTTAACCACGACATATTAAGCCATTTATTTGAGTCGCGAAATTTACTGACTTTTGCCAAGACGACGGAAGAGTTTACTAGGAACTTGGATGCCCTCACACAAAGGGAAAAACAGGATCTGGAACGATCATTGCTGAGTGTGAAGGAGAATGCACCCAAGCTCTCTACTAGGATGGAATGGAGCCGTACGAGAATGGACGCCTGCATCTCACTGGACAAGGTGCTGGATGAGATTTGCCAAAAGAGAGGCAAGCTTCTCTGCTGCGTCATCTCCATCCTCTATATGCAAGAAGAGGACTTTCGATCTATATGTGAAACGTACAACTATGATGACCCCGAAGTGCTTGCGAGTCAATTCATAGTGGACTTGTCGTCGAAAAAGGTTCTGGCGCCACAGGCTTATATTGGAGGCGAAGATGAGTTTGAGGAGTTCTATTTTGATTTTCCGACAGTCTTCTCGGACGCCGAATTACTTGACGTCTGGCCTACGCCTATGAACCGATATCCAGTGCCTATTTCGMTGCCACTCGCCATGATAGCATGTCTGCGGGGACACTTGAGGATGGCTATATGGGACATGAAACTGTCTAGCTCACCATTGGCCAATTTCTATCGAACGCTGCGCAGTGGTGTCGTGCATATTGCGTCCCAGGAAATACCACCACCAGGCTCTCTCTCGATGCGGATGCCGGAATTCTTTCCTCGTTCTCCTTCTCCTCTTCCTATTCCCAGCGATGACTATGAGCTGCGTCAGCGCGTCGTGGGTAGAGGGAGAACCTATATCGAAAGCGTATATTCCTTGTCTGCTGACTTTGCCGAAACAAATTCCGGCATTACAACATCATCCGTCGCCCTGGAAGGCCACGCCGAAGATGGCTACGTGACCGCTCCAGAAGAAGATACAGACGACGATGTAAGTGTTGTCATAAGGACAAAACCACTACCGCCACCGTCTCCAGAAAATTCCGCCTCAGCTTCCTCTGCGTCACCGCAACAGGTTGACCAAGTTCCTGTCTCGCATGATGAGGAGGCAGAATGCGTAGTTCGGCTTTCTGTCCTGAGAAGCATGTTGACTAGCGATGAGTCGGTCAGAGTAAATGCTCTCGAAAAAATTGAGAGATCTATAGACCGACAAAGAGGAGAGACGCAGATGCAGAAGGGAATACTACCGTCCAAATACCAAGAAGGCAGGGAGAGGACCATAGAGTATGCTCTTGACCGAGAGTACACTACTACGAGATCCGGTGAGCGTCGCCGATACCGAGGGATCCTTTCTGATGGACATAAGCGCAGCTCAGTGTCGCATCGTGATGGCAAACAAAAAGATGCAGCTGGGAGAAGTAAACGGCACCCACGGAATAGAGAAGTTAGGGAAGAAGTAACCAGGGGTGTAACTGGGACAACACGGCGTCGTCGGAAAGAGGTGCAGGACGAAGAGAGCGATGCGGGGATGAGGGATCCGTTGCCGAAAGGTACTAATTAGCCTACCCTGTCTAATCATAGGTTCGGAGCTAACCCCCTTCAGTGTCTGTGTATCTTTGATTGCTCACCTGTCATGCAAGATGCTCTCATTTTTAACTAGCTAATATAAAGAGGCTGGTCCTTTTTAGATGAGAAAGTGCTTTCTGAAGAGGAACGATTCTGTCTCTAGTTTGCTTGCAATCCTAGGATATCTAACTCTAAGGGACAAATTTTGCTGTGGCACAGATTAGCTCTAACTAAAGATAGATCTGCATAAAGTTACTCTTTCTAAGCAGTAGTCTTCTCTATAAGAGTTGCCTTCCAAGTGAACAATCTTAGCTAAATAAGACTCTGATGCTCGACCAAGTTATTCACTGTTTATATGTGGCTTATGTACGTGCTGCATAAGAGGAGGTATAACGCAGATCGGCCTTGCACCCAATAATTGCAACCTTCCACAGTCGCCGTATTCGCTGGCGTCAGAAGGCCACAGAATATTCCTGTTTTTGGTGACCAAAGACATTTTCTATCTTCCAATTCTCTTATATATGGGCCTCGGTTGATGGAGACATGTCTTATGTGCAAGCCAAGCTTGATTATAGGTGGTATGCTTGAAATATATACCCATTTATGGACATGTGTATTTTGTCCGCATACGATTTTATCGGTGCGAGAATAACCCTCCAGGAGGACAAATTATCCTAGCTTTTTGTGACGGCGAGCATCTCATGAGATCAGCAAGATCGATTTCAATCTAGGCAGCTGCCATGGTATTCTTGGCTGCTTCACCCGTAATTTTTTTCCACCGCGAGAACAATGCCAGAATGAAGGCCAATCCCATCGAAGCACAGGCAAAGGCAAATGCCACTTTCAGGCCCCGCATATAGGCAATACGCACTCCCGCAAGGCTTGGACCAAAGGATTGGAGCTCTGTTGCTCCAGCCGCTACCACAGCTCTCGGGTCAACATCTGGAGCCGTGTTGGGCAGTTCATCCAGGAGCCGATTGGCAAATGCGGCTTGGGCACCGGCTTGCATGAAGGCACCTCCGATGGTTTGAAAGCCTGTCGGACGGAGAGTCGTGAATAGTTAGAACTGCGATGCAGAGGACTTTGAGAACTTACACATGAGAATTGCCGTTGTCGCCGCCATGTCACTCGCATCGGTATTTGCCTGCGCCATAATCATTGGCACCTGAACCCCGAGTCCGTTGCCGAAGCCCGCGAGAATCTGATAGCCAATCCATTTCCCGGCGCCGGTACCAATGTCGAGCGTATAGATTAGACCACATCCCACCGTGGCGATTGCAGCTCCCCCGACCACAAACGGTGCGGGATAACCGGTCACCGAGATTAGGACACCACTGGCCACGGTGAAAATGGATACTGCAAGAATGAAGGGCAGATTATGGACGCCCGACCCGATAGCGGACACACCGTCAATGCTTTGAAAGTAGGTGGGCAGATAGTAGATGATCACAATGTATGAGCCGAAGAAGAAGAAGCCCACCGCCGACGGCACGGCATGACGCTTTACCAGGCGCGGAGGGGACATGGCCTTTTCCCCCATGCGTAACTCCCATCCGACCAGGGCCGCTAGGATCAGCCCAAAGCCGACAATCAAGCCGATCACGACGGAGCTGTTCCAAGGATGCGTCTGCCCCCCGTACTGCATCGCGAGGATATAACAAGTGACACAGGCCAACACCAATCCTGTCCCGATTGGGTCCATCTGCAACAGTTTGGAACGCCACGTGCGGTTATCAGTAGCTTTTGAGGCAGCAGGGCTTTGGAAGAAGAAGACAATGAAGAATGCCGACACCGCCCCCACGGGGAGATTGATATAGAAACACCATCTCCATGAAACCGAGTCGGTAAAAACGCCTCCGAGCAGGGGCCCGACGACGGATGCAATGCCGTACGAGAGACCGATTAACCCCGTGAAGATGGGTCTTTTCTTCGGCGGCGCACAGAAGGCAACCAGGGTGAACGAGCCAGTGTTCAGGCCGGCAGCACCCAGCCCTGCAATCGCGCGGCCAACGATGAGGGCCACCGATGAAGGGGCGACCCCACAGATTAGACTCCCAATCTCGAAGAGAAAGAGGGCCAGCAGGAAGGTGATCTTCAGGCTAAAAAAGCCATAAGCCTTACCCCCTATGCATTCCGGGTCAGCAGCGACTAGGGACAGGGGAGAACGGGGAAGGGATCGAACGTACACGCTGTTTGAAAGCCAGCAGTCACCAGGAAGAAGGCCGAGCCATACCAAGCTACATCGGAAAGACTATGGAAGTCGTCGGTAATACGTGGAATCGCGGTCGCAATGATTGTCTGACAAGAAGAACGATGTCTGTTAGGATGATCTCAAGGTTTTCGAAGAACTCCGGTGGCTCACAAAATCCAACGAGGTCAGGAAGATGGCTAAGATCAAAGCAACCACTACAAAGAGCAGTCGAAACCCGGTCGGGTAGTCACCTTCATCGGCATCATCGGATCCGTTCGTATTGTCCTTCTCATGAACCGAGCCGTGTCCCGAAACAGGCTCGACGATTTCCATATCTGCTGCCATGCTGACTTCCCAGATGAATGCTGACCGAGTTGCGGCACGAAGCAAGCACTCAGCTTCTAAGTTCGGCTAGAACATCTTCTTTAATCAACATCTCTTTGAAGCTCGGAATTAGGGGATAAGGGAAAAGGGAGACTTTTACATTCCAAATACAGCATGCTACAGGATGCATGCATCAACAACCCAGCCTTGGTCCATCAGTGGGGTACCCCACCGCGTTAAGGCCGTGCAATGTCCGGCGGTGCTTTTGATCTCGTATCTTTCATAATATTATTGAAGGGATAGATATAAAACTGCCCGGAGTTAGGAGATAACCAGGTGTTCTGCAAGGGACAGGGTTCGATCCCATTCTCCAAAATCCCATACGCGGCCGGCTGAGTTACTCTCCTTTTTTTGGCTCAACCCTTATCAATGAGTGTCAGGAGCGTCAATGTAAACCAAGAAGACAGTCAAAATCTGGAGTTGATCATACGAAATGGGCTAGCTGGAGGCGTCGCAGGCTGCGCGGTTAGCCTCGTTACCCCGGTATGAGTCAACAATTGCTGATGCGAGGGTCCTGCAGGCCAAAACTATCGTCGCCCCATTGGAGAGGGTCAAGATTCTCTTTCAAACCTCTCATTCTCACTTTGTGCACCATTCCACCCACTGGAATGGTTTATTCAAGGCGGCCAGAGACATCCAAAAGACTTATGGAATATCGGCGCTTTTCAAAGGCCACTCGGCCAGCTTGGCCCGAATCTTCCCTTATGCTAGCATCCACTTTCTCGCGTATGAACAGATCCGAGCCGCAATGTTCGTAGCCCCCGAGATGGAAAACCCAGTGCGTCGGTTTCTGTGCGGAAGCATCGCCGGTGCGACCTCTACCTTTGTCACATACCCGCTTGACTTGATCCGCACCCGTCTGGCCTTCGAAACAGTTCGCGGTTACTACTCATCCTGGCTTGGGATTTCTCGGAAAATCTACTACGAAGGTCGAGGCAGCTGGGGCGTGGCCAATTTTTATCGAGGGTTCGCCACGACGATGCTCGGCATACTTCCGTATGCTGGCATGTCATTCTTAACGCACAACGTAGTCAAAGACTGGTTTCGTTCGCCTGCTCTCGCACCTACACTCTAGAACCACAGTCTCACACTCGACTGACAGCGGTTGCGCAACTTGGCCGTGGAGCACTCGCCGGCATAGTTGCGCAAACAGTATCTTATCCCATTGAAACCATTCGGCGACGGATGCAAGTTGGAAACGTGGTCGGTGACCAGGCGGGCATCGTGGAGACGGCCCAGCGCATTTTTTGGGAGAGAGGAGCGCGTGGGTTCTACGTCGGGCTGACCATTGGCTATTTAAAAATCGTTCCCATGGTGGCGACAAGTTTCTATGTCTATGATCGTATGAAGCGGTATTTGGGCCTCCTGGTCGAGTGAGACCAATGTCCTGTACCTAGGTAGATGGGACCTAGATAACCGATCCATCATCCTCACAGCTTTCACTCAAATCTGCCTTGGGTCCATTTGCCAATCGCTCCTCATCGAAATCCGTCGCACGGTGGTTGGAACCTTCATCGGGGACATTTCGCGGCTGGTACGAGCAATCCGTTAGGACTGCATTGGCCGCCGTTTCAAACTCTTCGTATGCGTAGGCCTGGGGGTCATGGGTAAATAACCAGTTAGGTCGAGGCTGAGCCAGGACCTCTGGGTTCTTCTTCACTTCTTCCCAGTCCGTTTTGAGCCACACGTCGCGTGTTTCAATGCCCATTTCTTGTCCAATTTTGCACCGTTCATACCTGAGTGCTCATAGTTAGCACGAAGGGAACAATTTGAGTGAACATTACTAACGGCGTAAATACCTCATTTTCTCCATGGTACGTAAGGCAAGTGGCACCTGGGACTTGCCGGCAAGCTCCAGCGTGATGGCAATCGTAGCAGCATCTTCAATTGCCTGAGTGGCACCCTGAGCAGATGTGGGGACGTATGAATGCGCGGCGTCCCCTATCAAGATCACGCGGGCTTTGGGGGAGACCCAGGTTGGGAGAGGGTCGCGGTATATCAGCTTATGGTCGAACAACTGATCGGGCGGCGTGATTTTGTACACCTCGGCGATTCTCGCATCCCAGCCGTCCACCACTTTGAGAGCATCCTCGACCTTGGCCGGGTGGGTCCACGACTCCTCAATGTCATACTCATCGGGATGGGTGAGGACCCAGGTAATCCCTTGATTGCGCTTCACGGTGGCGATGAGCGTGTGGGCATTGGGCCCAATGAAGTTCATCACCGTGTCTTCTTCGCCCGGCAGTGGGATCCACGACGTTGCTGGATTCTCCCGCAGCGATGGCTCGGGGACAAACCAGGCTCGATAAATGGCATACCCACTCGAGCGAGGAGGATCCTGTTTGCCGAGCACAAAGTGGCGTCCTTTGGAATGAACACCATCCGCACAGATCACCGCGTCTGCTTCCCAGCGCTGACCATTGACCGTAAACCCCGCAGAGGAGTCGGTTTCGAAATAGTCCCTCACATCGGCGTTCAGGTGGACTTCCAGCCCTAGCTTTTGGAAGTACTCGTACATGACCCCCATCAACTCGCCGCGGCGCCCCGTGTACCCTGAACCAGCGGAGTAACCTTTCATCGAATGGCTCAAGAGGAACTCTCCCTTGCTGTTATAGATATTGTGTCGCGCGTAGTTGCAGGAAATCCGCGCGGCTCGCTGATGGACTTTCCCCGCGTCCCATTTGTAGATTGGGAGGGCGCCGTTCTGCGAGATCCCTAGGGTATCGCCTGACTACCGTTAGAGAAGGAATTTAGGGGTTAAATCGACTCACCTAGACCGCCTATCTCCGAGTTCTTCTCGAATACAACCACCCTGTGGCCTTTCCGATGGCATTCTACGGCCGCTGCTATGCCGCCGAATCCACAGCCAACAATAAGCACGGAGACTCCTGAACTGCCCGGGGCCGCAGTACCATCGGGCCCCGTTCCCTTGGTTACTGCGATCGCCATAAAGATCCGACGCCAAGGCGTAGATCGGCTGACTGGAAAGGGAGGAGAAAGTCGCAGGATGCAAGGACCCATGAATTCGTGGAAGCCATTTTCACTATATAGATATAGATACGCTTAACTTCAGCCGCCAGTAACCTCGCCGATGCTAGCTCATGTCTGTAACGCACGCCATTTCAGACCGCCCTAGTCCGTAGAGAGTTACTCCGTATTCACCGTTCGACTTGAGTGAAAATTACCAGTGGTCCTCGACCGAGGAACAGACGCACGGTGGGGTTAGAGCGTAATTCCGCTCGGGTGTATCCGACTCTACCCCACCGGACCCCGCCAACCCCACCGAGATCGCTGCAGTCGGTGGAGAGCTAAGGGAACTGATTGATTGGCCGACTCAAGCGCAGGATTCTACGTTAGGTTCACTTTCCATGCGGAATACTAAGCCGATTGAGCCCATGTTGCAGTGGAGGATGCATAAATAAAGAGTAATTCGGGCTAAATCACCGGAGTATAGAACCAATGCCACATTGTGAAGAAGGGCCGAATTATATACTCCTATCGAGAAAAAAAGTCCGCAAATTCACTAAATTACCATGAGACAGAAAAGCTTTAGCCATGAGTCGCTCCTGTCACGGATGAAAGCAAAGAGTGGATACTCAATTGCAGTTACATGATTAAAGAGAAGAACTGATATTCCACGGTATAAAGACCTCTGTAAAGCCCTTGGGACCAACTGCAATCAAGGCTACTGACCCAAGAACCCAGACGATCTCTTGGTGCAGCGTTCAGTTCGACAATCAAGATGGCACCTTCCAACCAGCTTCTCCAGCTTGCCGAAATCATCTCCGAGAAAACGAGAGTCATCACGGATTTCCTCACGTCCAAGGGCGCAGAGCTTCCATCCTTCGACGTTAACAGGGTAGCTGAATACGCGATCTCACCGAACGACACAGAGGCGTTCGAGGCTCGTCTGGAACTGATTGCCGCTACCAAGGAGCTTTACGCCCTCTCTCACGGGCCCAAGGACCACGTCCGAAATCTCTGTTGGGATGTAAGTTGGACGGATATGTATTAGCATGAAGGTCCGCCAATGTAACTTTTGGCAGGCCCTGGATCCATTGTCCCTCCAGGCTATTTGGACCTTCAGGGTTGCCGAGGCCGTCCCGCTCACTGGCCGTATTTCGTACGAGGAAGTCACCAAAAAGTGCCATCAACTGAGCGGAATCTATGTGCCCTTATTCAATATGCGACGATTGGTCCGTCATGCTATCACGAACCGCTTCTTCTGCGAGCCGGAATTGGGATTTATTGCTCATAACCGGGCATCGCAGCTTCTGCTCGAAGATGAGACCATCAACGCCTGGGTAGGGCTGTTTTGTAACGACATGTGGCCCGCTTTTGCCAGCACCATCACGGCCATGAAGAAGTGGCCGGGAAGCGAGGAGCCAAATGAGACCGGGGTGAACATTGCCTATGGTCATGACCTCAAGTGGTTCGACCACACGTCGCGCAATCCGCTTGTCGCGGATAGATATAGCAAAAGCATGAAGGCACATGGCGGTGGTGTTGGGTTTGATGTCTCGCACACGGTGACCGGCTATCCATGGTCGAACCTGGGCGAGGGGTTAGTCGTCGATGTGAGTGCCTGTCTCCCCTCCTTACTTTCAAGCATACAGGATCGGTCTTTTAACCTCGTGGTAGATGGGTGGTAGTGTCGGATTTGCCTCGATGGCAATTGCTGAGGCAAATCCGAACCTCAAGTTTGTGGTTCAGGATCAAGAACATACGATTACGGAAGAGGCCAAGGCTGCCGTGCCGGAGCATTTGAAGTCGCGGGTGAGACTGGAGGCCCATAACATCCTCACTCCGCAAACCGTGGAGGCAGATGTCTACTTCTTCCGCTGGGTGTTCCACGGATTTGCCGACAAATATGCCGTCCAAGTCTTACGGGCGTTGATACCGGTGCTGAAAAAGGGAGCAAAGGTCGTCATCAACGACGGTGTCATCCCCGACCCCGGCACGGTACCCTGGATGGAATACCGAAGCATTAGGTGCATGGACCTCTTGGGACAAGCGGTCAACAATACCGGGGAGCGCTCGATGAGTGACTGGGCCGAACTCTTCACAAAGGCGGATCCCCGGTTTAAATTACTGAACGCCTGGAAGCCCCCCAAAAGCACCATGTGGTTTATAGAGGCGGAGTGGCAGCCATGAGCGAGGTCATTGCAGGCAGATAACAAACTGATGATCTTATTTTCTTGTCACTATCGTCGCCTGAAGTATGGAATATGGTATTCGCTCCCCCAGCTGGTGACGAGGCCTTTTCCCTTCACACATTCCTCTCTGAGGGTAAACTCTCTATAGCAGCGACATAACGTCCATTTATGCTGGTAAGGTTTCGAATTCGTACATTAGATGGAAAAATATTGAAGTCAGTTTGCACCACAAGGTTAACTATTCTGTCAGACCATCTGCGTAAATCTTCAGCACCTCGGCAACGATTCCATACAGCTCGGTTGCATTGCAGTTTTGGAAGACCAGGGACCAGGCATAAATCAACTTTATCGAACAAGGTTTTGATGCAAGGACCGGGTCTAGATCGATCTCTGCCAGCGTTTCTTCCGTTGATTTGACAATGTCATTCTCCTCTGCAGACCGATCTGCTCTCAATCGAGTTGACTGCTCCCGAATCCAAAAACTATGGAAAAGACCTTAAAGGGAAGTTAGTATGTGACAACGGAAGATAAACGGAGACCACTCACAGCATTCTAACGAATACAGATTGAACAACAACTTGTGGTGCCACCCCGAAATGGATCCAGTCAAGGACATGCCCATCCGGACCGAGGTCTGCAGGGCGTCAAGAGCACACCGGGCAGCTCTCCGACATGTGCTCGAGCTCGATATAACAATCGTGATCTCGTCTATGCTGGACAAGATGGTTTGCACGTTGCGAGTAGCAAAGGCTGATCGGAGGGGCCCGAAGTTTCCACAGAGCCGAACATGAGCCTGGCGATACAACGAGAGCGCATTCACCGCAATCACTCCGCTGGGGTACCGCGGGGAGTAATGGAACTCGGGGTTCTGCTCGGAGCACATCCGCCACCTGGCTAAAGCTTGTTCAAATCGTTGCACAAGTGCTGGTGTTGCAGCTAGAAGCCAACTATCCTGGTAGAGAATCGCTAATTGTTTCACGATGCCGTGCAGCGTTACGTAGGACCCAAAGCTGCTGAGTCGGAGCGGTGGTGCCCATTGCGCTGAGAAAAGGCTAGCCATTGCGGCTGAGAAGCGAACTGGTGGGTTGAAGTTCGACCGTCTGGTGTCCAGCCATGTCTGTGGTGATAAGCTCATCCATTCGGTCTCCTCGCATGGCAGAAAACAGTCACTTGGATCCATGTTCCAAGGAATACTCGCCGTTTGAAAGGTGACGCCTAGTGCACCCAGATAGACGTATATCGCATAGGTAGTCCTGCAATTTTCGGTAAGACGCGCCTAAAAGATCTGAGACGATAAGACAGTTGCGTACCGTACAGTGGTCTCAAAATCAATCCATCTCTGCCACTGCTCCAGAAGGTCAATGGCTCCTCCCTCTAATCCTGGTAAGCAGGGAGAAAGTTTCCTGTATCGGATGCCCTGTCAAGTATGATCCTTGATTAGTGGCGTCGCTCGAGCAGGTCCTGAGTCGCCGGGATCGGAATAAAGAATGCTTTCATAAATCCTCACCTCGATCAGTAGGGATGTCAACGATACAGCTTCTTGAAAGGTCCGAAAACTCGCACTTTTCGTACCGTTTACGATAATCAGGAGAAGACACTGAAGCACCCATATCGGTTCGTCGGCGATGGTGAGTGGGCTGAATGCAAGCTTCAGCGAGTCAGGATGCACGCTTTCATATAAGGGGGCTTGGTTGGCTTGCGTACATATTTCTTTAGACATGCTGTGGCAAGGCGATGCAGCCATGTGGCGGTCGTGTTGTCGTCGTGATAACTAGCGCCAATCGATGCCATGGCAAAGATCGTACAAGGAGGCGCCAGGTCCGCTTTCCAAGTGGGCGTATGGATGCATGGGATGTATATGAGGAAGCACTCAGCGAAGGTGTTCAGTAACCTCTCCCACGTCAAGCGACTTGGAAACGCCAAGACATTGAACTCCTCGGTCTGTATCGATTGTCAGGTACTGCTCGGCTGGCAATTTTTCCGCAGGGAGCGCCAATTCGAAGCTTACCGGATCAACCTCGGCCGCTAGTTGACCCCGTTTCTGCTCTGAGATGGCAAAGGAACCTTTCCATCCTGGTGACTCCCCCACCTGCGGTGCCCCGGCTGCGGCAGGCCCACTTTCTCCGCGAGAGGCACCGGCCAGCGCATGTTGGTGCGCCTGCCCTGTCAGATTGCTAAAGAGGTCAGATCTGGGGACTGCTGGATAGTCAAGGACCGAGACCAAAGAGTCCATGATCGAGCTATTCATCAGTAACAGGTCTGCTTGGTCGAAGCCAGTAGCGCTTGAGGATTCCATCCCGTCCCGCGTTGTCACCGATACGGCCCCGTGGCTGGACGTGGGCGTTAATCCAGCCTGTAACGAGATCGGCGGGTCTACATTGGACGGCCCTGGGGCGTGTTGTTGCTGTTGCGGGGAAGCTTGCACTGGTTGACCGTGGTGCCGCGTGTGGTGTCTTTTGAAGACGTCTTTCCGAGTGAAAGTCCCACTGCAGGAGGGACATCTGTATGGGCGCTCGTTGCGATCTGACGGATCCCGTTAGGGCATGCCAATGGCCGGGGTTGTAAGACCTACGGGATCGCTCGTGTCTGGAAAGATGTTCTGATCGAGCGAATGAACGATAGCAGTAGGAGCATTGATTTTTCCCGCTCATTGTGTAGCTTCTATCGAGACATGTACTCGCAATACCTTGGTTCTTTCCCCCGCCAAATGATGACTACCGTGAGATTGTAGCCTGATAGCCCGGCACACGTAACCGCCAGATCCCACATGTCAAGCCGGAAAAGCTCTTAGGCCCGTCCTTATTCCGAGTGCTTTCGCTTTTGGTCTGTTTTGGCCCCCAAGGGTCCACATTCCATCCCACTAACAGGCGGCCAGCTGCAGGGTTCCTGGTCCTTTTGCTGTCAATCGGGTCATACGATGATGGGGGAAATAACTCCGCTGATGAGGCAAATTAGCCCGAACAGTTGAAAGTTGAAAAATACACACAATACACACCATAAAACGCCGATGTTAACCTGAAGTAGGCAAATACTCGCCAAAGGATTCCACACCTCAGAATGCCAACAGAGAACGATAGGGTCATATGGAGGCCAGAGCAATATGGTAGGGAAGAAGGGTCGATATCTACCTGCGGGCCAGCGGGCAATGATAGCCCGGACGCAGTATATGTGAATAAAGAATATTTCAGCGTAGTTCTGGACATAAAAGGTGCTTCCACGGTGCCTTCTTTGCCATGCTCCGTCTAGATTCACACCGCTGCATAGACGGTATAGACGATTTCAGATTCCCCAGACCGTACTTATTGTTTCAAAAGACGAAGGCGATATGGGGGGCATTTCATTTCTCTTCGGAACCGTCACAGCTGCGCACAACGCTGATTGCCTCCGTGATTTGAGATGCCATCTGGACAAAACACCGAGTCTGGAATGGATTCGAGAGACGGTCAGTGAGCTGCCCGGCTATTGGGATCTTCTAGTCGGAAAGTTACCTGCCATGAATGGTTCATTCCCCGGGCGACAGATACTGGACGACTTCGACCGCTGGCTTCGACAGGGCTTCAACCCTGAGGAGGATTCAGTTGCACTGGGCAATACCGTTCTCCTGCCTTTGGTGGTAATGGTTGGCTTGACAGAGTTTTGGCAATATGTCGAGTCGACGAACGCAGAATGTGAAGATCCGCTGCAGGGGTTGCTAACTCGGCTTGGCGTGGACGAAGCAAGCAGTGTTGAGTCCTTTGGCTTGTGTGCTGGGATGCTGACGGCTTATGCGGTGGCCAGCAGCCACACTCGCAAAGAGCTGGAGAGATACGGGGCTGCTGCAGTTCGTCTGGCGATGATGATTGGAGCCGCCATCGATGCGCAGGATGCCTCGCATGGCCCAGCGAAGTCATACGTGGCTGCATGGCGCACCCCAGAACAAGGCGAGCAATTGAAGCGGACTATCGACCTCGTATAACCCCAGGCATACATTTCTGTCTGGTATGACGAAAGACGAGTGACCATCACCACCACGGCCCAATGGATTCGGTCCAGTATTCTACGTCAGCTCCAGGGTGCCGGTCTCACCGTCGCTGAATCGACCATTCAAGGCCGCCCTCATTGCCCAGAGACTGAGAGCAAACACATAGCTGATGCCATCTGCGAGCTCTGTGCAGATACGTCTGCCTTGCAGCTAGCAGATGTTTCGAAACTTGCTTTTCGGTCCTACACAAACGATGGCCATGGAGATCCTGTGCGCAACAGCAGTCTCCACGAAGTGGCCGTGCGAAGCTCACTAGCGACACAGTGTGCGTGGTATGACACCTTTTCAGCCCTACCTCTCTCGCATGAAGATTCAACCCAGGCGGTCGTTTCGTTTGGGCCTGATCGCTGCGTACCTCCTTCGTTGGTTGCGTCAATGGGCGGGAGATGGACTCATGTCTCGGACTTGAATCGCCTTGGTGCTGATTCTTCTGTTTCTACTGCTGCTGCTGTCACTCCTGCTGCTTCTACCACGTCTACCCCTTCTGCTGCTCCTATGGCTTCTAAGACTCCGGAGCAGGCTCCGGAGCAGCCGCCCCGGCAAGGCGAGTTCTCACAGTCACCCGAACATACGATCGCTATCGTAGGCATGTCCCTCAAAACTGCGGGAGCAGATGATGTGGAGGAGTTCTCCCGCATGATACAGTCGGGTGTATCCCAGCATGAGCTGATAGGACCTGACCGGGTCAAGTTCCATACGTTGTGGCGAGAGGGAGACTGGGATCCATCCTACAAATGGTACGCTAACTGGATGCGGGATATCGACAGCTATGATCACCAATTCTTCAAACGAAGTCCCCGAGAAGCAGCCAACATGGATCCACAGCAGCGACTTGCTATGCAAGCTGCCTACCAAGCCGTGGAAAAAGCGGGTTACTACACCGCGGACAGAAATCCCGCGACGAAAAGGAGCCGGCCTCAGATGGATACAAATCATATCGGCGTTTATGTGGGCATCACCTTGGACGATTATCAGAATCATGTCAGGTCCCATCGCGCAAATGCGTTTTCCATCACAGGAACCATGCGCAGCCTCATTGCGGGCAAGATTGCTCACCATTTCGGTTGGACAGGGCCGGCTATGACCATGGATACCGCCTGCTCCTCATCTGCCGTTGCTATTCACACAGCCTGTCGAGATCTGTTAGCTGGTGACTGTACTGCTGCTCTTGCCGGGGGTGCCAACGTTATCACGGATCCGCTGGCTTTCCAGGATTTGGCTGCTGCTGGCTTTCTAAGCCCCTCCGGTCAATGCAAACCATTCGATGACCGCGCCGATGGTTATTGTCGTGGAGAGGCGGTGGGTTTTGTCTTTATGAAGCGGCTCTCTGATGCACTGGCAGATGGCGATCAAATATTAGCCTGTATTGCCGGCTCAGCCATTTACCAAAACGAGAATCATACGCCCATTTTTGTCCCTAACTCACCTTCCCTGTCCAGCCTCTTCAAGCATGTTATGGGGAAAGCACAGGTACAACCGTCAGAGATCTCTGTCGTTGAATGCCATGGGACCGGTACACCAGTAGGAGATCCTGCTGAATGGGAAAGTGTACGCTACGCACTGGAAGGGCCCCGCAAGGGTGATCCGGTGTATATTGGATCCGCCAAAGGGCACGTAGGCCACACTGAGGCCGCGTCTGGTGTAGTGGCACTCATCAAGGTATTGACTATGATGCAGAGTGGGTATATTCCACCCCAAGCCAGTCACTCGCAATTGAGTCATCTCATCCAGCCGTCCGACATGATGCAGGTTGCAAGTAGTCAACGGCCCTGGCACTCGACGCGCAAGGTGGCTCTGATCAACAATTACGGCGCCAGTGGATCCAATGTGGCCATGGTTGTCACCGAGTTCCCATCCCCTCGTGCACAGGCAGGCCAGGTCAAGACAGAGGAGATAACAACTCTCCCCTTCTGCATTGCAGGGCGCACGGTCAAGAGCGTAAAGGCTAATTGCGCTCGGATTCTCCGCTACCTCGACTTTGATTCCGGAGCTGGCCTTGCTGACCTTTCATTCAACATGCATCGTCAGTTCAATCGGTCTTTGCCGTACAGATTTGCGTTTAAATGTTCCTCTCTCGACGACTTGAGGACGAAATTATCTCAGGCGATAACCGCTTCCCCTGCACCCGGGGCAGATATGGACATTACGACTGTACAGCCCGATCGACCGGTCATTCTCTGCTTTGGTGGTCAAGTGTCAATGGCCATTGGACTTGATCGAAATTTATATGACCGGACTCAGATTCTACGCTATTACTTGGATGAGTGTGACGCTGCAATCCAGTCATTTGGACTGACAAGTATCTACCCCGACATATTCTCCCAGCAAGCGATCCAAGATCAGCAAAAGTTGCAGACCATGCTTTTTGCCATGCAGTATTCCTGCGCAATGTCTTGGATGAAGTCTGGCTTATCCAGTCGAGTCGCCGCAGTTGTTGGCCACAGCTTTGGAGAACTTACCGCCATGTGCGTCTCGGGGGTCCTGAGTCTGCATGATGCCGTGAAACTGGTGGCAGGCAGAGCGAGGTTAATTCGAGATTTGTGGGGATCTGATCCTGGCGCCATGCTCGCAGTTGAGGCAGACGAAGAGACAATACACACCCTGTTATCAGAGGCTAGCCGAGTGTATAGCGGTCCCCACCAGGCCAGCATTGCCTGCTACAACGGTCCTCGGAGTTTCACCGTTGCAGGATCTCAAGAAGCAATTCGTGCTGTCACTGACCTTCTCTCCCAAAAGTTCCCTGCCATTCGAAGCAAAATGTTGCGAGTCACTAATGCCTTTCATTCGAGTCTCGTCGACCCACTAGAAAGGCAGCTGGAGTTACTTGGACAGGGGATAACTTTCCAGAAGCCGCACATTCCTCTGGAACGAACAACGGAGACTAGATCTTCCTTAGAATCTCTGGGGGCCCACTATGCGGCCGAGCAGATGAGACAGCCAGTCTTCTTCCATCACGCCGTGTGTCGCCTAGGCCAGGATCACCCTGACTGTATCTGGCTTGAGGCGGGATCTAGCTCGACGATCGCTGTCATGGCTCAGCGAGCGCTGGATTCTGACCCGCGGACGTCTCACCACTTCCAGAGTATCAAGACCAACGACTCCGATGCTTTCAACAAGCTCAGTGAGGCGACGGTCTCCCTGTGGAAAGAGGGGTTGCCGACGTCGTTTTGGCCGCACAACGCCTGTCAAACCCACGATTACGCTACCCTGGTTTTGCCTCCATACCAGTTCGAAAAGCATAAACATTGGGTGGAGCTCAAGTCTCCAGTGGAGCTGATCGAGCAAATCAAGCAAAGTGTCCTGTTGGAAAACTCCATCACGCAAGCGAGTCCAATTGAGGACATTGACCGGAGATGGGTGTTTGCTGGATACAGGGATTCCAGTAGCCATGGCAAGAGCCAGCCCTGCTTCCACATAAACACAGCGTCCAAGGAATATCAGGAATTGGTTCGCAGCCATGTCGTCACCAACACAGCTGGGATTTGTTCGGGCATGTTACAAGTGGATCTGGCTGTCAGTGCCCTGTTCAGCCTTCATCCAGACTGGGCCACCAACGGGTTCCGCGCTAGTCTACATGACATGGCCCAATACGTACCAATCTGTCTCGACTCTTCACGAGTCCTATCTCTGGAATTTTCTGAGGATCGGACAAATGGCTTCTGGGATTGGAAAATAGTAGGGTTGTCCGAAGGTACGCCACACATTGTCCACACCACGGGGCGCCTGCGATTGCGGGACCCGAGGGACAATGCTTATCAGGCTGAATTTCGGCGGCTCGGTCGTCTCATTGACCACCCAAGATGCTCGGCCCTGCTGAACATTGGGCCCAGTCAAGAGGACGTGGAAATACTACAGGGACGCAATATATACAGGGCCTTTCGTGACGTCGTTGACTTCGGGGCACAGTACCGTAGCCTGCGCTGGCTGGTCGGTCGAGGCAATGAAAGTGCTGGACGCATTTCTCGGACGCAGCAGAATGACGCCTGGTTCGATCAGCTTCGGGGCGAGCATATCAGTCAGGTCGGCGGGATCTGGGTCAATTGCATGACGGACCACAGTCCAAGTGATATTTTCGTTGGAGCCCAGATAGAGATGTGGATGGTTTCTCCCCACTGAGCGAATCGTTCACTGCCCGATCAATTGGATGTGTTTGCGCGTCACCAGCACCATGAAGAAACTGGGGACTACACCACCGATAGTTTTGTGTTTGACCCTAGCAGCGGAGACCTGATCGAAGTCTTGCTGGGAGTTCGCTTTACTAGGACTCCCATCACTTCGTTTATCCGGGCGTTGCAGCGAATGACTGCAGATCAGCCGATTGGGAATACTGGGCTAAGCGCACCAACGATGGCGCAGCCGGCTCCTATGCCCGAGGTGCCTTCTCAGCCTGTGATACAGCCACTAAAGACGGCAAACCCCAACTCGCAAAGTGCTAAACACTCGAGCCGGGATCTTCTCAAAGAGATGGGTGAGGTTGTGGCCAACCTGGTCGGTGTAGACGCCGAGGAAATCGGACCAGACGCAAACCTGGCTGACTTTGGCGTCGATTCCCTTCTTGGATTAGAATTACAGGCCGAAATCAAGACTGCCTTTAACTGTACGCCCGACGAGGTCGAGATTATGGGGGCCACGACTCTACGCGATCTGGTGAGATGCCTGCCCATCGCCACGGCCAGTCCGCAACAGGACACTGCCAACGATGGTAGTCAGTATCAACCACCAGCTCAATATTCTCCGGATGAGGTTGGTTCGGCATCGCAGCCCTCAGACCCGTACTGGAGTGGCCCGTCATCGGAGCACAGCCGGTCGACCTCTACCGGGCCCCCGGATTTCCTGTGGAGTACTTCGGACATCTTGGAATCTTTTTCGGGGACAAAGAAGCTTGTGGACCAGATGATTGTGGAACATGGCCTGGACGATTTTGACAGGGTCATTATCCCAGAGTCGAATCGATTGTGCGCAGCGCTTGTGGTCGAATGTTTCGAGCAGCTTGAATGTCCATTACGAAGCGCACAGCCCGGCGAGGTTTTGGACCCGGTACCTTTCCAACCACAGCACAAGATCCTAATGAACTATATCTACAATTTCCTAGAAAAGACTATTGGCCTGGTGGTCGTTGAGGAAAATGGACAACTTACGCGCACCGCAAAGGCCGCTCCCACAACGAGCAGTGAAGATATTCTCGCCGAGCTCGTGGACAACTACCCCATTCATGGAGACTTCTTGCGATTGACATATCACGCTGGAAGTCACCTAGCCGAGGCACTGGTGGGAAACACAGATGGAAATCGAGTCCTGATGAGCAATCCCGAGGGCCGCAGTCTCTGTCAATCCGTATACCACAATTACGTGGTGAATCGGCTCGGGTTTGAAACAATGCGAGATGTGCTCGAACGAGTGAGTAGGCGAATTCGCACGACGAAAGGCCCACTTCGCGTTCTTGAAATAGGAGGCGGAACGGGCAGTGCAACAAGCGTATTGCTACCACTACTGGCCTCGTGGAACATTCCCGTTGAATACACCTTCACTGATCTATCCTCGTCGCTGGTCGCGCAGGCACGTCGCACGCTCGGGAAGCAGTACCCATTTATGAGATTCGCGGTGCAGGACATTGAGAAGCCCGTAAGCGAGGAGCTTGCAGGGCAGCAGCACATTGTCATAGCGAGCCACTGCGTCCATGCGACACGCAGTCTGACGGACTCGACACGGAACATTCGACAGGCCTTGCGACCAGAAGGATTCCTCATGATGTTTGAGATGCGGGAGGCGTGGCCTGCTCTTGATCTGACCTTTGGGCTCTACGAGGGCTGGTGGTTGTTTGAGGATGGACGGACGCACGCCTATACCTCGCCCGAAGTGTGGCAGCGCAGCCTGACAGCTGCCGGATATGGGGCTGTGGATTGGACGGATGGGGCGCTTCCAGAGCACAAATACTACATGGTGCTGATTGCTTGTGCGTCGACAGTCCAAGAAAAGTAGGTCTAACGGGGCTGGATGGCCGAAGAGCAAGCGCCTGTTTCCTGTGCATGATATGATAGACAATCTACCACCCAGGACCTATAGCTTGCCTACTCATCTATAGCCATATTACCTATCCTATCCCCTCACATAAATCTACTATACTTGAGAAACATATAAGCGATCATGATAGCAACGTGATGGTAGGAGATTTGTTTAATATGCAGGAGGTCGTGTTGCAGTGGAGGATGTAGACCACCGGAGTATCTGACTATTGTCATATAAAGTCCGATCGAAGTAAAGTAAGTCCGCGTCTTCGACCCAGGCTTACATTAATAACCCGTTGTCCCTTTCCCACAATCCCCAGAACCCTCAGCGAAAGCAATCCACGCCATGACACCAACACCATTGGACTCCGAACCGTCCGACCCATTCATCCACTACCCCAGAATCCTGTGCCTCCACGGAGGAGGCGCAAACTCCCGAATCTTCCGCGTTTCTTGCAGAGTGCTCGAGGCGCAGCTGGCGAGCCGTGCGAGATTAGTGTATGTGGATGCGCCTTTCTTTGCTCCCCCGGGCCCGCTCATCACTGGCGTCTTCACTGACTGGGGTCCCTTTCGATCATGGCTTCCCCCTGCGCTTGGGGTCGGACCGGGCAAGGGCCAGGGGGTGGCATGTATTGATGAGGATCCTACGGATGCTGGCTTGGTGGTTGAGAAGATCGATCAAAGTTTGAGGACGGCGATGGAGGAGGATGATCGAGCAGGAGGTAAGGGCCCATGGGTGGGTTTGTTAGGGTTCAGTCAGGGTGCCAAAATTGCCGCGAGTCTGCTTCTGAGACAGCAGCATGAGCATGAGCATGGCTGGTTTGCCTCCTTGCCGGTCTTCCTTTTCGGCGTCCTGATCGCGGGGCCTGCGCCATTTGTCTCGCTGGTTCCATCGCCAGACCAAGCAATACCACCACAATCATCGCCTAAATCTATACTTCAAATACCCACGATCCACGTTTATGGCAGACATGATTCTATCGTTTTTGCCCCTGATGAATGGTTCTATCACAGTTGCTCAGCTGAGTCGAGGAAACTGCTCGTCTGGGATGGCGACCACTTCGTGCCTACGAGGACCAGGGAGGTTACTGCAGTGATGATGATGATTGCAGAGATGCTTGATAAAGATGCACAATAGGATAGTCTGACCGCTTGATCTAATCCTTTATCTACACGATATGCCCCTTTGTATCCCCTTCAATGCCTCGCTACGCCTCCCAACTCATGGATAAGCTCCTCGGCCTGTCGGTTAACACAGCTGAGACTCTGAAGAATAGACATCAGCTCGTCTAGCCCATCGTGTTGCCCCTGGGGGTGGTGGCTGGTAAGGAAGACGATCGCCCGTGAGAGTAAGACGGGAAGAAATATGGGAGTCTACTTACCCCAGTCAGCTTCTATGTTCAGCGATCGAGAGAACGTGACAATACCTTGAACCGACCAAGCCGAGCAGAGCACTTTGCCAAACGCACAATCTCGTTGCAGGCCTCGAATGCCTGTCCAAGACAAATGGTCACTGATTTCTCAGGCTCGTTCATTGCGAAGGCCATGCCTTCCGCCAGCTCACTCAGGTCGACCATCACGCTGTGGGCGAGGATACGCGTGCAGCACGCTGTGGAATCTACAGCTGCTGTCGTTACCGGGAGGTGCTTTGCTATTATCCGCATTCGTTGCCGCAAGCCGACTTTGATCTCTTGGAGCTTGGCGCAGAAATCAACTGCGTTGCTAGGCGATGCGCTGCGGAGATTCATGTATCTGCCTCGCAGTGTGGCTAAAACAACGCACTCGGCAAATACAGGTAGAATTGCTGTGACCAGGGTGGACATGACCTCGGAAAGAAAGGGCATACGAACTGGTTTGGCGTCTTGGAAACTGGTCTCGGGGGCTGGGAGCCGTGTGCGTGTCTGGAAAGGGTTGAGTGGAAGAAAGTCAGCTTTCATGTAGAGTGACTTACCGCTTGCTCATGCAGCGTATGGGGCAATTCATGGCGGATGCTGAAGAGCCGATCGATGCAGTATGCCGCCCAGAATGTGCGCCTTCGCTCCTCTTCGCGAGCAAAGGCCTCCCCTGACACTTCCTCGGTGGGGCCTGTCTCTACGTCGATTTCGTGCAATCGCGATATCTGAATCAAGCGAAATGCCCTTCCAGCTGTGAGTATGTATCTGTCTTGAGGCATGCGAAGCGCCTCGTAGTATACTACCAGGAGGAGAGCCTGGATATATTCCAGCTCAACCGGGGCCCCTCTCGCCCGACCGATCGGTCCGTTTATCTCGACTTTTTCGAGGGCTGCGCATGCCTCGACATACAGAGAGTGGCTCGATCTCAGCATATGCGCCGTTGATGCTGCCGCGGCGGCCTGCACGGCCAGCTGGAGACAAAGCTGGCTTTTTGACGGGCTTTGCTGCTCTACCATGTCGAAATACCGCTGTTTGTGAATGATTGGTATATTTGGATGAATTCGCTCAAAGTACACCGACACTCTACTGTATATCAGTCCGAATACCCAGCATATGGTATCTCAAACGCCACATACGCATCTTCCTGCACAAGTGCTGATATCTGACCCTCATCGCTTGGTTGGATGACCTTCCGATTGCTTTTCCATGTCAGACCGGTTTCCCCTGGAGCCTCTCTCATTTCTGGCGACAATGGCTCGATGGCCATTGGAAAGTTCGCATCGAATTCCCAGAGAGGGGGGATGCCAATGTTTGTAATGTCCGGCGACTCTATCAGTTGTCCTGTAACTGCTGGGTCAATTGCCGTTGTGAAGGATTCCTCTAGAGGTTGCTGCTCGGAAAGGAGACGCTCCAGAGTATCTGTAGACAGAAAGTTAAAATGATAGATACTCCGCCGGACGTGTGTGCCATTCCGTACTAATTCTGTCCCGAAGGGCCCTGATCTGGCCTTTTTTGGGCCCTCGCTGCGCCCGCTGGTCACTGAAGATACACAGTCTCCCGGCCTCGCTGCAGCTGCCGCAGCAGGGTCTGGACCTGTCGCACCTTGCTTTGCGTCGTCGACACTCTTCGCAGGCCGAGCCGGGATGTTGTCGGAAATAATCTGCCATTGTAACTGTAGAGTTATACTATAGTAAATGCCCTTCAAGAGTCGGAGTTCAAGGGTGACTAAGGTGTAGAAAAATGAGACAGACCGTATCTAGGGTCAGCAAAGGAAGGTCCTCCTGCCCTGCTTTGACACCTGCCCACTAATTTCTGGCAATTCGAATGAGCTGGCTGGCCCCAATTGACGCAATGGCAAGGATGCCAGAACAGGGCTTTGGAGCCTCACAGAGACAGTGCATCTGCGCACATGCTATGCACTCTCTGGCCACGCTTTCACAGACATCCGACGTAGCTCCGCCATCCAACATTAGAGGAGCAACGGTTTTCCCTGATTGGCAGTTGAGTAATCCTCCCACGTGGGGGCTCGGTACGGATACTAATTATGTTGATCATCGACCGAGGACTAACGACAGAAGCGAATTGTGGCAGTGAAGTCCAGTCTATGCTGTATTGCCCTTGTAACACTGTGTTGTATTTGCAAATCTCTGAGCAGAATGACAGTTTTCGCTCTCTAAAATCTGACTCAGCCCTAAGATGAACTAAATAAGCTCTTCCGGGGGCGGGTGGCGGCCGCGGCTTCCGGCGGCGCTTTTCATTTCAACAGCCGAGTCCGCATCAGGAGGTAGAATACGGAAATTAAGATAGGAGAATAAAAGTCCCGCCGGGGAAGCAAATTAGTCCGCATAGTTCGAACGTGGAGTCTGCGTGTGGTTGTAGTGAAGGTTATGTTATAGTAACAGGGTCACGTCAACTGCTCGATGACCAGACCGACCACTTAAAAACCGCGCACGGTGCCCCTGCTCGAACAAGAGGGGAGTTCAGCGATGAGGCTATCTCCTGATTATAATTTGACTCTTCTCTAGCCCTAATCGGACTGTCCAGTGGTTTGCAAAAAAATGCGTTCCAGTCAAACGGATCAAGGCCGCCGCGCAATCCCCATTGCAATTTGCGGCATGGGCATGCGACTGCCTGGGGGAATTCGGGACTCGAATGCTTTGTATGATTTCTTGTTGAACAAGCGGGATGCTCGAGCACCGGTTCCACAAGATCGATTCAATGTCGACGGCTTCTACAACTCCCACGGGAAACCAGGTAGCCTATCCATACAGCAGGGTTACTGGCTAGACGATATCGATTTGTCACATTTTGACCCGTCCTTGTTCTCGATGAATCGGGCAGAGATCGAAAATTTGGACCCTCAGCAACGATTGTTGTTGGAAGTGGTCCGCGAGACATTCGAGAATGCTGCCGAGACTGACTGGCGAGGGAAGAAGATTGGATGTTATACAGCCAGCTTCGGGGAGGAATGGAGCAACCTCCATGCCAAGGACGTGCAGAACCGAGGATTCAACGTGGCTACGGGATATATGGACCTCTTTCAAGCAAACCGTATTTCGTACGAATACGATCTGAGGGGGCCCAGGTATGTATTCGGCCAGGACCAACGGAAGGTAATGCTGACTCTCAGCAGCATGACCCTGCGTGTGGGGTGTTCTGGTAGCGGCTTGGGTATTCATCTTGCCTGCCAGTCGATTCAGCTCGGCGAGTGTTCGTCGGCCATTGTGGCGGGCTGCAACATTATCCTCTCTCCTGAGACGACGATACTGATGGCTGATGGCGGTGCGCTGTCACCGGATGCTTCTTCCAAAGCATTTGACGCCAGTGCCAATGGTTATGTTCGCGCTGATGGTATCAACTGTCTTTACATCAAGCGCCTGGACGAGGCTATCCGCGACGGGAACCCGGTTCGGGCTGTAATTCGAGCAACCAGCACTAATGTAGCGGGCAAATCATCTGGCCTCACGGTTCCCAACATCGACGCACACGAAGTGCTTATTCGTGCTGCCTATCGCAGCGCGGGCTTGGAAGATCCCGCGCTGACAGCTATGGTCGAGTGCCATGGAACAGGCACCGCCTTGGGTGATGCCATTGAGGCGGGTGCAGTGGCACGTGTTTTTGGAGACAAGGGAATACATATTGGATCAGTGAGTATATACAGAGGTCTTCTCTTCTATCCCCTTGGCTCACTTCCCAGGTCAAACCAAATCTAGGGCATTCTGAAGGGGCCTCGGCGATCACCAGTGTGATGAAAGCCATTGTCGAATTGGAAAATCGCATGATCTTGCCGAATATCAAGTTTGAAACACCAAACCCCAAGAGTATGTCCTACCGTCTCCGAAGATATAAAGTGGAAATTAACAAAAGTTGTAGTTCCCTGGGACGAAGCGCGCCTCACGGTTCCCACTGAGCCAACCAAATGGCCAGAGGATCGACTAGAAAGAATCAGCATTAACAGCTATGGAATCGGTGGAACCAATGTTCATGTAAGATGTACGACCTCCGAGAGATGACACAATAATAAACGGCTTAGGTCGTTCTGGATTCCGCTGCCTCGTTTGGATTGACCGAGGCCGAATCGATCCCCGAAACGACACCCGGCTCCACACTTTTGTTGCTGTCGGCGGGCCATCCGGATTCACTGAAAGAAATGCAACAGAACTATCTAGGGTATGCTGCAAAACATTCAGATCGACTCGCCGACCTTGCATATACACTGTCACGCCGGCGGGAGCATCTTCCTGTCCGTGGCTTCTGTATAACCAAGGGCGAGGATGATGACGTCGTCGTCTCGCCTCCTTTTACGAGCCAGTCGCATAAGAAGGTCGCATTCGTTTTCACGGGCCAAGGTGCACAATGGCCTCAAATGGGCAAGGAGCTGCTTGAAACGTTTCCCGACGTCCTCAACGATATCAGGGAGATGGACAAGGTTTTGCAGCAGCAGGACAGCCCTCCGCAATGGAATTTAGAAGAAGAGCTGCTCAAGCCAGCGGATACCAGTCGGATGGCCGAAGCAGAAGTCGCACAACCCGTCAGCACGGCTCTCCAACTCGCGCTATGCAACCTTCTATCCCGGTGGAACGTCTTACCCGTCGCTACGATCGGGCACTCCAGCGGAGAGATCGCCGCCGCGTATGCCGCAGGATCTCTCAATATGCGCGATGCCATTCTACTGGCGTACTATCGAGGCGCCGCATCTGGGGCGCAGACGCGTGCCGGTGCCATGGCGGCCGTGGGGCTCGGCTACGATGAGGTCGCCAAGTGGCTAAGGTCAGGTGTCGTGATTGCCTGCGAGAACAGCCCGTCGAGTGTTACCTTGTCAGGAGATGCAGATGCATTGAGATCTGTGCTGTCAACTCTGCAGGAAGTGCATCCACAAGTGTTCCAGCGGGTTTTGAAGGTGAACAAGGCCTATCATTCACGTGAGTGCCAATGATACTTTCCATTGTAGCAGTGTAACTGATCAGGGATAGACCACATGCAAGAGGTGGGACAGCTCTACGACAGCCTCATCGCAAATCACCTGAAGACTCGGTCACCAAGGATTCCATTCTACTCCACCGTTACTTCCCAGCAGCTGGCTAAAGCGGAAGATTTTGGACCGCAGTACTGGCGTCAGAATATGGAGAGCCCTGTTTGGTTTTATCAAGGGTTTAACTGCTTGCTCGATTCAGAAGCTGGCAGAGACGCTATTTATCTGGAAATTGGACCGCATTCCGCGCTTGCTGGCCCGATCAAACAGATCTACAGAGCTCAAAATGCATCCAATCCCTATGTTTCAGTGCTCACTCGTGGTTCAAATGGAGTCTTGAGCTTCCTTTCCTGTGTGGGAGAACTGCACTCTCGCGGGGTAACTATTAGCTATCCTCTTCCGTCTCTCCGGCCAAAGGCCCTCCATGACCTGCCACTGTATCCATGGCACCACACGGAGAGTCTGTGGTCCGAATCGCGGCCCATGCGTGCTTCACGCTTTCGGAAGTTTCCGTCCCACGACTTGCTTGGTGTCCGAACAATCGAAGGCAGTGATCTCGAGCCTGTCTGGCGGAACGTCCTTCGTCTGGGCGACGTGTCTTGGCTGCGTGATCATTGCGTGGGCCCGGATATTGTCTTCCCAGCCGCAGGGTATATTGCATTGGCCGGCCATGCCGTTTGGCAACTAACGGGACTGAAGGACTTTACCGTGCGAGAGGTGTCGTTCAAGACGGCCATGGTGCTCGACGAGACGCTTCCCACCGAAATTATCACGAGGCTCCAGCCTCACCGACTTACCAACTCTCTGACTTCAACCTTCTTTGAGTTTTCCATACAGTCTCATAACGGCTCGACCTGGACTCAGCATTGCTCGGGGCTAGTGGCAGGGGGCCAGGCTTCCCCCGAACCCAAGCCCACAGTGACCTCTTACCCTAGAGTTGTCGACTCGAAGCGCTGGTACCGCGCAATGAATAGAGTTGGTCTGCGATACGGTCCGCGGTTTACGGGGTTGGATGGAATCACAGCAAGCGTTAGAGACAATGCTGCATCCGCGGTGGTCCAGGATAATAGAGAGCCCGAGTCGCCAGAGTCGCCATACATCTTGCATCCCACAACGATTGATTTTATCCTACAATTAGCTCTTGTCGCCACCCATCGAGGTCAGCCGCGGTTTCTGAAACAAGCTGCTTTGCCCACTTTCATCGAGAAGATGTACATCAAGGGAGGCGCAGCTGGAGAGAATATTCACGTCAACTCGACTTCCCAGAAACAGAGCATCCAAGCCCATGGGGTGGCCTGTAACACCCTCATTTTCTCGTTGAGAGGACTCGAGTTCTCACCTCTGGATAGCGAAGATGATCAGCGAGAAGACCAGTATGAAACAGCCCAGCTGGTTTGGAAACCGCATCTCGAGTTTTCCTCCCCGACAACTCTTATTAAACCGGCCCAAAAGGCTGAGCTCTCTTCAACAAACCCGTTGATCGAGCGGATTTTTCTGCTCTGCGTCATAGATGCGATGGAGGATATTAACGACATCACCCCAGTTCACGCACATCTGGATGCGTATCGTAGGTGGTTGTCTCAACAACTCGTGCAAGCACAGAAGGAGGGCAATCCGTTAATACCGGACGCAAAGGACCTATTCGCCCTTAGCACTGGCGACAGAAAAGAACTAATCCAAAGCCTAGTCGCAAATCATACTGAAGGGACAATGGTCGCAGGCTCACGCATCCTATTCCGGTGTTATGAACACTTGCCCGACATCTTTAAGGGCAAGACTGACCCTCTCGAACTGATGCGACGAGATGGTCTGCTCGGCCAATACTATGACTGCCTGCAAGACAAGCATGAATATGACGGTTTCCTGCAGCTTTTGGGTCATCTGCGGCCACATATGAATGTCCTGGAAATTGGCGCAGGCACCGGAGGCCTGACAGCAAAGATACTCGATTTTCTGCACTCTGAGTCTGGCGAGGAGCTCTACAGGGAGTACACCTACACCGATGTCTCGTCGGGCTTTTTCGTCAATGCCAAAGAAAGGTTTCATGACCGTCCTCGAATCCGCTACGACGTACTGGACATTTCCCAAGATCCCATCAAGCAGGGCTTCCCTGCAGCGCATTACGATCTTATCATTGCCTCTAATGTCCTGCACGCAACACCCCATCTGACCGAGACTCTTAAACATACCAAGACCTTGCTCAAGCCAGATGGCCGCCTCCTGTTGCAAGAGCTCTGTCCCGTCTCGAAATGGACAAACTTTATCTTTGGGTTGTTCTCGGGCTGGTGGCTGGGCAAAGACGATGGTCGTGCTGACGAGCCCTATATCAGTCCCGAAGAGTGGGACGCCAGGCTACGTGACGCGGGTTTCGCAGGCGTCGATGCCTCCGCTCTCGATGCCGAATATCCATATCAGCTTAACGCCATGCTGGTTGCGAGACCTGCTCCTCCAGACTTTTACCCGAAGAGGGTGACACTTCTGTCTATGTGCCCTTCCCATGCAGGAGTGAAGAGTTTACACCAGCAGCTAAACTCTGACGGATACCAGGTGGATCTCGTCAGCTGKGGAGAGAAATTGCCAGCGAGCCAAGATATCGTCTCTTTGCTCGACCTTGAAGTCCCATTCTTCGATGATATTACCAAAGAAAATCTCGCGCTCTTTCTACAAACAGTCAAAGATCACTCCACGTCCAACTTCCTGTGGGTAACCCATGCAGCACAGATAACACCACAAGATCCACGATTCGCCCAAGTGCTGGGCATGGCGCGGACACTGCGTTCTGAGCTAGGCATTTCATTTGCTACTTTGGAAATGCAAGACTTTGGGCCAGGTTCCATGGAAGCGATCTGCCTTCTCCTGCGCGAAATCCAGCGACGCACGGCGGAACCAACAGAGGCTTCTGAATTCGACCCAGACCAAGAATATGCTTGGACCAATGGTGTCATCCATGTTAGCCGCATGCATTGGCTCTCCATTCCTGAAGCCCTAACCCATCACGGTGGGGGCTTTTCGAGAGCTTCCTTGGAGATAGGCCGACCGGGATTGCTCAACACGCTCCGTTGGGCCCCCCAGCCAAAGAAGCCGCTGCAGCCCGATGAAGTACGGGTCAAGACCATGTCAGTCAGCATGAACTTTCGCGAGCTTCTTGTGGCCATGGGAGTGGTTCCCAATGAGGGCCAGGAAGTGGTGGGTACTGACAGTGCTGGTATCGTGACAGCAGTCGGAGCCAACGTCACCAACGTATCGGTGGGCGATCGAGTCATGGCTATCAGCGTTGCGGAAACCAGCTATACAACCGAGTTGCAGCTCTCCAGCCAGCTCTGTGCTCGAATCCCGGATGATTGCAGCTTTCAAGATGCAAGCACACTGCCCACCGTATATCTTACCGTGCTGAGAACCCTGCGAGAAAAGGCAAATCTCCGAGGAGATCAGAGAGTTCTCATTCATAGTGCCGCTGGAGGGGTGGGCATCGCAGCCATCCATTATGCGAAATGGGCTGGTGCGAAGATCTACGCGACAGTCAGCTCACCAGAAAAGACGGCGTTTTTGGTTGAGAAGATGGGCGTGCCGAAAGAAAACATCTTCTACTCTCGGGACAGTACCTTCCTGGACGCAGTTATGAGGTCAACAGATGGTCGGGGAGTCGACGTGGTGCTCAACTCGCTCTCAGGTGAGCTGTTGCATGCCTCCTGGCAATGTGTCGCGGAAGGAGGAAGCATGATCGAGATCGGTAAACGAGACCTTCTCGGCCGGGCGCAACTGGCGATGAGCCCGTTCTTGGCCAACCGGTCGTATATCGGGGTGGATATTGCAACTCTCCCGTTGATAGAGCCCACTTGGGTTCAACAACACTTGGTCACAATTGTGGACCTGTACAGCCAGGGCATTATACATCCCGTCCGCCCGATTACAACGTTTCCCGCCAACCAAGTCGAAGACGCCTTCCGGCACCTGCAAAAGGGACAACACATCGGCAAACTCTGTATCCAATTCTCGGACTCGCCAGACCTTCGACTGGTCCCGAGGGTTGCGGAATTAGAATTGCGAGCGGACAGAGCCTACCTCCTTGTGGGTGGAATGCGCGGCATTGGTGCTTCGATCGCAAGATGGATGGTATCCCATGGAGCCAAGAACCTGGTATTTCTTTCTCGCTCGGCGGGGGAAAAGGAGGAGGACAGGGCATTGGTCTGCGAATTGTCCGAGATGGGATGCCAGGCCCTAACCTTTGCCGGTGATGTTGCCGACCTAGCGACTGTTCAACGCGTTGTCTCGAGCATCGCAATGCCGATCGCCGGGGTCATCCAGCTGGCCATGGTGCTTGCGGACACTGGAGTGATGGATATGGATATAGGAAAATGGAACGCAGCCGTCAGACCCAAGGTCAATGGAACCTGGAACCTGCATGAAGCTCTACCAACCGATCTCGATTTCTTTGTCATGGCCTCGTCTCTGTCCGGTATATTCGGGAACTACGGCCAATCCAACTACGCAGCCGCAAACGCTTTTCTGGACGCTTTTGCCCAGTTCCGCCAATCAAGGGGGCTTGCTGCATCAACCGTGGACCTCGGTGTCGTGGACGAGATTGGGTGGGTCAGTCGAAATGCATCCGTCCACCGTAAAGTGGTGCAGCAGATGAGTACCACGATCTCAGAAGAGAGCTTGTTGAACTGTTTCCATTTGGCAATCATCCGCTCCTGTCCTTCGAGTGGCCTCTCACAGCCATTCCAGCCACTTATGGGTTTCCGATCACACAACCAGCTACTGCATGGTCTCCTGTCCAAGACGGGTATCGCTAAAGGGCAATATATCTGGCAGCGAGATCCCCGCACCGCTTTGAGTCGCGTTCATTATCGGGAAGGGGAGTCCCCTTCTGGCAGTGGCGAGGCTAAAGATGGTGGGCTAAAGGCCTTTCTTTCCGCCCTCCAGGACAATCCGGAGGTTCTGCACGACGCATCGAGCGGTCAAGTTACGGCCAAGGAAATTGCCCGACAGGTGTCCATTTATACGATGCGAGGCAGCGAGCAGGAGGTAGATCTGACACTGTCGCTGCAGGATTTTGGCGTCGACTCCTTGGTCTCAATCGAACTTCGCAACTGGTGGAAGCAGGCGTTTGGGGCTGACGTGACCGTGCTGCAGCTGATGAATAGCGGCAGCTTTCTGGGTCTCGGTCAGAAGGCGGTAGATCAGCTCAAGCAGAAGTATTTGAAGGCATAATGCTGTGTAGACAAAGTTATATGTGATTTTGACTGAGTGATGTGACTATTGAACTGAGATTTTTCCTTGAAACATACCTGCCACACTCTATCAACGCAACCATGTGCACTTCATGTTGACAGCTAGTTATAGTATGTATACTACGTCACTAGAGATAATCCGGAGAGACCATGAGACCAACATCAGTATCTTCCAGGCTAACGTTCTTTCTTTCACTGTTGGTGGAAGGATCACTCCGTGTTATCAGCAGCGCGAAGAAGCATGCTGTCGATAAATGATGATAGAATACAGAGTAAGCTGCCAACTTGCTGCTTCCATAGACAGAAGGACCGAGCCCCTGTCGGGGAATATTAGCTACTAATAGAGAAGCTTAGAAATAATTATATTCGTAATCTAGTATATAGTAAACTTTCTATATTATTTAGTTATTAATTTATACCTATGATAGAATTAAGCTCCTGCTATACCTTGCTTACTCCATAGGATATAAAATAGTTACTATTTTAAATAAGTCTAGTAGAGTTGCATTAAGTCCAAGTTCAGGTAAGTCTAACCCCAGTTGGAGCCAAACCGCTGCAATTTCAAGTCCAAATTTTAGAAACCGGAAGAAACCTGATCTGTTCTAATTTAGTGCCAGTTTCACTGCAAAAACCCACCACTAGGCTTGCGAGGCCTAGACTAACTAATGGTTGGATGCGGTTCAGTTTAGTTTCAAATTAAGGAGATCTATAAGGAGAGGTGAATAAATCGTATATAGGTAGAATAACTAGTAGTCTATATACTCTGAAATCAATTTACATTATTTTGGTTTTGTTCCAATGGCTTGCTGTAGACATCTACTCCTTGCAGAGTATGGCATCGGCGATTTGTGACGGAGATTTTAAGCTTGGCATAATTAGCTCGAGACTGGTGAAGTGCATGAATGAAAACTCTGCTGCGCCTCAGTCCGAGTCGCAATGTAGTATTGGGACCATCTAGATATAGTCCATTCCAGTATATATTCACTATAACCCGCAAAAGTGGTCTCACCTGGCATGCAACCCACACACAAGGCGCTCTGCCGACCGTATAATGGATCTGCTCGACCAGTGGGACCCGGAATATAAGGATGTCGGCACGCTTAATCTGGATGAGATTTATCAAGAACTGAGTCGCCTCGATGCTTTTGAGCAACTCATAAGTTCGAAACAAGGAAGGAATCCCGACAAAGAAGTTGAAGTTGATACCAACGCTGAAAAGGATAGCGAGGAAGCTCCCGTGCAGGACAACCCAGAGGAGATCCGAAAGAACACAGTACTCGATGACATCGACACACGCCGCATCGCGCTTCGAGCAGGGGCAATGGAGCTTTCCCGCGCGAAGATCCGACCGATGACGATAGTTGATTTGCCTGCCGATATTCTGCTCCAGATTTTTGGTTACTTCCGGGACGCAAGGATCGGAAAGCAGGCCCAAATTGACTGGAGGTCGCTACCCAGGGGCTGTGAAGCAGATATTGCCCGTAGGACTGCCCGCGAGACCATCCGGCAAGTTCGCCTGGTCTGCTGCCTGTTCAACGACCTGGCGTCTCCGCTGTTGTGTCCGATCCTCCGCGTAGATCTTGACCAGGAATCACTGGACGGGGCTGTGGAGTTGCTCAAACGTCCCCGGATTGCTCAAGGTGTGCATGCTATTCAAGTCGGGCTGCAATATCGTCCAAAGGAGCTTGTCATGGACTGCCCGAAATTCAAGGACTATTGCAAGAAGCAATTAGAAGAAATGGTCAATGACTGCGAATGGCACGCCGAGGTCTGTTCCCATGAGGGACATGAATCGGACGATGAAACGGTCTGCCCATATCGGGAAGCGATAAGCAATTACAACAAAATCAGTTTTTCGTGGGACTGTTACTTTAACTCTGACGAGAGTGACGAGAATGACGACGTCACCGAATCAGAGGCAGATGAGCACATGGAGATCCTCGTCCGAGGCTATAATGAATATCGCAAAAAGCATGAAGAGCAGTTGCACCTCATCACGACGGGATCCTTCGTCACCACGCTTGCATCTTGTATCTCCCAACTGCCCAACATCGTTGCCCTGGGCTTCACCGACGAAATGGAACCACTCTATGATTGGCGTCACCCGACAGTTTTGCTTAGAGACACGAGTTTGCTTCCCGGAATGATGAGCGCAGCGCTGAAGTGGTCCAAAATCGAGGATTTGGGGGATGTCAAACTCACACCCGCCAGGATCTTGTTCGACCTGCCGGTTGCCATACACAAAGCCGGAATAAAGCTGAGGGATCTTTACATGGGACCTTTCCCTCGCCGAGGCAGTTTTTCTCTTCTTTGTCCCGATACTGTGAGCAATCCCACCCATCCAGCAGCATGGTCAGATCTTCGAGCGGCGTGCAGCAGCCTCTGCAGAGTTGAATTTGGATCATACTTCCATGACCGCCCTATCCGCCACGAGCATCTCCAACCGGAAGAAAAGTACTATGTTGACCAGTACCTCAGCACAGTGCTTTGCAGTGCAGATCTAAAATATGTGTGGTTGTATTTGCGTTCTTTTGGCCTCAATGATGGCCACACCACGAAGGAGGGCTGGTACAATATTGATCCTGTCCTTAGTGCGGTCAATTGGTCACGCATCAAAAATATAGTGATCTCGTACATCTCTTTGAAGCAAGATGAGCTAGAAAGATTTTGCGCCAGGCTGGGTCCCTCAATTCAGCTCCTTTCGTTGTCCACTGTACACCTTTTGGACGGCAGCTGGGCAGGGATTCTGAGTACGTTGGACGAGAAGGCGCGGTCAACATTCCGTGAACAGCATGACACAGTGTCTTTGAGCCATCTGACGGGCGGAGAGTTTGGAGAGGTAGAGATCAAGCCAATACCCCCTCCCTTAGGATTCGAGGACTCGGATGACGAGTTGGAGCCGGCCAAACCACCCCCTGCGGCAGGGGAGATGTTGAAGAAGCTATACGCTTCATTCTTCTGGTAGCTGGTATCACGCCATATAGTGTACGTGAGAGTCCTACAATCAAGGACGGTAGCTAATTATTATTATTATTTGACTTTTAGAAACCCGTCTGGACGATTTGTCGGGCGGTTGTAGGTTTATCCAATTCCATGGTTCATAGCTACACAGCACCACCATCCAACAGAACTAGCAATACAGATCAGCTTATCGATCATATGATTCTTCTTGACCATCTATTACCATGAGACACCCCAAAACCTCATATCCATCACTATCAACCTCCTCAATACAACAACACAATGTCCGAAGAACACGACGACCCCAACCCCATCGACCTCCTCTCCCGCATAGCAACTCTCCTCGCACGAGTCGCCAGCAACCTCCGCCACAACCATCTCGACCGAACCACCATTCAGACCCTCCTCCTCCACTACTCCGCCCGCGCCGAATCCGACGGCCGCCTCATCAACGCCGCAAGACAGGACTCCGAGTGCGTCGAACACGGCGTCTTCCTCTCTTACGTGCACGTCGAGCTACTCTCCTGGCTAACCAAACACAACTACACCATCCCTTCGTCCTCAGTGAAATGGTACAGCTGGCGCAAGCTGATTGCGCGAAAGTACCATCTCCCATCAATCTTTTCTATTCGTGCGCACACGGCGCAATTGGACGATCTGTTCCGGAATGTGGTGGATAAGGGGGAACTGCTGCATTCGGCTCTACGAGCTCGTGGGGTTTGTCGTAGATCCCTGCCGCGAGAGCGTCGCTGATTGGAGTTGTAGATTGAAGTTCCGGATGTCGCGATTGATTACAGACAGGTAACCCCTCAGGCGGCGCGAGGAGCACCGCCAGAAGGTATGTAGTCTGTTCGTCTGTTCCATGGTTCATTCTAATTGCTGTAGCTCTGCATAAACTGCTGCATCGCGCGATGCTGGCTGAGGTGCTGCTTCGGGAGGGAAAGGTATCATGCTGACCATTAAGTTGGGGGTGTTGGCGTTGGTCATTCTATATTTGGTTTCAGAAGCTAGCTTTCAACGTTTTATCACTGCGTTCGTCTGCATCTCAGTATGTACTACCAATAGCAAATAATCATCTATCCGTATATAGCTTTCATTACATCAATCCTATGGCTGGAGTGAGCTGCGAAGGCACCTACCTGACTAATATCTCGTATCCAGCCTCCAGCTGACAAATAGAAGCCCCAGAACGAGGTCTAGCCCTGCGTAAACATATAATATATCATGAGCCTATCCCCACCATCCCGAGAATCAACTTATACAACCAAATTGCGTGCCGCTCAAAGCATCTGACAAAATGTCCCACTCCCACGCCACCCCGCAAACCCCAACCCTAGCCACCCCAGGAACAGGCCACATCCCCACCGCAACCTCACAAATCCGCATCGCGCGCCCCTGTCGCGATTTCACCGCCGCGGAACGCTTCTACGTTAACGGACTAGGCCTCAAAGTCCTCTGGCGCAGTGGACCCGCCCACGAAGTCGAGGGCGGCCATGAGCTGCTGATGCTGGGGTGGCCGGGTGCAGCGTGGCATTTGGAGCTGGTGCTCGTTACTGATGGCGAGGAGAATGCGCCGAGGCCGACCGAGGAGGATCTGTTGGTTATTTACGTGGATGGGGCGATTGAGCCGGCGGTTGTGGAGAGGTTGATTGAGGGTGGGGGAGTGAGGGTGAAGCATTCGAATGAGTACTGGGAGAAGTGGGGGGTTACGGTTAAGGATCCGGATGGGTATTTGTTGGTTTTGTGTCAGAGGGGGTGGACGAATGTTTAGTCCTATGGTTTTTGGGATTTGATTATTCAACGATACGATGCGATATGCAGGCTAGTATGTGATTGAGCATTGCATCCTCTCGAAGTGGTAGAGGTAGATATGTGTGTTTCCGCTTCCGCGGACGTAGAGCGCGGTCTTCACGTCATAGACATTGATCTTGCTGCAAGGGAGTGTGCATTAGCATAATAAATTCTGCATTGGCTGCATCTTCGCTGCCCCGCGAAACATATATATATAGCTTCGAGCCAATGGCATGTCCTCGGTCTTGTTCCGCTTGTGAAGTGCCTTCTTTGGGGTACTGCACTGTATGCTTTTCTGACATGGAAGTTGAAGACACTCCCTTATTCCTGCCAGGACCATGATCTGCAATGCGTTACAACCTGAATCCTGATACAGTCTTGTCCGAGGCAGAGACATGACTCGATATTGGCACGTGATGTCTGTCCTCCTGAGCTCCGTTGTCGGTGAAGAGCGGCAGAACTGGCGACACAACATCATCCCCTTTGTCTCTCCTCTAGACAACTCGCATTGTCACTCATCCAATGATGCGATTCCCGGCTCGCTCCAATGCACCTGTTCCCTCCTGAGTTTGGCTCGTTTCTCCGACATGGGCTGCTTCGCCGGTACGGACCGCGCCGCCGCCTTCTCCAGGCCTTGCTGATAAGCTTCGCGCTATGGACCGTCCTAGAAGTCGTGCTCATATATCAACGGGTCTCAACAGAGGACGCGATCAAGCCCCGTAGGCCACAGAAACCGGAGCGAATATACGTTGCGAGCATGCACTGGAACAACGAGGCGATTCTCCGGAGTCACTGGAATGACGCAATCATTCAATTGGCTAAGGCATGGGGTACGGAGAATGTGTTCGTCAGTGTCTATGAGAGCGGAAGTTGGGATGATACAAAGGGTGCGCTTCGTGATCTTGATGTGGAGCTGGATCGCCTCAGTGTGAGACGGAACATCACCCTCTCAGACACAACTCACGAGGATGAAATTTCCGCTTCTCCTGCGAGTGAAGGCTGGATAGATACTCCTCGCGGTCGGAAGGAGCTCAGGCGGATACCTTACCTGGCTCGGCTCCGCAACTTGACTTTGCGCCCTCTGGAGGACCTTGAACGGCAAGGCATAGCATTTGATAAGATTCTCTTCTTGAATGATGTGGTATTTACCGTACGTGTCAATCCCACTCAACGTCTGTTAAGAATGACTCCAACCCTATTCGATGCTCGCGCAGGTGGATGATGTTATTGAACTGCTTCACACCAACGATGGGGTATACGCCGCGGCTTGCTCTCTAGACTATTCCCGACCTCCGTTGTATTATGATACTTTTGCTTTGCGCGACAGCCATGGCGATGAGCATGTTATGCAAACGTGGCCTTATTTTCGTTCTACGGAATCTCGGCATGCGCTCTACAACATGTCCCCTGTCCCTGTCAAGAGTTGCTGGAATGGCATGGGTAAGCTCATCTTTGCTTGTCCCCAAACCACTCTTTGCTCGTAGTGTATTGCTCTTTCTTTGCTTTGACTCACCCGGCTTGAACAGTCGCTATGCCCATTGAGCCCTTCGTCTCGGCCACTCCACTGCGATTTCGTGGGATTCCCGATTCTCTAGCACTATTTCATCTTGAGGGTTCTGAATGTTGCTTGATCCATGCGGACAATTCTCTTTCCGGACATCAGGGCGTCTACCTGAATCCCAAGGTCCGCGTTGGTTATAACGGCCCCGCATACGAAAAGGTCCATCCTGCTGGCTCCTGGCTGTCTCCACAATATATCGCCTTGGCTCTGTGGGAGAACAGATTCCGACGATGGGCTACTACGACTTTTTTCAAGAAGTGGGTCGTGCAACGGAGAGTCGCCCAATGGAAGGCTCTCTCTAGCGGCCGACATGAGCCCGGTGACTTTTGTTTGATTAACGAGATGCAGGTGCTCGTTGCTAACGGCTGGGCCCATGTATAGAGCCTCATTGGAAAATAAAGTTCGGCTCTATCCTACCATAAAGTGTGACTGAAATCGTACTAGATGGATTCTATTACGATGTTTGCCACCCGCTGAGCGAGTAATTGAACTTCTCGGATGGTGACTAAAACATTGAGACCGCGAGGAGATTTCACGCCCTATCTCAATTCAGCTTTTCATCAATGAAAGTGTCCATTTGGAACACCGCATCCGGAATAACAGCTGACCACCCGAGAGGGAGTCGCCTTGCTCATCCAATCTGGCGTCACAATCGCAGGTCAGGCCGGGCATAGCGTCCTACAGTACAGAAGTCTCAAAATCTTCTGAAATGGACTATCACGCAGATGTGATGGAGCTCTTTTGCCTCCGACCGCTCTCCAAGTTTGACTCTAGCGAGTCAAAAAGAACGGTTCAGCAGTGTCTGACTCGTGGTTTTCACCCGAGAAGCGACCTGAATGTTGAGAAATATATTCTAGTCGCTTAAGAGACAGGGTGTCAGATGTTTAGCCGCTGGCAGGATCAAATACAATGGAAACATACGGGTTTTATTGTCCAGAAATCTMCATATCACACTGTTTGATTTGTGGTCCGATGTATTGACCAGTGAGCCGTGCTCCTCCACTGCTGATTATTGGCCACATTTCGAGGACTTTTAATATTTAGTTCTAGGCCAAATTGCATATGCGACCGCTCCCTTAGACAACTATAACAACATGGTGCAACCATCTATCTACGTCTGTGGGCTATGTGTCATAACGTATAATCTGCTACAATGGGAGTGGTAACCTAATCGCTTCCTATGTGTATACAACTGTTCTCACCACTTATAGTTAGACTGATATTAATAAGCTTGACTAATGTACAGTCCACGCAATAATGACCCCCAGAAAAGAGCAGTCTACAGATGACCCTGACCAGCAGAAGAAGCAGGGCCAGTGCCAGCCGCACTCGCCGACGCAACAGTCTCACCCTTGAACTTGGACAGCACACCGGTAGTCGACCCGGAGAGCGTTCCAGAGCTGGAGAACGAGTTGGCGACACAGTTCCGGCCGATATAGGACTTGCAGGTAGACGAGGCACTCGAGGAACCGAACAGCTCACCCGTGAAGCTGGAGGACTCGACGGCAGCGGTGACGTCGGAGAAGAGGTTACCCTCTGCGAGGACGTAGGCACCGGAGCCGATCTCGAAGGCGTGGTTGGAGTTGCCGTTCCAGTAGTTGTTGACGGCGTGCAGGATGGTGTTGCCCTGGACCTTGGGGGCGCGGCCGCTGGTCTTGTACAGGTAGTTGCCCTTCATGGTGACCTTGTCGCTGGAGCCGTCGAGGTAGATGTTCCAGTAGTGGTGGCCGTCGCAGGTGGCCGAATAGGTGGACTCGCCGTCGATGTAGTTGTTGGAGAGGGTGATGCGGTTATCGGCTTCGGTGCCGAGGACGTAGTGTTGGCGGCCGATGCGGGCGGTCTGTCACTTAGGTTCAGTCTTCTGTTTCTTTAACTTGTGTGTGTGAAGGAAAACGTACAGTCACATGGTCGACCCAGACGAGGTCGGCCTGGTCGATGGTGATGGCGTCGCCTCCCCAGACGTACTTGGCGTTGATATCAGTGATGGCGATGTTCCTGGGAAGTCAGCATAATCCTTCTCTCTTGCTTTCTTGTACTAACTGAATGATGATGTTCTTAGCGCCGCTGACGATACGAAGACCCTTGCCCTTGATGACGCCGGAAGTGCCCTGGCCGATGAGGGACTTGTTGGAGTTGACGGTGATACCAAGCGTGCCTGCCTTGTCACTACTTTGCGTCAGAACCATGACACAGAAAATTCAGACGGAGCAGCATACTAGGACACCGAGACAGAAGGAGCATTCGGCTCGTAGTTGGTGCACCAGTTGTTCTGGTTGATGGCTACCTGGCAGCCAGAGCCAGTACCCCAAGGAGCGCAACCAGTCCCAGTGGCAGTACCCTCAGTTCCAGTGAAGTCAAAGGTCTTGGTGAGCACAATCACACGGGCCTCACTATCACCGAGGTACGAGACCAGCTCTGCGGTGGTGGAGGGATAGACGGGGGTAGCGCTACCACCGCCGGTCACGGACGAGGCGAAACCCTCGGCGGTGCCTGAGACGCCAACCGCAATGGCCTGGGAGACCAGAGCGCTGATGGCGGTAAGCAAAGCAGCGTACTTCATCCTGGAAGTAGGCAAGAAAGGAATGACTGAGTAAAATGAAGGAAAGACAAAAGAACGACAGGGTTGAATGTGCTGAGGAACGAAACATAAGCCATGAGTTGCGGACCACTGGTTTTATATACCAGTTGGTTCTCAACCCCTGGACGACGATGGTACCAATCTCAAACAGCGTTCTATAATGGTCTGTCAGAAATTATCCGCCCAGTGGAGTTGTGGAATTACTCAGTGAACCCTAATCTACCTAATAATCCACCAGTTGGCTGAATCGGCGATGGCAAGGACATATGTCTGTACAAGGCGATTCGGATGCCGATCTCTCCCAATCTATGTAGGTTCCGGTAAGTGATCCGATATCTATGCGAGACAGCTCCACCGCGTACAACATGGATAATGTCAGTTGATTCGTGGGGTCCAGCTGTTTCGATTGGTTCGTTTCAGGTATATCATCGTCGTTGATAATGTTGAGGAGGCTAATACAGAAGAAACACGGTATGACGCGGCCTATCCTCCAATGACAAATTAGGGGGGAAGCTTCTGCAATATTTCGGAAACATGCCGAACATTGCGATCAATGTAATAATACTTTATTTGTACGGAGTATATGAATTGACTAACAGCGTTTGATAGTAATAAGACCACACAATGGAATATCATGCCATCGTGGGCTCCTGTTGAGCTCTCCATCCGCAGTCTGAGACACGCCCTACATCATTACGCAGACACTGACGAGTCAAGCGAGACATAATATCTCTTGTCTTTACATTGATCCTACGCGGTATCGGTCAAATAACTGTAACCGTTCACAATCAAGCATCCTGGCTGGCTGGGCAGCCCTTCTGCTTGGCCGCTTAATTTAAGC